CAATCATTTTAGCCTATGATCACAACCCGCCACCACCACAGATATTCCGAAAAGGGCAAGAGTGTTCTTTTCTTATTCGTGGTGGGAATGGGAAGAATGTCGTAGATCGTGCATAACGCGCGAATTGGTGCAGCCGGGGAAGACATTCGTGCATGGAGGGGAGGAACCATGCAGTGGCAGCGTGGCTTACTTCGTTTTGCTTCCCTTTTTGTGTGATTCGTTACTTCTTTTTACGGGATATAAAAAGCAAAGAATAGCAGCAGCATATAATACGGGTTTAGTTTAGAGCCCCCCCCGGTCGAGGGTTCGGATGACATGGGAAGGAAAAAAAAGTGTTTCGATGTTTTGGGATGCTTTTTTGCTACGCCAAGCCCTTCATGAGAATGCGACGTTGGGACACACACACGTACGCTATTTTGGATAGTTGCCGGGTTTTTGCTTCTTGCGTTTCCGGCCGCCAGGCAACGCGACGACAATGCGAGATGCAGCTGCTTTTGTTCTTTCGTTGTTCCGGGACCGGGTCGGGTTGTGGTGGTTGGTTCCCCTACGGCCCGGATTGCATATGAAGTTGCAAAATGCGATGCGACGCTGGGCCTTTTCCCCGAGATTTGAATGACGACGAGTCGTAATGGGATGCGCCTGGAAGTGGCCGTGTCAACTGTGGGAAGGACGGATGGAGTTTCCGGTGGCGAGACCAGTCTGTTTAGCTATGCCTGAGAGATATTGATTGATGATGGAGTACTCCGTAAATGAGACCGTGATTTGCGATTGTTGCGCAAACCGGGCGCTGTGGTGTCGTTACACGCGACGCGGTGGTCGTCGACGCGTACCTGGCATTAGACTACGGGAAAGGGGGCGATTAAATCGAGGTGGCGATGAGCTACGGGAGGATTTCAAAAAGGTGCGGTTTGCTAGCTGAGATGATAGCGCGCGTACTAGCAAACCAAACGGAGGGACGATGCGCGGGAGCGAAAAAAGGGGTAGGTCAGCTTGGTCAGGTCAGGCACATTCGCATCACCAGTTGCATCGAATTGCATCGCACACCACCACCACCATCATCATCATCACCAACCAAACAGCAAGAAGGAAAGAATAGGGGTGTGGGTGGTGTGTCGTGGCAGGAAAAAAAAAAAAAAAAAAAAAAGGAACTGCTTCGTCTTCTGCTGCTGACGGGCTTGCTGATGGCGCTAATGCAGCGGCGGCGTCCCGGGAACCAAAGCGCTGGGACCTTCTTTTTTGTCTGCTTTTTTTCTCGTTGTCGCGTCCGTTTTTGGTGTCTGCGTGCCTTCGGGAGTGGCCCGCGGTGGACCCGCTGCGTGTTTCTGATTTGTGTGGCCAATCAGACGTGCATATAGACCCGCTTTATCTTTTTCTTTTTAGGATGCAAGGTGAGGCCAAGGTGAGGCCAAGGTAAGGCCATCCCGGTGAGGTGAGCCCTCACCTCGTCACCGAGCTCACCTTGGCAACCGAGGGAAGAGAAAGACGGCAATTGGACTTTTGGTACCCGGGATGCGACAGAATCTCAATGTTGATCAAGTTTGGTTTTGTTAGTATTATTGATCGACTCTTGAGCAATCAGGTACCGTTGATCTTGCTGGAGATTGTGATTGGTGGATGAACTCCCCATGGATGATCTTTTCTTTTTCTTTTCTTTTTTTCTTTCCCTTCATTTTCTCGTGTTGCCGTTGGTGGTGTGAAGCAGCCCCTTCAATTTGCCAATTTGCAAGCCCCCCTCCCCCTTGCGACCTCCTCGTCACCAACAACGGCGCATTTTGTCTCGTATTGTTTGCGACAGAAACGGTTGTTGGTTGGTGATTCTGAATGTCTCTTTGTTGGTCTTGTTTGCCCATTGACGACGATTCGAGAAGTGATGGACAAGACGAAGCCGGTTCAGGGGGCGCGTGTTTGTTGTTGTTTTCGACCAACCAACGAACTTCCGATATGACTGCCGTTGGTCGCTTTTGGTATCCGTACGCCACGACAAACCGTACCCGTCGTCCGCATCATCTCACTTTGCGTTCGGCCTTATCTCTGCTCTGTCATGGAGGGTTACATTGCGGACACACACAGAGTCGCAGCGACGCCCACGCAGATACAGGCACACAGGTCGGTTCGTCCAGATACGGACGGATACAGCTTTCCAACCGGGAGTTTGGGAGCGCTACGGATACGTACCCGCGACTTCCTTCTTGAGTCTGCTGCAGCAGCTTTCCCGTCTTTCCCCAGGCCATCAGTTATGGGGATTCGGGGATCTGGAACGAAGACGTATGTAGGTACCTCACGAATACACGAACGTCCGTCTTTCTTTTCGGGTATGTGTCCCGGCCGAACGACGAGCAAGCAAACATGTCGTGACAGTTTGATTGTCGAGACAAGACACCCGTTCAACAGCCGAGCAAAAGCATCGACGACACTCCTAGCGTCAACGGTAACGGCAGGTGACGGACGATGGCCGGCACGGGGCGCGTTGGCCGGCGTCATTCACTCAAACTCGTCGCAGAACGTCCTCAGCCGCGACTTGGAGGCGAGGCTATGCGACTCCCGTCGGCCGAGAAAAGGGGGAACATCGAAGTTTCGGAAGCCTCAACCGTCGAATCTCAGCTCACTCGGGCCCGCGATCGCACGGCCGACCACGCCACGGAGGGAGAAACCACGTCCTGTTGCATACAAACGACGGACCCCACGAGAGCATGATCTACGGCTCGGTAGAGTCTGACGCTGCGACGTCTTCGCCTTCTGCCGTTGAAGCCCCCTTTTTTGGAGCAGCCATGTTGCATGAAAGTCGGGCCAAACATCGAGGAGTGAACCCCCCCACCCCACAGGATTTGAGGGCGACTGAGATATGGATGGAGATGGGGACATTTGACAGCCAGAGATCCTCCTTTCCACGTTTCAACCCGTCTTTTCTTGTGGTTGAGTCTTCTTCAGAGTGTGTCCACGAGCAAACCCCTGCCGGTCTTCACAGTGAGACTTTGGTGGTTCCCCAACCTCGCGGGAAGAATTCTGCCCTCGCCTCCGTCTTTCAACCCCTGAACTTCTCAATTTCATATCCCTCGGTGGGCTTCACTCGGTATTGAGGGTCCATTCGGTGAGTGAGAGATACAGACAGCAGGAGAGACTCCACGGCCTCGACGATCACGGGAGGGTCTGATGTCAAGCGAACTCGAGCCAAGAGGAGCAGAGCAGAGGCCCTCATTCCCAAACGCTCCAAATTTCCCAGGGCTGTGGTTTTGGAATTCTTCTCTCTGGCTTCTTTTCTTCTTCTTTCCAGGCCAGGTGCAAGGTCAAAGTGCAAGGTCAAGGTCAAGGTCCGGGTCCAGGGCCGTCACAGTGTTCCCTTCCCTATTTAACGCCGCCCCACCGAGAGAGCCATGCCATGCGGACAGGACGCCGCATCCCGGGGCTTGCATTCCGGGTCCCCGGGGCCGCGATGAGAACAATGTCGTGTTGTTTTCCTTCCTTTTTCCTTCTTTTTCGGCGCACACCTCCACTCCTCCTCATCCTCCCCCCGGTCCGCCTCGTCCACTGGGAAACATTGCCGTCGGCGACGGACGGCAAGGATGGGGTTCCACACCCGTGACAACGAAACCACACGAACACCAAAATTCACATTTCACATATCACACACCCCCCCGGCTGAAGCAGGATCCCCACTGCTTCTTCTCGCTTGGCCTCTGCTCCTAATTTACCACGTTATTTCCAATCTTTGGGTTCTTCCTTCTAGCGGTATCCTCTTTTTCCTTCTTCTCGCCTTCTTCCGTGTGCCCTGCGCGAAGCCATGCAACCAGACAATTCTCGAGACTCCACCAACAACGCAGCTCACAGCTGCCAGCGCACCGTACCGCGAAATCCCCAATTTAAAAAAAAAACCGTTGGGCTGCTGTGCCCATGTCCGCGGCTCCCATGGATCGCCTCACCGGTCACCGCTGATACTGCTGCTGCTGGGTCGACACGCACACAAATCCCACGAGACACGCTACCGCTCAAGCGCCGGGGCGGCTGCTCTTCCCCGGTGACATGGGCGATGGTGAAAGTTTCTTTCCCACGCGCCATCAAGGGACGAACAATGACCCCTAAGGATGTTGACTCACCGCGCTATTCTGACAGATAATTCTGATCCTCGGTCTACCTTACACCGCACTAGCAACTACCGTGGGAGTCGGACAACTGGCAGACATGCCCCCCCTTGCTTAGCACATGCCGCTCATAGTCGTCACCGCTCTCCTTGACCGCACAATGATCCTTTTCCATGATCACACAAACACACACGACACACACGCCTCCTGGCCTTGCTTCGGTGAGGCCTCACCGGTTTGTGGATATCTTCCTATCCCTCCCCCCAGCCCTGTCAAACACGGGCGGTGGAGGCGCAACTTGTCTGATATTCACTCATTTGCCGGCGCCCCATCCATGGAACATCACCATCCTTCTAGAAGTCAAGCATTGAACACACGCACACGCCCCGAGTCGTTGGGTCCTCGATCCCAAATCCCTGCCGGTATCCGTACTCCCTCCCCTCCTCGGCCCTCCGTCACGGTGCTACCGAGTCCCAGGCTTCAACACCACAAAAAAAAAAGACACGTCCCCGTCAACGCCCTGTCGATGTCGATCCCGGGCGGTGAGGCTTGCTAGGGAGAGTGAGAACCTTCTCTTCTTCCCTGGACGGGGTCGCTGCTGCTGCGCTGCGTACCCGGCTTGACCCTGCCCGTCGGGATTGTGACAGCTCACATGGGGACGCCAACTCAGATTCCAGGGTACACATCGCTTGTTTCCTCTTCGTCAGTCAAACCATCCAGCTGGTACCTTCACGATGGAGACCCGAGGGGAGGGAGGGGGGCCCGGGCGAAGGGGGAAAAAAGGGAAGATCAGTGGGATAGTGACGGGGCGGCGGTTCTCCAGGGGAGGGGTTTGCTGCAGCAAAAAAACGACGACCTTCTAGAAGGCCCAAAGGCGGTGAAAGAGGAAGAAAAGGGGGTTTGAGAAGGGAAGCGGCGGACAACTCACGTGCGTCTCACCAACGGCATGCCCTCCCGGACCCTCGACCACTCATCCAAGTCCACGTCGACGAACCCGACCGCCCCCTCGGCGCCCTCCTCCGCCCTGCCCTCGGCGTCCACACCGCCGAGCTCGAGCCTGACGGTCCCCCACGGGTCGACGACCATGCTGTGCCCGTAGCTGCTGCGCCTCGCGTTGTGCGCGCCGACCTGCGCCGCCGCGACGACCCAGCTCTGCGTCTCGACGGCCCGCGCCCGGAGCAGCGTCTCCCAGTGCGCCGCGCCCGTCTTGGGCGTGAAGGCCGACGGGTACAGCAGCACCTGCGCGGCGCCGGCCCCGCCGTTCTCCGGGAGGAACGGGCTGCGGGCCGACGCCGCCGGGTGCGCGAGGGCCACCGCGGGCTCCGGGAACCGGAGGTCGAAGCAGATGAGGCTGCCGACGCGGCCGACCGGGGTGGGGAACGGCGGCGTGAGGCGGGTCCCGGGCTGGACCGTCGCGCTCTCGCGGAGGGGCCCGTAGTCGAAGAGGTGGAGCTTGTCGTAGGTCGCGGCGTGGTTGATGGTGCCGTCCGCGTCGATCCAGAGGCTGCGGTTGAGGAGCTTTGCGGGTGTCGGGGAGTCGGCGGTGGCTGGCGCCGGGACGTGGATGCCGACGTTGATGGCGAGGTTGTGTTTCTTTGCCTGTTCTTGGAGGCCGAGGACGAAGGGTGAGGTGGACTGCGGGAGGGCGAGCGAGAGGGATTCCTGCGGGCTCGAGGCGATGTAGTCCGAGGCTTCGGGGAGGAAGAGGACCTTAGGTGAGTGTCAGCTTCACGCCGTCTTCTGCGAGGGGAGTGGTGTTTGAGTTGCTACATCAGCCCTCAAAACACAACACCTCTTTCGACTTCAACACATGACGACCTGGGATCAGAGAGATACCTTTGCGCCACCGACGGCGGCCTTGGCCACCAACCTCACGCACTGCTCGAGATTATGCGACAGCGAAGCGGTCGAGCATATCTGACCAACAGCCTTTCGAGAAGTCAGCAGGGTTTCATCCACACACACCCACGTGGTTGTTATATCCGTGAACGGGGGGCATTCGAGTTCATACCGCGATCGCCATGTTTTATGAGACGAGTTGCTCAGGATCTGGGATATCCCTGGGGTAAGACAACGGTATGAGATGGTGTGATGAGATGGTAGATTCGCCACGTGGGATCCGGGAAGTTTTTGTAATTGGTGCTGACGACTAACTGCGGGCGTGAAGTTGGCGATTTGTTTCATGCAGGTCGGGGTGACGTTGAGATGTGTGAGAGAGAGAGAGTTGTTCATCGGGTGTCGTTGTCATGCTTATCGCTGCGCTTATCTGGGACGAGTGGGTGGGTTATGGCGGGGTAAGATGGTGTCGCAATCCCGATTGTCTTCCCCGCCATCTGAGAACACACGAGATGACTTTGATTATCTCGAATGACTTTCTCAACGTATCACTCTCGTTTCCGTGTGCCAGGTGTTCGAGGCTTATCGGTGAGTAGGTAAGTTGTGAATGGAATTGGAGACTAAAAAGACGGCGATATGCATACTGCCATGGTTCATACAGCTGCAAAATAATCACAGCAAAAGCGTATTTTAAGGCAATCATATGGATCTCAGAGAGCTCTTCTCATCGATCTCAACAGCATCTTGATGGACGATGTTAGTTCCTATCAAATTGAACCTAACATCCCTCACAAACCACCACCGCCCTCAGTACCACTCATCACCATCATACCCCCCATCCAGCTTCCCCTCCTTCTCCAGCCGTCCCAGCGCCTCCTTACACCTCGCCACCACGGCCCTTCCGTACTCGGGCCCGATCGGCGGCGCCGGCTTGCTCGTGTCGTTCCTCACCCAGGGCACCTTTCTCATCTCGGGACCGCCCGCCTTCGCAGCAGCGTCGGCGACGCCCTTCTTGATGGTCGCGAGCGCGTCGTCGTCGAAGGCGGAGCCGAGGATGATGGCGCGCGGGGCCGCCGCGTAGTTGCCGGAGCCGATGGCGCTCGAGTCGGCGTGCGTCGGCGGCGGGGTCTGGCCGGCCAGGATGGCGGGGATGATGGCGGCTCCCGAGGCGGGCGTGGTGATGAAGTGGATTACTGGGGTGTGGGATCCGATGTCAGCGGGTCGGGCCGTCTTGTCAGGTGTGTGTGTGTGTGTGTGTGTATGCAAGTAAGTTGAATCACTACGTCTCATTGCATCGGCAGAAAAGGCTTGAGTTGGTGGGGTGATGGTGGTGGTAGTTGTGAGGCTCACCTTCGTACTCGGGCTTCAGGCCCTCGATCACGCCCCGGCCGATCTGCTCCGTCTTGCCGCAGCAGATGACGGGGATCGGGGTCTTGTTGGCTTCGGGTGCCATTTCGAGGATTTCGCGCAGAGAGGACGGCGCGTGGGCGTCGTCCTCGGTCTCTGCCTCCTGTTGTCTTCTGAGCTGCCACTCGTGCATTTTTCCGGCAGGCAAGTTGGTAAGTCCAATTGTATTTTCTTGAGTATGTCAACACTCCGATTGCAGTAAAAAAACAGAAAAGCCGTCTTTTTGTAGTTGGAGAGGAGAAAAGATGACTTCTCTAAAATGACAATGTCTCACGTCAGACTGAGCCGGGCTAACTAAAAAATGGCTTGTTAGCGAGGCCGCGGGCATCAAGTTACCCGTCGGCGCCGAAAGTCCACGGAATTAGCAAAAGCGACGATCACTTGCTCCGAATCAGACCTTCACATGCATCGTATACGACATTGGACTCGTTCAAACGTGTCTATCTTATTTCTCTATGGGGTATGTACTCTGCGGCTTAACTCATCAACGGCATTACTTTCCGCATCCTTTTGAACACTGTCGTCATGTTCCGGTTATCTCACGGGCTACCACCCCACTCAAATCAAGCAGCCAAGACCGTTCTGGTACAGGAAGTCGGCCATCTTGCCGGTCACCTCGTCGTGAGAGTAGCTCTGTTGCAATGGTCAGCGGTGAAGTATAAAGGTCATGAAAAGAAACTCACAAGAGTTAGACCATGGCCAGCATCAGCGACGATGTAAGCCTCGAAAGCGCTGGCGTTCTGGAAGATCATGGCAGACGACGCCGGGATCGAGGGCAACTCCGGGTTTCCGGTGGCGAGGCAGTCTCCACCGCAGAAGGGAATATCGCGCTCTGCAATATCTCATTAGCACTCATATTCACTCCAACCAACACCCAAACACCGACTGCCACTCACCTCCAGTAATGATAAGAACGGGCTTGGTGAAGGCATTCATCGACGCCGCCTCGCCCGCGACGGTCAACAACTCGCCCACCGTCACCGGCTGGCCTCCCTCGTACGCCGCGGTGAGGATCTCAGGGTCGAAGTTGTTCGGGCCGAAGAAGTTGGTCTGCACGGCGCCCTCCGTCCCGCTGGCCAGGTACCCGTTCGAGTAGTTCATGCCCTTGAACGCATCCAACAGATTGGCCTGGACAAGACCGCCGCCCAGGATGAAGGACGCGACGAAGGTCGCGTTCTGCGCGAAGCCTGTCAGGATGATGCCGTCCGAGACGTCCGGGTACATGGCGGTCAGCGCGTAGGTGTGGCCGGAGCCGAAGGAGTGCCCGACGTGGACGACCTTGGCGAACTTGCGGTCCTCGAGGCCCGGGATCGTGCTGTCGCGGACCTTGTCGGTCAGGGCCCTGAGGGCGGCGACCTCGAGCCAGGCCTGGATCTCGTTGACGGGCTCGCCGTGGGAGGACTGGGCGATGCCGAGGCGGTCCCAGGCCAGGGTCGAGAAGCCGTACTCGTCGACGACGGGGCCGACGTAGCTGTAGTTGTAGGCGTTGGCGCTGAAGTCCCAGTAGCTCCGGTCGAAGCCGATGCCGTGGGTCAGGATCTGGATGGTGTTGCCCGGGCCCGAGTCCGGCTCGCAGTAGGTCGAGGCGAGCTGGTAGGTTCCCCCGACGTTGGCGTACTGCGATGGCGTGTTAGTCACAGACTGTTGTGTAAGGGGTGTTGGGGATGGACGAAAGGCGACTTACATCTGTCAAGACCTGGGCTGTGAGGTTGCCTCCTTGTTTTGCGAGGTCGAGTGTGAAGTCAGTCACATCAACATTCGTCTCCGGCGCCGAGATGTTGAAAACGCCGTTCCGCGCCGTGATCTCGACCTCGACGGTGATGTTCTGGCAGACCCTGGCCGAAGCCACCGCCGCGAAGGCAATGGGGAGGGTCGTTGAAATTAGGTTTACCATTTTCTCGTCTCTTGATATTATGTTTCGAATTAATATAAACAAAGTAAGAAGTCGATGCTTTTGTTTCAATCAATTCTCGTACACCAGATATCAACAAGGGGCTCCCAAGGTTATATACGCAAGAAGATCCCGAGACCCCCGCGATCACCGTCGCCCTCTCCGCAACAGGCTGACGGCAGATTGCGATGAGCCCTCCAGGACCCGTAGCGCGGGACCCATCACCACCTGCGCACCCATGATGTCAACAGCACACGGGAAAACAAAAAGAATTTGTGTTCTCCCCCGGTCATTTAGCTCGTAGGACCTCATCGTTTGAGTGTGGCCGCCATCATCGCACAATAGCCTACCGAAGCCAACCGGGGACCCAATCGCGGTCCGGCAGTCGTGCCAGACCAAGTCCGGCGGGCTAGTGGGCTAGTGTGGAAGAAGACATGAGGCGTTCCGTCCACTTTCTTCTGTTGGAATTCTCAGTCAGACAGAAGGACCCGAGAAGTGGCCTCGGTTGCAGAGTGTCGTGATTCCAGATATGTTGCATGCCAGGTGCCGGAGTCTTCTCCGGCTTGGCTTGAGGTTGCCGAAAGCAGTATCGTCAGCGTACTGCGCCAGTATGCAAGACGAAATCAAATAAGAGAGAGAAAGAACGCCATTTGAATTCTTCCGCGCAGATGACGGCGGAATCTCCATGCGGACTGCTTAGTGAGGGAATGACGGCACCAAAGAATGCACTTGGGCTTACTTCCGTCTTAGTGGCCGCGCCTCAACCGAGCGCCATCGATGTCAAGACTCCTAGTCTATCGCTGACCCCCAACCCTTTTTGAGTATTTGTCAAACAAAAACACAGATTCTCAACGACGTGTCCACGTAGCAGAACACGAAATAAGAGAACGTGCCGGGGTATAAGCCGCGGGAACGAGGCGGTCCGGAGCCTTGCCCTGTAAGCATACAGACCATTGGCGACTAGCGGACCCTCTGGGTTGAAGAAACGGTCAAGGATCGCCGGGAAATTCCCCGGCGTGTTGATGGGCCTTGTCGGCGAGTGGATCCCGGGGGTTCCGTGGGTTCCGATGACAATAGTTGAGTACGTTGTGGTAGTGGTGGGTTGTGACGGGCTTTGTGGCTTTCGTGCCAGTAAGCGTGGTGACGATGTATGATTTCCGCCTATCATCGCGACGTCACGACGTTGAGATGAATGTACCTCTCATCAATAACTGTATTCTGTAGTCATGAACGCAAGCTTGTAAACTCCTGTCGACCATCGTCTCTACTGAGGCCCAGATGTCAGTAAAGCAGGGAAGTTCCAATGAAGACAACCCAGGAATTGAGATACTGCAAGTGTATTGTTTCAGGCGACGCTTGGTAATGGCTAAGTCTGATGATCTCCTTGAGATATTAAAGGTGGTAAAGCCGTGCGTCGCTCGCGTTCCTGTGACCAGCTGGTTGTTTTTGCTTTCCCCCGAGAGCTGCTAATAATGCAGCCGACCGCCCCTGACCATGCTGTGTGCGTAACGCCATGCTAAAGTGATAAAAATACAACACAGAGGAGAGAACCTCACTCTCACTCTAAAAGTTCCAATATCTTCCATTCTCACCAGGTTGAGCTTTCTTCTTATTTGGGGTCGGATGTGTCCATCTTGTCGTAGGCCGCCTGAATAGCCCTCAGTTCAACTTCATCACCCTCCAAGGCTGCCACCCAGTCTCGCAGCTGAATGTTCTTGCCCTTCTCTTTATCTTCGCGCCAGTTGCCGAGTCGGGCTCGGCCCTCGACCGTAAGCGCATGGTTCGCCGGAGCTGGAGGGCCTGCGGGTGCTGCTGCACCGGGCTTTCCGGGCGTACCGAGTCTCGGCGTGCTAGCACCGCTGGTACCTCCAGTCATCCATGAGTATGACTTGCCTCCCTTCTTCTTTCCGAAGAGGGACCCCGTCTTGGGCATGCCGACGAACATGCTACTCGTGATGTTTTGATTCGCGTGACTGCTGGCCTCGGCCTTCTTCACGGCGTCGAGCTTTTTCTGCTCCTTCTTTGAAATGCTTTTCTCGGAATCGGGCGCTGAGCCTCCCGGAGTTCCAGGTGCGACCGAGCCAGCGCGAGATGTCGTTGACCCGGGTTCCGCAGTGCCGTCTTTTCTGGCATTACGTCTTCTCAATCTTCTCTCCTCCCAATCTCTTTCACCCTTGCCAACCTCTCTGACGGTATGGCTCATGGTATTCGTAGCAGCGACCTTCTGAACCTTGGTAGGCTGGCTAGAGCTGGCATTCTCAAGAGGACCTGTGTAAAGTTAGCATGATGAATCCATGTCAACGCCTGCAATGACTGACGCTTCTGAGCGCGAGGACTGGAGCCGTCCTCAGTCCCTGTCATCGTCGCATCTGTTTCCTGCGTCTCTGGGGGAACGCTCTTGAGGGGCGCCGCGGCGACCTGCCAGTCCTCAGGAACCTCGCCGTGTGACGAGGTCTGGCGGATCTTGGCCACGCGGTTGCTGTCCTCGACCAGCATCCTCAATCGTTGCTTGGTGGCAAGCGAGAGCAACGCCAACTGGTCGACCAAATAAGCCTCCTGAGGAATCCAGGCACCAGTCGTCGTCACCATCGTGGAGTCAGGGCCTTTCTTGGTTGAGACCGTCACCGTCGGATTAGGAAACTCCTCGGGCAACCGCATTCGTCCCATGGGCTGGTTGTTGTTCTTGTGCTCCAAGTTCAGCGACAAACCCTGCTCCTTCGCAAACTTCTCTGCCCGCTTGAATATGATCGGAACCTGCAGGAATGCATTGTTGAGCTCCATAGTTCTCGTCTGTGCAAGCCGCTTCGCTGACTCCTGCCATGCTCTCTCTGCTTCTTGCGCAATGGCAGCGTTCTGGGTATTGGCTCCTGCCGGCTGGGCGGCTTGGTTTGCCGGACCAGCGCCGTAGAAGCTGGCCTTGTTTCCCGGTGGGTAGGGGGGAAAGCCGGTTCTCTGTCCATCAGGAACATACAGCTCGGAGAGGTATTGCTCTTCGGCGCGCAAATCGATACCTGTTCCTGCGAGCGAATCCGTTGGGTCGTACTCGTACTCCTTCTGAGGTCGATCTGCAGGGCGAGAGGGCGGACCCATGGCGCCGGGAGTAGACGGGTGCTGCATGACAGGCGTGCCTGGTGTGTTACCGAGAGCCAGTGTCGCGTTGGTGTAGGGTAATCCTGGCGGCGCCGGCGTTTGAGGTGTAGATACTTGAGGCGGAGGTGTTGGTCTCTGTTCCGGCAAAGCAGGTAAGGCCAGCGCAGGTGTGCTGTTGCCGTTTGTGTAAGGGGTAGCGTAGTTATTGGCAGCGGGTTGCTGTTGTTGTTGGTGATGCGCTTGCGCCTGCTGCGGCTGCGGCTGCTGCTGTTGTTGCTGTTGCGCGCCGTTATAAATCGGAGAACCGGCAGATGTCGCGGCAGCGGAAGGAGTCGCTGGGGCGCCCGGACTTGCTGCGTAGGGTGAAGTAGAGTATGGTGATTCGGGTTGCGGCGTTGCGCCAGGCGAAAGTCGCGGTCGTTTGTTCGGAGGGAGCGCGAAACCGGCTTGCGACGCGGAGGGGGAAGGAGTGGGCTGGGGAGGTGAGAAAGCCCTCTGGGGCATCTGAGGCTGCGGTTGCGCCATTATGACCGAAGCTCAGGCTAGATGACGAGGTAAAAGACAGGTCAAGAGGAGGTTTCGTTCAGACAGCACTCCGATAGCTTTGCAGGCCGAACAGCCTGGCAGTCCTCACGCGACGCTTCCCATCTGGCGTGTCGCGGTACCCTCGAAATTATCGATTTTCGAGATCGTGTGGGTATTTCGGGATACTCGCTGCAGCTCGAGCTCGATTTCGGCGTCAACGTGATGCTCCAAAGTCGTGGTTGTTGGGTGATACTATGCGTGACGAATTGGTAATATGCGGAAGAAGGAGCTGTCGCCAGAAGGATCTGAGGACCGCGTAAATTTAAAGTCACGTGATGCCGCAGCCTTCCGTACCCATTTTTCCAGGTGGTCCTAGCGCCCAGGCTGAACCGTCGCCAGACGTCAGACAGGTCCCCTTCTACCGCCAACTTTTTACGCGACGGCTGGCACCTGCGCGTCGCTCCCTGACTTGTGCGCTCTACAACTCCATTCCCCGTCACATCGTCGCGGGAACGTCGTCAACGACGACACATCGCGCGAACTGCTTGACCCATTGCGAATGAACTGACCACTTAGTAAAGACCACCAGTCGCTGGTGTAATATATCCTATCGACGGCCGGGACGCGAATTAATCTTCCCCTACCTACAAAAATACAATGGCTGCGAAACGGAAGGCATCGGCCATGGCGGCCACTGTCGCCGACGAACCGGTGGACCCGTCCGACGAGCTCATGTTTCTGTGTCTTGGAGGTGGCAATGAAGTCGGAAGGTCTTGCCATATCATTCAGTACAAGGGAAAGACGGTCATGGTACGCATGCTTCCTCTCTAGATTGTCGGACCCTTTCTAACCTGCCCCGCAGCTTGACGCCGGCCAGCATCCAGCGTACGACGGCCTCGCAGCCCTACCCTTCTTCGACGATTTCGATCTCAGTACGGTCGACGTTCTCCTGATCAGCCAGTAAGCCCCCTCTTCCTCCATTGCTGTCGGATTACAGGGCAAGGCGGTGAACTACTTGGAAATTATACGGGATCATGCCAGGCTCGGGACAAATGCCCTGATGGAGCCTCTTGCTACGTCTCTATGCCATTTCATCTTTGTACACAGAATCAATACAAACTTCTTTCTCACCTGCCTTGCCTTGCCATCCTTGCCGTTGTGATCGCTGTCTAGGAGTTCGTGTATACATTCATTAGAAGCCAAGGCACTAATAGACGATAGTTTCCACGTTGATCATGCGGCATCTTTACCATACGTCCTCTCCAAGACGAACTTCAGGGGACGAGTCTTCATGACACATCCCACAAAAGCAATCTATAAATGGCTCATCCAGGACAGCGTCCGCGTCGGGAACACATCATCGAACCCTACCTCACAACCAGTCTATACAGAAGCAGACCATCTCAACACGTTTCCCCAGATCGAGGCCATCGACTACCACACCACACACACCATCTCCTCCATTCGCATCACGCCCTACCCGGCCGGCCATGTCCTCGGCGCGGCAATGTTTCTCATCGAGATCGCCGGTCTCAAGATCTTCTTCACAGGAGACTACTCCCGCGAGCAGGACAGACATCTGGTCTCCGCCGAAGTACCAAAGGGCGTCAAGATCGACGTTCTCATCACTGAATCGACCTACGGTATCGCCTCACACGTGCCTCGCCTCGAGCGCGAACAGGCCCTCATGAAGTCCATCACCGGCATCCTTAACCGCGGCGGCCGCGTTCTGATGCCCGTCTTCGCCCTCGGTCGTGCCCAGGAACTCCTGCTCATTCTCGACGAGTACTGGGGCAAGCACTCCGAGTTCCAGAGATTCCCAATCTACTACGCCTCCAACCTCGCCCGTAAGTGTATGGTCGTCTACCAGACCTACGTCGGCGCCATGAACGACAACATCAAGCGCCTCTTCCGCGAGCGCATGGCCGAGGCCGAGGCCTCCGGCGACGGCTCCGGCAAGGGCGGCCCCTGGGACTTCAAGTACATCCGCTCCCTCAAGAACCTCGACCGCTTCGACGACGTCGGCGGCTGTGTTATGCTCGCGTCCCCCGGTATGCTGCAGAACGGTGTCAGCCGCGAGCTGCTGGAGCGGTGGGCGCCCAACGAGAAGAACGGCGTCATCATCACCGGTTACAGTGTTGAGGGCACCATGGCCAAGCAGATCATGCAGGAACCCGATCAGATCCAGGCCGTAATGTCACGAACGACCGCCGGCGCGCGCCGCGGCCCCGGGGGCGAGAGCGAGAAGGTATTTCTCCCGCGCCGGTGCAGCGTCGCCGAGTACTCCTTCGCCGCGCACGTCGACGGCACCGAGAACCGTGAGTTCATCGAGGAGGTCGCCGCCCCGGTCGTCATCCTCGTCCACGGCGAGCAGCACAACATGATGCGCCTGAAGTCCAAGCTCCTTTCCCTCAACGCCGGCAAGACCACAAAGGTCAAGGTCTTCAGCCCCAAGAACTGCGAGGAGCTCCGCATCCCCTTCAAGCAGGACAAGACGGCCAAGGTCGTCGGCAAGCTCGCCACCATCCCGCCCCCGACCTCCCTCAACCCCTCGCCCGATCAGCAGCAGCAGCTCGTCACCGGTGTCCTCGTCCAGAACGACTTCAAGCTCTCCCTCATGGCGCCCGAGGACCTCCGCGAATACGCTGGCCTGAACACCACCACCATCACCTGCAAGCAGCGCCTGCGCCTCACGGCCGCCGGCGTGGACCTCGTCCGCTGGGGTCTGGAGGGTGTCTTCGGCAGCGTGGAGGAGCTGCCCGAGATGCGCAAGGGGCATCCCGCGCACAAGGACTCCGTCACGAACGGCAACGGAGACACCGAGATGGAGGACGGCGAGCAGCAGGAGGAGGCCGACGAGGAGGTCGCGCGGCTGGTGGCGGCGTACCTCGTCATGGGTTGCGTGGCCGTGCGATACCGCAGCGACGGCGAGGTCGAGCTGGAGTGGGAAGGCAACATGCTTAACGACGGCATCGCAGACGCCGTCATGGCCTGTCTCTTCTCCATCGAGAGCAGTCCCGCCGCAGTCAAACGTAAGTCTCCGTCCCTCATACTTCACACTTCACCGCCTAACACAACCTGCCAGGTTCCGCAGGCTCACACAGCCACGACCACGACGTGAAGTCCCTCCCCAAGAACCCCCACGCCAACGTCTCCCCCGCTGAGCGCCTCGAGCGCTTCCTCATGTTCCTCGAGGCCCAGTTCGGCGCCGACAACGTCAACCCCGTCGCCGAGCCCCGCCTCCCCGCCCTCCCCGAGAACGGCGCCGCCGACGGCCAACAACAAGAGCAGACCAACAAGGCGCTCAAGGCGGAAGGCGAGAACGGCGGCGACGGCGACGGCGACGACGCCGCCATGGAGATGTCCTCCTCGGACGACAACGAGGCGGAGCAGGAGAAGAAGCTCGCGGCGCGGCGCCGGGCCGAGATTGAGCGGCTGCACAAGATCGGCATCCCCGTGCCGGGCGTCCGGGTCAAGGTGGACAAGATGGAGGCCGTGGTGTGGCTCGAGGACCTCGAGGTCGAGTGCAGCCACAAGGCGTTCGCCGACCGCGTGAGGCGGGTCTGCGAGCACGCTGCCGAGGTGACGGCGCCTCTCTGGGGATAGAGATAGATGCTCTGTTCGTAGTCCCGGCTAGGGATGGATGGGTTTTCCGTTTTGAATGGCGTTCTACTTTTAAGTGTAACATAGTCACAGTTTTAAGATCGGCTCAAGGTTAGAGACGCAAAGGACTCTATACTACGGCTACGAGTTTGAGAACTGAGAACTGTCAAGTGCGAAGTATTTAGTTGGGTGTTGATGTTCTGTGATGTAGCCAGGTCACAGAATCACGGCATGATCAAAACTGAATACGCCGAATGTCTAGTGCATTGAGCTACTTATGATACAGTAGGCTAAGGTTACAATATAAAAAATCAAGATACGATGCTACAGACTACAAGCACAACGAAACCAGAGTGTTTAACCCAAGTACTCCTTGAGCTCTTCTGACTCTTCTAATAAAGTGTTGAAGGAAAAGGGGGCGAACGGCCAACCGGCGAACTCGGCAAACTTGGAGAAGGACTCAACCCAGGCCAATCTGAGGGAGTGCAACATGGCACTGGTGCCTTCCATCAGGACGAGAATGGCAATGGCTGTGCTGGTTAGCAGGTGGCGCAGGAGGATTTGTTCGTGGAGACTTACTGAGGAAGAACCACAAGTAGAAGCCGATAACGATGGCAATAACACCCAAGACACCAGTCATGGGAAGGACGTTGTTCAGAGTCATGTTCCAGAGCACAACACTGAGCTGCTGGTGAGCAAGCGACAGAGCCCAAAGACGGAGGTAGGAGGCAGTGTGGGAGACACAGTTCAAGCAGAATTCTGTTCGTCTTGTTAGCATCTTTTCCTTAGCAATGTAGAGCAAGTTACTTACCAATGGTGTGAATGACCTGGTGGATCATGACTTCACTGAACTCGAACTCCTCGTGCTCACCATCGCCGTGGAGGTCCTGCGTGATCATAGCGACGCCGTCGCCCTCAGACTCGTAGCTCGGCCGACCGTTAAGCAGCTGAGTCTCGTCATCATCGTCGCCATCCAGAGCACTAACCCGAGAGCTCTCGCCAATACCCCTATAGCCCTTGGCACGAGCGTGGTTGTGCTCCCAACGAAGCCAGAAGGGCTTCAGGAACAGCAGAATAGGAACTTGAACGACAGCAAGGAGCAAGAGAGTGACTTGAACGAAGCCCTGTCCGTTGTACAGCTTCTCGGGGGTAGAGCCAGGCGACAGGAACATGTAAATCAACATGTTGAGCAAGCCAGGAGGACCCTCCGTGACCGAGGGGTCGTACCAGTTGACGGTCCACTTGTAGATGATGCAAAGCACCAGGTAGCCGAAGATGGACTGGAAGAAGATCATGCCAGGAACGAAGTTGCCCCAGATGTCGACCTTCTTGTTGAAGTGCTTGGCGTTGACGTAGGAGAAGATCAAAGAGTAGGTCATGTGGGCCCAACCCAAAACGATACTCATCTTCATCTTGTAACTGTTGCTGAAGAGCAGGTCGTTGTCGGTGCCGTGCCATCTCCAGTCAAGACCGAAGGGGTAACGGTAACCGCTGTCGTTGAGCTTGCCGACGAGTGTCCTCGTCTCGGTGTAGTTGTTGCCAGCATCCCACTCCCAAGCACTGGGGAACAAAGTCATAGACTTGGAGAAGATATCGTTGTAGATGAGACCAGTGAAGAGCGAGAAGAGACCCATGACCAAGGCGATGTATCTGCCGTAGTACATCATGGCGAACAGTTCGAAGGAGACCTTCTTAAGAGGCTTCTCCCAGTAGATCATAGCGAGCGCAGAAAGCGTCATGATCACGGCGTGTCCGAAATCACCGAACATGACGGCGAAGAGGAACGGGAAAGTAACAATGACCGGGAGGGCCGGGTTGACCTCCTGGTAGGTGGGGGTACCGTAGGCGTTGACAATGGTCTGGAAGGCCTCGGTAAACTTGTTGGTCTTGAGATAAGTGGGAGGGGTCTTGTTGGTGCGGATCTCGTTGATAATAGAAGGCACCGACAAGCCCGCGCGGTTCGTAACGTCTTGCAGGGTCGACCGGATACGCGGGAGGTCGTTGGTCGGGCACCAACCCTCAGCGATAAGTGTGCGACGGGCTCGGTCGTACGAAAACAGATTGAGCGTGTTGTAGACGGCCTTCTCCTTCGTGACCAAGACCATCCACGCAGACAGAGCCTGAGAAATCTGCGACAGCTCCGCGTTGAGGGTCTGCTGAGTATTGCGAAGGACGTTCTGTACATCGTTAAGGCGAGCGTTGACCTCGTGGATCTGGTCGCGGCGAAGGTCGCTGTTCTCGTCGACGTTGTAGACCTCGGCACCCATGGACTCGGAAATCTTGCGAATCTTGGCCAGGATCTCCTTGCCGTGGGCGAAGATGACGAAGACGTTCTTGTTGATCTCCTCGTTGTTGGTGGGGTCGACAAGCGGCTCCGGGATCTCGGACTGGTTCATGTACAAGTTTCCGCGGAGGGTTCTCCAGAGGATGCGCTCGAAGGACGCGACGCGGTCACGGTTGATGACACCGGCGACGAAGCCGATGTTCATACCGGAGAAGGAACGCTCGACATCAGACGCCGTGTTATGCTGCTCGACGTCCTGCAGGAGGGGAGCATCGTCGTTGTCGGTGGACGCGCGGATCTCCTCGACGTTGCCGTGGGCTCTGTCAAAGAAGCCGCCGGCCTCGCGGAGGACCCAGCGCCACTCGGTGAGTTCGACCTCGCGCTTCTTCAGGGTCTCGTAGCTGTCGTTGAGCTGATAGACGCGCTGTTCCAAGCTCTGGCTTCGCTCGGCGAGCTCGTCAATCTCCGAAGTAGAGGGATTCGCGAGTCTTTCCGCGTCGACATCGAACTTCCTGAGAGAGATGCCGGCCTTCTCCATCTGAGCGTAGAAGTATCCTGGCAGACAAGTGTTAGCTCGATATCGTTCGTGTTCGTCGCGAGCCGGGTGCGGCTTGGGGTGATGACGTACGCAGCTGGCGTTCGACATTATCGAGCCTTCGGATCTCCTGTGTGAAGGTACGCTGGAAAGCGCTGACTTCGCCATTGAGCTGGAATCGGTGTTGGATGTTAGCTTCGATGACGCAAATGATGTTGATGTGCAAGGGGGTTGGTTTGGCGACGTACATCGCGGAACTGGAGCAGACCAAGCTCTCCGAGTGCAGTGACAACCTCGCGACCTATTTCGTTGGAAATGTACAGCTGCACCATACTCATGTTCGCCGAGCGAAACATGGTATCCTGTGCCGGAGCCATCTTGATGTGTGGCGGTAGCTCCGAAGCCGTACGTGGGTGGGTGGTTGAGTTCAAGCTTGACGATTACAAGGACCAAACACGGGAGCTGCCAACTTGATGTCGTTGCCTCCTTGGAGAATGGGGCTGAGCCGGAGAATCGGAGGGCTAATTATTCCGAAGCTCAGATAAACGAGGTGTGGCGCGAACTAAGGTGGGCCGTGGCGGTGCGTTTTCCCAGCAGATATTTTTTTGCGATTATCCACCGCAAACTCTTCACGATTCTTTCCTCTACAACACCAGACAATTTGAGAAACTCTTCATCGCAACTCCTCCCGCCTCGCGCGTGCGTACACTTCATATTTTGAAGTCGCAAGGGAGCTCGTTTATGGCCAGTCAATATCATGAATGTGCTTGGCCGAGTTTGAAGCTTGCATGCGAACGAGCAATTCGAGGAGCAATACTTCTGCGATCTTGAACCATCTCTCTTCTGAGCCATGTTTAATGACTAACCTACCGCAGCGATGGCGCTTTCGAAGCTTTGTTGGCGGTCCGCAAGGACACAAATGGTCAATCAAAGTCAATATGACGCCTAGAGCAAACCCCAAATACCCTGCCAAGGGTTATTCTCCGTCGTGTTACAAAGTCTTAGCCTTGCGATTAAGAACTTTGCGTCAAATCAACGAGATACATCCTGCCACCGTAGAAACTACTTTTTTTGAAGAGCCACGAAATGTTTTATTTATTCCTGTCTGCTAGACTAAGCGGGTTCAACATGAATGCCCGCTCAAAGCTCCTTCTTTTCACCCTCCGCAGGGGCGGGGGTCTTAGCTCCTGCTCCGGCCGGTACCTTGACCTTCGCCTTGCCCTGCGGGCTCTGCTTGGCCCTCATGAGGATGAGTCCCAGAACGGAGGTAATCAACTCGGTGACGAGCGTGACCATGCCGTTGCACGCCAACTGCCAGGACACGATGCTCACGCTGCCCATGGGCGCCTTGGGGAAGGACATGAGCCACTCGGCGTAGTATGGGAACCAGCCGTACGGCAGCCAGAACATGGGCTCCTTGGAGTACCAGAACGGCAGGCCGTACTGGGGGACCTTTGTGACGGCGAGTCGGACGCCGGTCAGGTAGGTGTCGAACTTGGATTTCGATGCTTCCTGGGATTGCTCTGTTGCAAAGAAAAAAGCGTCAGCGGTGTGTCATGACAGATTTTGGGGAAAAGCCTCTCCGGGTTCCCGAGGGAGGGGGTCCAACACGTACTGCTCTTCTCCAGCTGGTCCAGCAACTTGTCATGCGTCCGACGCAGCTTCGCCCACCTGGCGAACTCATCCTGGCTGCTGGTTGCATTCAGCTCCTTTCGCGTCTTCAGGAACTCGGCCTGCAGCTGGCGGTGCTGCTTCGCCGCCTGCGAAGTCGACACGGGGAGGTAGTTGATCAACGTCCAGAGCTAATGGCGAGCAAAAGTTAGTCGAGGGTCGATCTTTCCGCGATCGGAGTCTTCCAAAATGCATGACTGACCAGATTGTTGATGGTGTTCGCTCCGATCGTGTTCACCAGGTGGGAGACCACCTCCAGCACGAAGATGATGACGAGTAGAGAGGGCATTTTGTGTCGGTCGGTGGGCGCGCTTGAGGATGAGAAAAGTCGCAAGCGGTCGGTGAGGTAGGTATCAAAGGCGCATGCTGCGCTGGATGTTGCGTGGGCGAGGGCCGGTCCAGTGGTTTAATCGTGCAAACGGTGCGTGACTCCGTAAGGTAAGGTCTCTTTAGCATGAGGAAAACGTGGTCCTATGTCATTGCCCCGCGAATTGCATCTTAAGCGGGGACCCGAGCCACTGTGCGCCTCACGCCTCACGGTTCACCCAACCAAAGAGCCGGGCCAACCTTACCTATCATCTCATCTCGATCAACGGCCTCAACGTCGAACTCCGCGGTTCATCTATATCGTCATCATTCGTCGCAGTCCGGCGTGCACTTCGGCGTGGGCTCCCAGACATGCCTGATTCCGGACGACCGTAGCCCAACGCCACTGCAATGTCGAGAGCACTGGATAAGCATGTCATCGCGGCACTGAAGCAGGGCGACCACGACAAGATCTTCAACGACATCGCGGGGCTCTTCGAAACCCGGCCGGACGATCGCCTTCTCGAGATCGAGATCCTCGGCGCCAGCCACCCCCTCGGCCCGGGGGAGAGCTTCCTGCGCGACGACAACGCCGTCGCCGTCCCCAAACTCCGGCTCGTCCAGGCCTTCGTCGTCGCCCGGCAGATCCTGCAAAGGCACCTCGGGGAGGATGGTTCCGTCGAGGCCCGCAGGCTGAGGTCCGCCACGAGCGCCCTGCTCCTCATGGACCCGGAGCACCTCACCGCCGCCAACACCAGGAAACGGCTCCTACGGGACGAGGTGTCCGCGGGGGGCGACGACGTCGCGGAGTCGGCGCTGGCGCGGGAGAAATGGTTCGTCGACAGCTTGCTTACCGGAAGGCTGCACCGGCACACGAAGTCGCCGACGCTATGGAGCCACCGGCGCTGGCTGCTGGAGCAGTTTCGCGAGGCTGGGCTGCCTGTCGCGGTTCAACGGGATGTCGAAACGGTCATCATGGTGGCGGGGGAGAGACATCCGCGCAACTACTACGCGTGGAGTCACGCGCGGTGGATGACGGGGGCTTTCCTGACCGATTCTGGGCAAGAAGGGCTGCTGTCTCTCATTCAAAGCGTCAAGAAGTGGTCTTTCAGGCACCGTAATGACGTATCGGGATGGTCGTTCCTAGTTCATCTTCTGGCCAAAACTCAGGACGACAGCAGCAAGGAAGCCTCAAGGTCGGTATTCGAGGAGACGCTTGACTTGGCCGATTCCTTACGATGGGGAAACGAGTCTGTATGGTGGTTTCTGCGCACTATGGCCTCAAGCGCAGCATCAGGGCAAGATGGAAGAGAACAGTTCATGAAGACTCAAGAGAGGCTGGTAGCCGCTATGGCCGAAGACTCAGTAGAGCTTAAAGTGTTACGAGCAGCACGAACTTGGTGCGATGTGTACAGTACGGGCCCAAGCGCATCGGAACGAAAATGCGGATAACATTGAAGCTTAAAAAATCTCGAGGTCGCGTGTCTGGCGCTTGCGGCGTTGCCGTTCGGATTGGGAGGGTATGTCGAGGACCCTTGAATTCTGGCTTCGTTTGCTTGATGTTGTCCTGGGTTGAGCCCTGGACTTGGTCCCATCAGAACGGGTACCAGCGCGAGGCGTGGCCGGAATACGAGCCTCTTGTCATGCTACTGGGGGCAGACTTTAGAAACGAGATATTGCCGAGTCTCGAAGATGGGAAAGTTGTCCGTACACCTGGCATCACATTTTCGGTCAGGCAGCCTGGAAACTGCTCAAGCCGTGAATCCGTGTGACTGCGGCAACATGCCAGTTTGGTTTTCCGGACTTTTCATGCGCAGTCAATAGGCCATAATCGGCGTGAAGTCCAAGCAATTAAGAGCATAGTACAAAAGGGAAAAAATGAAGGCAGATATTCACAATATTCAGAATGTTCGCCATATATCGCAGAAACGCATACCTCTTTCTAATTGGTGCATTCCCCGGTTGATCAGATCAAGCTTAGCTGGTAGCCACCACAGACTCGCGGGATGTCGGCGATAAGAGGCTGAAACTATTGGTGACCTGGGCCCCTGTTCATCATGTCCACATTTGGACGCCCCTGTTCTCCTTCAAAGCTCGCCAACAAACGCGAAGATCTGCGGACTGGTGGGTGGAAGCATCCGTCATGTTCGCCTCATCAAATCGCCTGCGGAGGGCGAGGGCCCCGGAGTTACGGCATCCGACTTCACCAGAGGAAACGTGCGTTTGCCGGTGGGCAGGACATCTGCTGCTGGCCAAATGGATGGCATTGCCAGCTCCGGGTTGTTGTGGGCTTGACAGAGTACCGCTCTGCAATAGACCGGCTGGGCGTTTCTTTCACCAGAGTCTTGAGCGGGAGAGGGTCCAAATCACCCGTTGAGACAACAGCAACTCTGTACCGCCGCGACAGCTTTAGATGTTAGAAAGACGTCGTAATGGGTCCAGGCTTTTGCGGCGGGGAGCTGTCAGTTGTAAAATTGACAAGAGAGAATCTTGGGCGCAAGAGGAAAAGGCTGGGAGTCGGGTAATTAGCAGTAGGGCTCAGGTGGCTCGGGGCAAATTGGACCCTGGGGCCAGCGGCGCAAGGTCGATGAGTGTGATGATTTTCACAGCAAAATCGAGGGTCGGTGGTCCACGTCTGTGTGATTTGAGTTGGGCGATCTCCTGTCAAACCCCGGATAGGAATCCTTCACTGTCGGGCCTATGCATGCTGAATCAGCGGGGATCCCCAGAGGCAAACGAGCAAAAGCGGAAGTTGAGAGTCGGGAAAGATGAGAGGTGACGGAAGAAAGGCCGAAGAAGCGAGGCTAGACGGCTTTTGGTGACGAGGGACGGGCAAGATTGCGTTTGCGGTGGGATGCAGCGGATGGCTCCAGGCCTGCGCGAAAAGGGCACAGAGCAGTCGACGACTCGAGGTTGAGGAAAGAATTTCCCGAGTATCCATCTGGGTGCAAGGGACCGAACTTTGCGAGGAGAGCACGAGCCAGGCGCAGCGCCCGCTCTCCGTTTGATTGTTTGGCTGACGAGGTCCTGAGCAAATTGCCGTGGTCGAGGCCGCCGATGGATGCACGTTTCCGGAGCTGGAGTCGGCCGACAGAGTTGTTATTGTTGGTTGCAGTCGACGCGAATCTTGGGTGAAAGAGGCGGCGGGTTGTTGAGTTTCCCACGGCCACGGATAGGGCTTCGAGGCTGCGATAGTGAGACAAAGGTTAAGAGCGCAGGTCTGAGGTTGCGCAATGTCGAAGTCGATGGGCGAAGGCCCAAAGAAGCCAGCCTCCGTTCTGGCTGCATGGGATCGGCCTGGAGCGAAGGGCAGATGGACAAGCTTGGCCTGGAGAGGACGACCCGAAGCAGCATCGAGGGGACATTGAAAGTGGAGCGGTCTCCTCAATCTTAAGAGGCGTCCCCCTTGTTTTCCTAGCGCTAAAGCAGGCAAGGCGGCTTCTTCGGTCTCGTGGCTGCGTCTGGCGATGATTTTCTTTCTCTTTCGTATCTGGCCCACGGTAACGGTTGACGAGGCCGCGCAAGACGAGTGGGAAGAAGGCGCATGAACCACGAGGCTGTGGCTTGGCGAGAAGACGTGAACGGCAATCGAATAGGATCCGCGATCTTGGCTCTGGGTCCTTCTTTATTCCCACGGTCGCTGTCGAAGGAGCGAAGGAAGGCAGCCGCATGCAAATGGAGGTTGCGGATTGACTGGCGGCGTGATAGTAGACTGTGGTTTGTGGGAGCAACAAGAATGATCGATGGACGGGTCCCCCTGAAGTCGACGTCCAAAAGAGGAAGTGAGTTGAGAGCCGAGAGGAGAAAAGATAGCCAATCAGAGAGAGGAATTGGCAGAGAAGCAAACGGCCGTTCATCCCATGAATACAGAATACACCGGGAATACCTCTGTTTATTCAGGTCCGTGAACGTTTTTGCGGCGTCTTGTCAGTGACTGACAGCCGCTGACTGTCAGCACCGTCGGGTCCCGTCTTGATCGTGTACCTGAGGTACCTCCTCCGGCCATTCCTTGCGGCAAAAGTACGTGCATAACGACACGGACCAGGTGCCCCATATTAAACCAGCCGATGGCAGGGTTACAAGGGAAGGGATAGATAGCTTCACTGGAAACTTGGCTTAACCGTGTTTTTGTTTTTTACAGGCAATATGGAAACCATGATGAAGGCATAATTCGGTGAACGGAAAGGAAGAAAAGAAAATCAGAGACAGATATTTGACTCGAGTCACAGACCGAAATACAAATATCGGAGCCGGTTGGAGCATCAACCAGGAACAACAGCAGTAATTAAGTTCCCCTGCGCGATTGCATGCATGTGTGCAGATCTGACCTCCCCATGGCTCCCCATGGCTCTCCATCGAGTGCAGAAACGGGCAGGCGAATCCACTTACACCGGGCCGCTAACATAGCCAAGTAGTCAATTCAACCAATAACCGCCGCAGACGCCCAATCTCTTTCAGCACGTCTCTTTCCCTTTCGGACGCAGCAGCAAAAGCGAACCGAACCAGACCAGACCTTCCAGTGGTGGTTTGGTGGTCCAGCCATGTCTGACCATTAAGCAACGCCGTCTGCCATCCACCCCCCATGTCAGCTTGCCCATCAACACCACGCTGCTGCTACTTGTCTACCCCGGCAAGCAACAGACCATTCAGCGCTGCCATCGTCGCTACCCTAGACTCTAGCTCGCCTGGTCTTGACAAGCTGCCCACGCCTCCTCCGGCTCCGATTCGTACATCTCCATATCTACTCCCCACGATCCCCTCCCACGTCTCCTCTTTCCCTCTTGCCTCTCACCCTCCTCCTCGCCAACCTCTCCGCCACCCGAGGGGCTTCTTCTTCCTTTTCTTCTCGACCTGCCCGCCCCATCTTGATTTAATCCGAGCTTCTTTTTTTGTCATCGCACAGATATAGACCGGAAAGAGCACAGAAAAGAGAGAGAGATTATCGTCGTCTCTGTGTGCTTGTCCATCGCTTCCCTTGCAGAGCGAAGCACGAAGCGCCGTCCCTCACCATTTACGCCTGTCTCATTGTCTTGCATCGTGTCTCTGGCACTCCTCGCTAGTGGCGTTCTCAGTCGCCCATTCACCGATTCCATTGTCTTGCCCTTGGTTCGACTGGCCCGCGTACAGCATTTTCGGATCATTTCGCCAAGATCACCCTCCAGCATTACCCATTCCTCCTCGTATACCTACCCGCCGACTCCCCCTTCGGCTTCGAAACTCGTTCTAGCCGCTTTACATGCGCAACACCTAATTCTTAATACCATAATCTGTCCTCCATCGCGGAGTCTGGCACCCGCACCTACCGCCGATACCCAACCATCACGATAATTACCTGCTCCGAGCAACTAGACTATCCGCTGTCAATTGCTCGCCGAGCTGTTGTCCCTTGGTTCAGACGATTGTTGCTCATTCACTTGTGCGACATCAACCCTTATATAAAAGCAAACATCCGCACATTCTCTCTCTCGATACCTCGGCACGAACTTAGCTGCCCGGCCTAGGCGACCGACCAGTTCCCGGTTCCAAAATGCGTTCGACCCAGCTTTTGGCTCACCTATCGCTGTTTCTCTCGTCCGCCAACGCCTTCTACTACTTGGATGTTCCGCAAATCTGCCCATTTGTCGATGGCTGCAAATCTTCGGGGAAGGAGGCAAGGGGTCAGGAGACGCTCGCAGCAGATGTGGTGAATGCCATCAAGGCTGTCAAGAACCCGGCATTCCACGTCGGCCCTCAGATTAGCGACAACTCGGTAAGTGGAGAGAATCTCGGTTGTTGGATCTGACCAAGGGACCCCATGGCCATATTCAACTAGCACCACATCATACACTAACATCCCTTCAAGGCCCAAGATGCTCAGTCCGAACGAGTTGCCCGCGAAGTGGATCGCCTTACTCAGAAGTACGCGAGGTTTCAATCAGCAGCAGTAATCCGCGAGAGAGCTCGCAAGACTAAGAGACAGAGTCTTTACCGCATCATCACTGCCGCAGACACCTCCCTCAAGAACGCCGCCCCCGTTGCTCAGGATGGCACCGACTTTTCGTACTTCGCCCAGGTCAAGTTCGGTTCCAAGGCCAAGCCGTTGTGGATGCTCATCGACACCGGAGCAGGTACCAGCTGGGTGATGGGTTCTTCTTGCAAATCATCCGCCTGCGAGAAGCACGGTTCCTACGGACCCAGTGACTCGGACACCCTCAAGGACCTTGGAGAAGACTTCTCCGTTGCTTATGGCTCTGGCTCCGTCAAGGGTCAGAAGATCTCCGACAGCATCTCCTTCGCCGGCATGAACTTCGATTTCCAGTTCGGTGTTGCCAACGAGACCTCCGAGGACTTCAACCATTTCCCGTTTGACGGAATCTTGGGCCTTTCGATGGCCGGTGGAGAGACCGAGAACTTTGTTCAGGTCGTCGAGAACTCCAAGCAACTCGATGCCACTGTTTTCTGTGTTTACTTGAGCAGAGCTGCCGATGGGCCGAACGCAAGTGAAATCAGCTTCGGCTCCTGCAACCCTGACAAGTACACCGGCGATTTCACCTACACCGCTGTTGGCTCTCAGAACGGCGACTGGGCGATTCCCGTGGACGGCATTGCTTACGATGGCCAGAAGTCCGGTGCGGCCGGCAAGCTCGCCTACATCGACACTGGTACGTCCTACGTCTTCGGCCCGCAAACCGATGTCGCCGCGTTCCACAGCAACATTCCTGGCTCCTCTTCGGACGATGGCACAACTTTCAAGGTGCCGTGTGACAGCAACAAGGACGTGACCTTCACGTTTTCCGGTGCAAGTTATGTGATCTCCCCTAAGGACTGGAGAACCCAGAACTCGGACGGCACCTGCACGAGCAACATCTACGGCCACGAGGTGGTTGCGGGAGCCTGGTTGCTTGGAGACGTCTTCCTGAAGAACGTTTACGCGGTCTTCGATAAGGACCAGAAGCGTATTGGTGAGTCTACACAACATGTCAAATTGCCATACTTCATGCTGACTGTTCCGCAGGATTCGCTACTAGGAATGATCCAGCGCCAACTACCACTACCAGTAGCGCCGATTCCGATTCCACGCCCGACGTGGTAAACCAACCCGGCATCACCACCCTCGTCTCTTCGAAGGCAACTGCCACACCCTCTCTTGGCCTCGGCGGCCACGAAACATCTGCCACTGCCGCGGCGGCATCCACCACAGGCAACTCGCAGTCTGGAGCGGTCTCATTTGCCTCGCTCTCTCACGTCAACGTGGCCGCCGCCGCGTCGATCTGCCTCTTTGCCATGTTTGGACTGTACTAAGGAGCTTATGTTTTTTTCAAGCGCTGCAATCTCATCACGGTCGGGATTACGGAAAATTGGATTGGTTATGTGCACATGATACCCCAGAGGGACCGACACAGACGGCCCCCTACAAGATGGCCATTGTAGATATTATTTTTTAATGCAAATAAAAGCGTCTGATTCTTACGGCCACATCCAGCTCCCGATCTTGATCAGTGAATGCTTGATGATTCTGTTCCATTTTATGTGAACACGCTTCAACTACGTCTGATTCAATACAGCGCTTTTTAACTACTCGTTACTTTGATACAGCGCTGTCAGTATTTGCTCTCAAGATTTCTGCAACATATGGAGAATATCTCCCTCCCGTGGTTAAAGGGGTATCCCGGGCAAAAAACCACCTCGCAGCCTATCAACCAAACCTACCCCCTTAACAACCAATTATCGTTTAATTGCATGTCGTGGTACATCATAACGTCAATCGTGACCTGACCCTCATCCGCCACTCATGACCGACGACAGACGCATCGAGACCACGCCCTTGAACTCCCCTCCTCAGGCGTACTAAGCATGCTGATCAGACATGAGCCTGAGGAGGGGAGTTCAAGGGCGCGTGTCTCGGCGCCAATCTCGAGGTTGAGTCTCGCTCTGACGGGGGAAAAGCCCAACTGGGGCAGGTAGGTAAGTCACCGAGACGCACGCCGTGAGGGTGAGCCCCTAAACTCCCCTCCTCAAGCGTCTTCAGGAGATCGCGTCTGAAGCTCGGACGGCGGAGGAGGGGAAACCGGAGCCGTTCTTCCAGATGGGGATCGGTCCTGGGCTTGAGGAGGGGAGTTTAAGGTCAACATCTCCGGATGCGTGGTGAAGCAAGAAACCTGGGATGTGCTCGTCCGGATACGAGAGCGTCGTGAGCAATCTCTTCTGGGGCACTTCCCGCGGAGCTACGCGAGAAGAGAGTGCTCACTGCGTTCTCGTATCTGGACGAGCGTGTTTTGGGGTCCCGCCGAGCTTGATCATCGTCACCTTCGTCAGTCTGTCTCCCTTCCTCCATAGATCTCAAGGGTGAGTGTCTCGCGTCTCACATCTTCATTTCGCCGTGCAGACCCGACGCGGCGGCCCTGACGGCCTCGAGCCCGCCGACGTCGGCCTCGAGCATCCTCAGCGCCTCCCTCGCGAAGGGCGCAGCCTGCGCCCTGACGCGCAGGCTCCAGAGGTACTCCTCGACGCGCTCGGCGTAGTACATGGCCTCGGCGTCGTCGTCCGAGGTGGCCCACAGCAGGCCGGCGAAGGAGCCGATGGCGGCGAGCTGGGCGGAGGCGGCGAAGCCCCAGAAGGACTGGATGTGCTCCATCTGCAGGTTCGAGATGATGTTGGAGGCGGCGGCGAGGCGGGCGCGGGCGCCGGTGCGGATGGCGGCGCGCAGCTCGGGGGGCGCGTTGGAGGATATGTTGCGGACCAGGGAGCGGTGGAGGGCTAGGTCTATTGAGATGTAGGCGAGGTGGAGGGAGCCTTTTTTTGGTGTGAGTATGAGGGGCGGGTGATGTTGGAAAGAGAAGGGGGGGCTTACCGTTTGCTGAGAGCTTCTTCAGGCGGGTTTCTTGGAGTTGGAGGGCTTCGGGGAGCTTGGCGTACCACTCCCGCAGCATCATGACGATGGGCTTGGCCAGCTCGGCGACGCCGACGGTGCCGATCTGGTCGAGGGTGCCGCCGCGGCGGGTGGCCTTTGCGGTGTAGAAGATGGCCAGGACGTCGCTGAGGATGAGGGAGAGCTCGATCTGGCGGAGGAAGAGCTCGCGGCCGACGACGACCTCGGCGCTGCCCTCCGGGTCGTGCTCCTCGTCGGCGGCGTTCTCGGGGAAGTCGTCGACGCGGCAGGGGCGGACGTCCCAGTCCTCGTCGAGGCGGATGTGGGAGGGCCGGCCGTGGACGAGGGCGCCCCACTTGTCCTGCATGAAGAGGGCCCAGGCGAGGCGGCGGCGGAGGCCCTTCTCCCAGTCGGGGATGGCCCAGTCGGTGCAGTCGACGTGGAGGCCGAGGCCCTGGGCGAGGGCGACGAGCTGGGCGGTGAAGGTCCAGGTGTTGTTGCGGAAGCGCTGCTGGACGAGGAGGCCGGCCTGGAGGGTGGAGATCTTGGGGCGCTTCATGTCGTCGGACATGGTGCGGAGGGCGAGGGCCTCGAGGGCGGCCTGGTCGGGCTGCCATGTGGAGGTGGCGAGGGTGCGGTCGTAGAGGGACCAGTCGAGGGCGATGAGGTAGACGGCGGCGAGGAGCGGGGGGGAGAACTCGTGGTAGGAGCGGGCGTACTTTTCGAGGAAGACCTTCTTGTGGAGGATGGGGAAGGAGGGGTGGACGATGCGGAAGTAGAGGTTGACGAGGGTGGAGCCGAGGGGGTGGACGAGCTTCTCGATGGCGTCGAGGTCGGCGATGCGCTGGGGCTCGGAGGAGGTCTCGCGGTCGCGGTGGATGAGGAAGACGGTGTTGTCGTCGAGGCGGCGGACGGCGCGGGCGGAGGGGTCCTGGGGCCGGTGGAGGTCGAGGAGGGCGGGCTCGCGGTAGGAGGTGTTGCCGACGTGCTCGGAGTGGGTTTTGAGGTGGAGGCCGAGGGTGCCGTCGAGGAGGGAGGTCGGCCGGGGGGAGTGGAAGTGGGCGATGTTCTCGGAGCCGGCGAGGGACGGGGAGAGGGCCTCGAGGAGTTCGGGGGAGGGGTGGTGGCTGGTACGAGTGTGACACGGTCAGTACGGGTGAGTTGGACGAATGAGATGTGTGGTGATGGTCTAAAGAGGAAGGACATGACACACAGGATACACGGAGAATGACATCTCGTACAAGGGGGGTAAGGCATGAGTAAGTGAGAATGAGATATAGTGAGACAAGATGAGATAAGATTAGATGAGATAAAACAAAGCAATGAAAACTCACCTCATCTCCTCTTGAGGATCCAGAGGCGCCGGGCCGGGCGCAGGGCCGGCGGGCGCCGAGACAACAGATCCGTTGGTCTGGGGTCTCACCTCCGGGGGGTCTGTGGCCTTCCGGCGCTTGCGCGGTAGGGGCCCGCGGAGATATGTGCACGGCTGGCCGTGGAATGAGCACATGACGCACTTGTCGCGGCCATCCTCGCGGACGCAGCGCGTCTTGCGCTGACGACATATGTCACAGGGGCGGCTCTGGGCGGGCCCTGTTGCTGATGAAGAGGCGGCGGCGGCTGCTGCTGCTGCCGCCGCCGCCGATGACGACGAGGGGTGGTGAGGTGTGTCGGAAGAAGAAAGTTGAGATTGCGGCGGCGGCGGCGGCGCGGGGTCGGCAGAGGCGGAGGCGGGGGCGGAGGCGGGGGTGGTTGTTGTGCCGTAGGGCGCAGGTGCGTCCATGGTTCGGCGGGCGGGACCGGGCGACGGGCCGGCGCGGGGCTGGATGTGTGTGTGAGTGGGTGGGTTGAGATAAGGCAGGGTGAGATGAGTGATGAGAAGTCCAGATAGTGATTGTGTGAGGTGAGAGATAAGGCCGGTTCGTCGTGATGTGATTAGTGTGTAACGTAAACCCGGTGACACACAGTGAGGGTTGATGGTTGAGAGTGAGATTGGAATAAAAGGGTGTGAGTTTCCCTACACCAGTGCTGACGGTCTTTTTTTTCCTCTTTCGCAGAAGCTCCGGTTCGGAACTGTGTGACAGAGCCTCCTCCCTACAGCGCCAACGCTACCGCACGACACGCCTAGGATGGAGGGTGGACAAGCGGCATTGAAGGCTTGGTCAACTGGACTCGAGTGACGTCCGATCAGTGATGGGCAGCCCTGTCTTGTTCGGTACTTGAGCCCGAGTCGTTCCTGCCTTTAACCAGGCTGAGCTTGAGCTGGTCGATGAGTCGAACAGACGGACTTTTCGAGGCGCGAGTCTCTCTGAATATCTCCAGAAACGACGCTGCAGAGGTTCCAATGCCAATGGGCTAACACCGGGGCTCTTCCGGCGATTGAGCGGCTCTTCCTGAGGTAGGTCTTATGCGTCGTCTGATTTGGCGTGGGCTGAGTGCTGTTATCGCAACGCTGCTTGCTTGATGAGTGGGAATTTTTTTTCTCTGATAAGTCGCTCACCGTCATTACGCCGAGCAATGCGCGTGGGATAAGCAGGGGGAAACTAGACCGGTTTGGAAAGTAGTATTCATGTATGTTTTCTGCAATAAGAGGCAAGGATGGTACATGACAATACTTTCGCATTTCCAAAGCGCCGTCCTGCTTCCCGGACCCGCACTGAAGCAAGTGCAAGTGAGCCTGAACCCACGGTGCCGCGCCCCTGTCGCTGTCGCCGGGTACGCGGACTGTCCGGTCCCCTAAAAGTGAAATAAGGGGTACGTACCTCCACTTGAGGTCAGCTTGCAACGTCGACCGCAAGAGGCCGACAGTAAACGTCCAGCTAAGCTACCTGCTTGCTCCTTCAAAACATTGTCCAGAACATATCACCCAATTCACCAAACGAGCTCCAAAGTCTACGATCGATACACACACACGGCGCGCGCAATCCTCACACGACCACGGAAGCCGCTCTCGAGTCCTTCCTCATCCCGCCCTCCTTTCTTCCTTCTTTGTTTCCCGGCGGAAAATGACAGCGCAATAACTTACAATGGCCAAGGCCCGTAAGCATGGAGCCCACCGAGACGACTCCCATCCGGGCGCTGCTCCGGGCCCGAGCGAGGAAGACAGAAGCCTCCTCGCCGACGACCCTCTCACCCACGATGTCCACCACAGCTCCGCTGGCACCGCCGCCGCCGCTGCGGAGGACAGCTACTTCATGACGAAACAACAACCCACCTCAGCGCCGCCGCTCCGTCAAGCCCTCCGATCCCCCGGGACGCCACGGACCCCGAACCGCGTCCGCTTCGACCCCATCCCTTCCATCGTCCAGCCCTCGCCCCCGCGGCCCTCCATGACCGCCAGCAACGCCTCCGGCAGCGCCCGCCAGAGCCGCGACAGCTTCGACGTCGACGACGAGCTCTTCCAGCACGCACCCGGCTACGACGAACACGATGACCACCACCGCCGCCCTCTGCTGACCGACATCGAGGCCCCCTCCGTCGCGCTGGCCAATAGCCCCTGGGGGGATGAGGACGTTGACGAGTGGGCCGAGGCCGAGCGCAACCGGCCCAAGTCCGGGCTGAAGATGGCCTTCATGAATATGGCCAACTCCATCATCGGCGCCGGCATCATCGGCCAGCCCTACGCCTTCAAGCAGGCCGGCATGCTGGGCGGGATCTTACTGCTGCTGTTCCTGACAGTCGTCGTGGACTGGACCATATGCCTGATCGTCATCAACAGCAAGCTGTCCGGCAGCAACAGCTTCCAGGGGACGGTGGAGCACTGCTTCGGCCGGACCGGGTTGATAGCCATCTCGGTCGCGCAGTGGGCTTTTGCGTTTGGCGGCATGGTTGCCTTCGGCGTCATCGTGGGCGACTCAATACCGCACGTTTTAACGGCCATTTGGCCGGACCTTAGGGAGATGCCTGTGTTGGGACTGCTGGCCAACAGGCAGGTCGTGATTGTGGTTTTCGTACTAGGCATCAGCTACCCGTTGACGTTATACCGGGACATTGCAAAGGTGAGGCTCGTTGAGGTCTGAGAGACGAAAAGATGCTAACTGCTCTCGTAGCTGGCAAAAGCGAGCACCTTGGCCCTCATCAGCATGGGCGTCATTGTCGCGACGGTTGTGATTCAGGGGGCCCTCACGCCCAAGGCAGACAGGGGTTCCTTCACACCCGCCCTCCTGACCGTGAACTCTGGCATTTTCGAAGCCATCGGCGTCATCTCATTCGGTAAGACTTCGCATACTCGTCAAACGACCACCCACTAACATCGAACGCCAGCCTTCGTCTGCCACCACAACTCCCTCCTCATCTACGGCTCCCTCAAGACGCCCACAATAGACCGCTTCTCCCGCGTGACGCATTACTCGGTCGGCATCTCCACCGTCGCCTGCCTCATCGTCGCCCTCGCCGGCTTCCTCACCTTCGGCGACAAGACGCTCGGCAACGTCCTCAATAACTTCCCCGCCGACAACGTCATGGTCACCATCGCCCGCCTCTGCTTCGGCCTCAACATGCTGACCACCCTGCCCCTCGAGGCCTTCGTCTGCCGCGAGGTCATGTTCGAGTACTTCTTCCCCGGCGAGCCCTTCAACATGAATCTCCACCTCATCTTCAGCTCCAGCCTCGTCGTCTCCGCCATGGTCATGAGCCTGCTGACCTGCGACGTCGGCGCCGTCTTCGAGCTCGTCGGCGCCACCTCGGCCTGCGCCATCGCCTACATCCTCCCCCCACTGTGCTACATCAAGCTCACCACCCGCTCGTGGAAGACGTACGTCGCCGGGGGTATCGTCGCGTTCGGGACCGTGGTCATGGTCATCACTCTGATACAGGCGGTCGCCAAGATGGTCAGCAGTGAGTTTTCCCCCTCCCCCTTTTCGACTCTCGTATGGCAACGCAAGACTAACCTACGGCACAGACGAAAATGGCCCGGCCAAGTGCATGTAAAAATATGTATTACTAGAAAGTACGCATGCGGATGGCATGGAGTTTTGTATAGAATCAGGACGCTGGGTCCTCGGGGCTCGACGCGGGCGCAAAGTCTTTTTTTCCAAATAGAGTCCCTCGCGGTCTGTACAACACGGAGACGACGAGAGAGAGGGATTTGGTTCAAGTCTACATATGTGTTTGTTATATATGAAACTCTGCGCAGTGTAGCTGGAAATTTTAAAAAGGCGTTTTTGACAGCTGTTGCACTTTCTGTGCTTTGAATTGATGCGTTCGAGCCAAGGCATTTGGGTATTGGAATGACGATTCATATAATCTCTACGTAGTTCTAACCAAAACACTCGCTGGACCTACCCAACGCTACAAATCTAAATCTATCATCTATCAACGGAAAATAAAACATCACATGTCAAACATCCAAAACATGCGAATGTAGAAAAAACCAAGCAAACCTCAGAAGCCTACTCCGTCTCGATAATCAGCAAATCGTCGTACGGCCCGACAATGTCCCCCTGCGCCACTAGCATCTTGGCCACCCTCCCCCTGACGGCGCTCGCGATCTTGATCTCCATCTTGTTGGACTCGATCCAGACCAGGGCGTCCCCGACGTCGACCTCGTCGCCGACCGCGACCTCGCACTTCCAGCACCGGCCGGGCATCTGGCTCTTGACCCTCTCGCCCGCGACGACGGCGTCCACCTCCTCTTCGACGAGCCTCCGCTCCGTCTCGGGCGGGTGATACGGCTGGAGCAGCTCCTCCATGAAGGGCACGGTGCGGATGGCCTCGGCGCGGGCGGCGCGGGTGGCTTCGATCTCGGCGCTGTTGGCCTCGAGCCAGGCCTCGTATTCGTGGAGGTCGAGGCTTCCCTTTTCGATCTTGACGAGGTCCGTCATCTTGCCCCTGGCGATGGCCGCGTCGAGCTCGGTCTCGGAGACGGGGTAGAAGGAGATCCTGTCGAAGAGGCGGAAGAGCCAGGGCTGGGCGTTGCGGGAGGCGGCGGAGGCGGCGACGTCGTCCCAGATGGGCACCGTGCGGCCGACGAGCTGGTACCCGCCGGGGGAGTCCATGCCGTAGATGCACATGTACTGGCCGCCGATGCCGACGGCGCCGCGGGGCGTGAAGGAGCGGGAGGGGTTGTACTTTGTGCCGAAGAGGCGGTGGCGCGGGTCGAGGGGTACCGCGCAGGGAGCGCCGAGGAAGACGTCGCCGAGGCCGAGGACGAGGAAGGAGGCGTCGAGGAAGATGCGCTCGACGTCGTCGCGGGAGCCGAGGGCGTTGAGCTGCTGGAGGAAGTCGATGTTGCTGGGTAGCCAGGGGGCCGTGGAGCGGATGGTGGCGGCGTAGCGGGCGACCGCGGCACGGGAGACGGAGTCGTCGAACGCGAGTGGGAGACGGAGGGTACGGGAGGGGAGGGAGGATGGGACGGCGGTGCCGAGGGAACTCTCGTGAGCGCGCAGGGCGGAATGGATTTTGGAAGGGGATGTTCCGGGGGTGTATTGGACGTGGAGAGTGCGTACGCCGGGGGAGAGATCGAGGACATGTGGGATTGGGGATCGTTTGTGGCGGTCAATGAAGAAGAAGATCTGGAAGCTCTGGCGGAGGCAGAAGACGTCCTCCGTGCCGAATTCGAGGAGGACGGAACTGTCGCCCGATTGGCGAACGGTAATGTGGCGGCCGGCGGTGCCGATGTTCCCGAGGAGAGGGTTTCCTTCAACTGGAGCAGAGCCGGTGATGAGGGAGGCATCTTCGGGCTTAAGACGAGTTAGGTTACCGATGGATTCCTCGAGGGAAGTCTCCAAGGCAAGTGCTGCATCAACGCTGATGGGCTTGAGCTTCACTCTGTCGCCTGGACGGAGCTGGCCGAGCTTCCACATCTCAGCCGAGGCAACGACACAGAAGACGACGAAGCCGCCTAGGCTGGGGCCATCACAGGTGAGAATGACTGCTTCGTCGCCTGTGAAGCTGACGCTGCCGACGGAGTAAGGACTGTCGTGGATGTTGGATGGGTGCAAGCCAGCTTCGCCGCCGGTGGGCCTGGCCCATTGAGGCTTGGGGCCGTCAAGACGTATTCCGACACGATTGCTATTGTAGTGAACAACCCACTCGCCGCTGAATAAAGTATCCAGGCCGGCCTGAGTGAAGTGTTCGGGGGCGGAGTGCTGACCGGGGACAACGCCAAGTGTCCAAACACCATTCGTAGGCGGAAGCGGTATGTCAGGACCGACAACCTCAGACACGGCGCTTGAGGTCATGCTACCTATCGGGAGAAGGTCACCGGCGCGTAGGTTCCGACCATTGTGACCTCCTACCTGTCCCAATGCAAAGGTTGAGCGGGAACCAAAGATCTCGGGAACATCAAGCCCGCCACGGATGGCGATGTAGGTTCGGTAACCAGATGTTGGGGCGCCAACGACGAGCGTTTCCCCCTTACCAACACTGATTGCCTTGTTCTGTTGGACGGACTTGTTGTTCAATGTGACCTCGGCAGGTGCGCCGGTGATGGCGACGAAGGCATCAGAGTGAAAGAGGAGACTGGGCCCTTGAACGGTGCACTCCAGACTGGCGGCGCGAGAATCGTTACCAACGAGTCTGTTACCGAGTCTGAGGGAGTAGTCATCGAAAGGTCCTGATGGCGGAACACCAACGTGCCACAAGCCCCTGCGGCCGGGGTAGTCTTGGACCGCAGTGAGGGTGCCAGGATCGACAACCTCGACCAGGTTCGCATCGAACTCAAAACTGTTGAGCGACGTCGTCGTGAAATCGCCAGAGTTGAATATTTCGGAGTCCACAATGCTTCGCAGATATTCCAAATTGGTCTCCACTCCAGTGATCACCGTGTTGTCGAGTGCTATGGCCAGCTTCGTGATGGCCTCTGTTCTGTTTGCACCAGTGGCGATGATCTTGGCCACAAGAGGATCATAAGACGAAGACATGTCCATGCCGGCCTCGACCCAAGTGTCGACGCGCACGTCGTCCGGAAATGAGACATCCAGAATGCGGCCCGGGCAAGGTCGGAAGTTCTGAAGAGGGCTCTCGGCGTAGACACGCACTTCGATGGAGTTGCCCTTCACCTCGAAACCCGTCGCCTGGCCCTTGAAGATGCTTTCGCTGTCCCCAGACGCTACTCGGATCATGCACTCGACCAAGTCCAGCCCCGTCACAGACTCCGTCACAGGATGCTCAACCTGCAGCCGGGTGTTGACCTCCAGAAAGTAGAACTCGTTGGCGTCGACATCGTAGATGAACTCGATGGTGCCGACGTTGCGATACTTCACCGCCGAGGCGAGGTCGACAGCGGCCTTGTGCATTCTTGCCCGTACCTCAGCTGGAATAAACTCAGCCGGGCTCTCTTCGATGACCTTCTGGTTCCGTCGCTGGAGTGAACAATCGCGTTCGCCAGCGGAAGTGACAGTGCCCTTGCCATCGCCAATTACTTGCACCTCGATATGGCGTGCGCGCTGGATGAAGTGCTCGACAAACATGCCTGCGTCGCCAAAGTTGGCCTGAGCGAGCCTCTGAACACTCTCGAATGCCTCGATGAGAGACACAGAGTCGTCGCAACGCTTCAAGCCAATGCCGCCGCCGCCAGCAGTGCTCTTCAGCATCACCGGATAACTGATGCGCTCAGCCTCTGTCACGGCCTCCTCGATACTCCTCAAGAGGTTCTTGCTTCCCGGAACGATGGGAACACCTGCATTGATGGCAACATCGCGAGCGAGGTGCTTCAATCCCAGTTGCCGCATTTGATCGGCAGTGGGACCGATCCAAATAATGCCTTCGGCTTCGACGGCGGAGGCGAAGTCGGCATTCTCGGCCAAGAAGCCATAGCCCGGGATGATTGCTTCTGCGCCGACACTTTTTGCCAGAGAGATGATTTGCGGGCCGTTGAGGTAGGTCTCGGAGACAGAGGCGCCCTCCAAAGGAAGAGAGATGTCGGCGTTGCGTACGTGTGGGGATCGTGCGTCGGCAGAGGAGTGAATGGTGATGGCCTTCAAGCCGAGACGATGAAGGGTTCGAATAATGCGGACGGCAATTTCTCCACGATTGGCTATAAGAACAGATTTAATACCGCTGATTTTTGAGGGTGCGCCGCCAAGTTCTGCTCCCTTGGTCGAAGATGCAGAATTGAGGGACTGAATGAAAGCACGCCAGCCCCCAAACGATGTGATGTCGGTCGCATCCTCCAGACCATAAGGCTCGCAGACGAACCCGGGAGCCCAAGATCCGTCTTCAAGCTCAACGGAACCAATACCCAGAGGTGAAGATACTGTCTTCATGAAGCTGGACATCTCCGAGGTGGGCAAGCTCCAGACCTCGACCTGGATGGCGCGACCACCGGACGGGACACGCTTGAGGCCTGGCTTTCTTACTTTTCCGTCGGTGATGAGAGAATAAAACTTGTAGTTGGGTGAGGTCGTCGTCGCCGTCTCTAGTGTTGCTCCTCGAGACGTCAGGTCTTTGTTTAAGGGGAACCCCGTCAGGTGAGCACCTACCACCACAAGACGAGTCGTCTTCGGCTCGCCAGCGGCGACGGAGTCAGATTTCAACGTCTCCAGTCTTTCGATCTTGGTCGCTCCAAGAGGACGAGGGGACGTGGATAGCCATTCTCGAGCAAACTTGAGCAGCTTGGGCTCCTCCCAGGTGGAAGAAATCAGGGTGACACCAAACGGCAACCCATCCGCTCGAAACCCAGCGGGAATCGAGAGGGCGGTCCAATCCATGAAATTGACAAAGTTGGTGTAAGTGCCCAGGTAGGCGTTCTCTTTGATAGGCTCCCGGGCCAGGTCCTCGATGGATGGAAATGTCGGCGCTGTGGGTACCAGAATGGCATCGAACTGGTCAAAGCGGTCTTGGATCTCGCGGGTCAGGTCTTGACGGAGGTACTCTGAAGCGAAGAGATCTGCAGCATCGAAGTCCCGCGCCTTGAGGATGATCTCTCTTACGGTGGGATCCATGTCACCGTCATGGGCCTCAATGAAGTCCTTGATCGCCGCATAGCGCTCGGCAACCCACGGGCCTTCATACAAGAGACTTGCCAGCTTGAACAGAGGAGAGAAGTCTCTAGGCTCAAGCACCCATCCCAAAGCCTTCGCTTTCGCCAAGGCTTTGGCGTACGCGGCAACTTGCTCTGTCTTGCCAAACCAGGGAGGGTTATCACAGACAGCCATCCGCCGACCTTCGGAACATCCTACGATGCCTGGCCTTGTCCTGGAGAAGGAGTCTTCTGTGTCGAAGCCCTCAGCAGCGGACAGCACCGTCTCGGCATCGTTGACCGTCAGCGCGAAGATGGACACGCAGTCAAGGCTCCGACAAGCAGGCACCACTCTCGTCGTGCTCAGAGCGCCCCTAGTTGGCTTCAAGCCGACAATGTTGTTCAGTCCTGCAGGCACTCTGCCACTGCCAGCGGTGTCAGTCCCCAGAGAAAAGGGGACGACTCCCCTGGCAACGACGACGGCGCTGCCGGAACTCGATCCGCCACTGACCTTGGTGGGATCAAATGAATTGCCAACAGGACCATACGGAGACCTGGTGCCCACGAGGCCGGTGGCGAACTGGTCGAGGTTGGTTTTGCCAAGCACGATAGCACCGGCGGCCTTTAGGCAGGCGATGACGGTGGCATCCTTGTCGACGGGACCGTTTGCGAAGCTGGGGCAGCCGGCGGTTGTGGGAAAGCTGGCGACGTCGATATTATCCTTTGCGGCAAAGGGGACACCGAAGAGTGGTAGAGTAGCACCGGATGAGCGCAGGGATTCGGCATAAGCCCATTGTTGCTCGATCTGGGTTGGCGTAGCCAGGGCGATCCAGGCGTTGGAGTTCAATCTGGCTTCAGATTCGCGGAGGGCCAAAAGTCGGAAAAGGCCGTCCCCGGATTCCTGGGCATCTCTCCATTCGGGGATGGTAAGGGGGAAGGTGTCTTGGATGGTGGAGCCTATGAGGAAGGGTGAGTTAATGTTAGTAAGACCCAAGCGATCGGGATGCCCATATGCACGTGTGCGACAGGAAGGCGGAAAGGTCACGTACCCATTATGGATTATACAGCAATATGCGAGAAAATGCCGGAGAAAATCTCTTCAAAAAACAATGCTAAAGCGAGCGAGCAATGTCCACTCCTGAGATATACTCAGGTCCTCGATGGCCCTTCTTATGAACAAACTGCTCTCATCCGAAGCGCAAGATCATGGGCGTGGCCGCCGTCCTCCCCAGAGGTATACTTCGGCAAAGCCTTCGGGCAGTCGTGTAAGTCGCCGGCGGGCTTTGGGACTGTTGTCCATTGATTTTCATAAGGCTGGCCGAGATATCGCGTGGCCGATCCAATGATGGGGCGTAAGAAGGTTTATCGCAATGACCGCCTGACTGCAAGCGAATCGGTCGAGTCCCTCTATGCGGCGCCCTGCGATCGTTTTGCGGGCGTGAGAGCTCAGTATGGTTGAAGGTCTTGGCTTTTCTGGAGATGTTTGCAATAGAGCTCGGCCAGGCCGGCGGCTTTGGGGAAAGTTGTGGAGGGTCGCCGGCGGGGTGAGGTCGGATTTGGAGAACAGCTGGATGCTGGCCCTACCAGCCGGTGCCGGCCGGCCCCGCTTCAGCGATAGTGTGGGGGTCAACTTGATGAAGCACTATCGAGGATTACCTAATTTTGGACATCGTTGCCAGCTGGAGCCAGGGGCAGTCGTATTCTTGTGGCTTGGCAGTAAAGAGCCTCCAAGATCACCAACGAAAGGAATGGTTCCCCCGCCAGCAGGACCGCCACAGCAAGGCAGGGTAATTTACGGATACCGATACGCTGCTAGGCTTTCACAAAAACAACAATTCCTTGTAGGGCCGTTGGCGTCGGCTGTCGCGTCTCTCATCTCTCGCCTCTCGCACAGACGAAAGCGGATCGTCAGACTGGAGACGAGACGACAGATCGCTTCCTTCCGGAAACTCAGCCCTTTCGCTTTCCCCTCCTACTCAAACAAAGCTGACGTACCCGCTGTGCGCCGCCGTCATCTCATCTTAGGCTTCAACGTTATTTTGGAAGTCCCCGGCGACCGGACGGCAGGCAGACCGGAGTTAGAACAGGATTCGGAGGCGGACGCATATCACGCAGCTCCCGTTCTGTCCGCTGTCAAAGGAATCATGGACGTTGTGGCTTGTGGAAGACGCTCACCCGAGACTAAAGTAGGTACCTAGGCACTAAGAAATGGACTTTGGCGTCTCAATAGCCGCCTCGCCTCGGCTTCTCGTCGCTTCGCCTTTCGGTAAAGATGCATGGTGCTGGTAATGAACCAGTAGTGACTGGCTGGATATGCCGGTTCGCTGGGCAAATCCAAAAAGCATCTCATGACCCCGGACCATATGTTTCCTCTCACCGTCTTTCTGGGCCCGGAAATGGCGAGCAATCCTTACTGCGAAAAAAGCGAGAAAACCGAAAAAAAAGGACTTTTACCCCCTGGTCGAGGATGAAATAGACGCCGCTTCGGGCACAAACAGCCGATCACCGCCGCGGCTTGATTGGCCGTGGGGCAGGGATGCGAGTCGATACGGCAGGGATCCCCGCTGAGCCTGGCGCTTGCGCCTCTTCCCCGTCACAAAAATAGCCAACCAGAACTGGAGCATCCGGAGCCGAGGGTTGTCTTGCTGCGTGCGACAGCATCCTTCGTGCCATCGCGGTTATTCCATCGCACGCAGTCACACTGCATTGCATATATTCTCTGCTTAGCGGCGCTTCTCGACCAAACACGCCCGCCATCTTGGTTTAACATTTTAACCCCTCACTCCACGGCAGAAGACAACCCTGCTCAGCGTTGCAACACCACTTCCGATTCTATATAGCCGCCGCCCCCATCTTCTCGAAACTTCTTACCACTATTTTCCCTCTTGTTGTGTTTGAGTTGCTTGTCTCATTCTGGGAGGCTAAGGTCGTCGCCTGGTCCCGATTCAAGCAACCCGTCTGTTGGCTCTTAACCTGCGCCGCAGAACCGCATCTCTCACTAATTCACTCCTCGTCCGATTCGAGACCTGCATCACGTGCGTGGTCATCATGTCTACTCAGACTGGAACTGCCTCGAGGAGGCCCAAGCTGTCTTTGTCCATCAAGACATCGCCGGCACCTCACACAACCATCAACAGGTCCTTGGCCCTTGTTGATCCCAAGTCCCCGACGACCTTCAACACCCTCTCCAATGTCTATGCCACCGCCATCGGCAGGTCGACGCCTGCCCTTTCCGAACCTTTGACCGCCATCGACGTATCAAAAGATCTCATGACTCCTCAACAACGGATCCAAACACCGTACGCCGTCTCATATCCGGAGACACCCTTGACGGCTCATCCTCTATCCCCCGCCGCATCCATGGAGATTACCTTTCCAAGCACCATGACTGCGACTCCTCCGTTGTCAGCCGGCCCCGTGGACGGTCCTCAGATGTTTGGCTTCTCACCCATCGACACTCAAACTCCTCTGACGGCCCTGCTGAATGACCAACCTACGCCTCGTTCTCTCCGCAAACGCAACAACCTTACTCTTTCTGCCATCACGCCTCCTTACACCCACCCTAGGTCCCTCCACAGCATCCTCCGCAACTCGCCGCTCCCTCCTCCAAGCGCCAAGACCCCTATTTCACCTCGCCGACAATCTCTGCGCTTGCAGGAGAAGGCCGCCCGTCGTGTGGCCTACAACAGCCCGATCGAACAGACCATCATCACCAACACTTATACCAAATCACACATCGACCTGCTCATCGAGGATGCATCGCCCGCGTCACCAAGGACGGCCCAGGAGCAGAACAGCATTCTGGACATCGCGCTCGCTTTCACTGGAAACGAAACCCTGGACGGAGGAATGACACCGGGTCCCTTTGAGGAGATGCGTCGGCGGATGGCTGGCCTTGCAGCAAGCTCGCCCGTGGTGAGCAGTCCCGCGGTATCCAGCCCGGCAGGCATCAGGAAGAAGAAGAGAAAGGAAAAGAAGCGCCGCTGGGTGTGGACGATCGGCAACCAAGAAGAGGACCCAGAGAACCTCGGCGGCGCGGTGGCGGCTTTGCGAGCGGCTGAGGCGGCTGCCAAACAGACAGAGCAACAAACCAAGCCCGCGCCTCCCTCGGTGGAGATCCAAGCCTGCAGCGATCTCCCGACGCCTAGCGTCGAGACGTTCGATGAGGCTGGGGACGTCGAGATGTCGGACACGAGCAGCGTCTCGTGCGGCCGGGGGCCAACACCCGGGGACATGGAGGTGGACCTGTCGACGCCGACCCTGTACAAGCGTTCGGCGTCGCGCATTGGATCGGTGGACCTGTTCAACCCGGACACGGGGAGCAGGAGGGACACGCCGATTCCGCCGGATTTGGTGGTTGCATGATGAAGGATCTAATTTGAGGATCTAATTTTCCGGCGAAGGGAGCATTTTGAATTTGAATGGGTATACGTGGTGTTTTTTGGCGGGATGGAAAACGGCGGCTCGGCGTTGTAAGATACACATTGTACTACTTAGCATCGGTTAGGATCTACGGATAATGAGCACACGCGATACGACCAAGATTTCGGAACAGTTCCCATCGATGACCCGTGGACTTATCGATGTCTCAGTCTTGGGTCTGGGGAAGAGGAATCCTTAGCGTGCGGTAAGATGTTTGACGGATTTTGCTAGGGGTTGGTCGGGACATTTCGCTAGCGGTCTAGCCACCCTGAAATTTCGATAGCAGGGGCAATCTGCATATGTCGGTAAATGGTTGATCCGTCGCAAGCTGATGAGGTAACGCAAGAAGGTATCATCAGAAGCGGGGGCTGTGATGGAGATGTGGACTGACGAGGTCAACCTTGGCTTGCGTAAGGGGGTGGTGATATTTTTGCCGCTCCCGAGTCCTTGCAAACGCAATCGTGACAACCCATGTCATGAGCCGCACGGGGAGTTTGCGGCAGGCCCAAATGACAACACAGAGGGGCCGGTCAACCGGCATTTGCGGCCTATTTTTGAAGACTTCTGACTGTGTTTTCTGTCCAGTTCACCTCAACGGCTCCCATCTCACCTAAGGCCGTATCTCAACAGCACCAAGAGAAGGAAAAAAAACCTGCGGCACGGCGGCCATCGACGGAGCAAGCGATCCCACCACACCACTCCAGCTGTCAAAGTTCTCAGCTGAACTAAACAGAGCCAAGGCACGAAAAGACGTGGAAGCAGACAGGCTAGCTAGCTCAAAACCAATGAGGATGCAGCCAGAAACGTGACGGCGTTCGACCCCCCCAGCCATTTACGCAAGCAAAGCAGCGATCCCTACTGCAGATCGGCGACGGCTCGTCGCATCGCTGTTGCACAAGCCATTGAGGGGGAAAAAACAGGAATGGGAAGGGAAGCGGGAATATTCAATGGTCGACCAACAGCCACCCTCGATGCATGGAAAAGCCAGTTAGCGTCCAGTCTTTTCAGCCACAGGCGGTTGGTTCATCTTAACGTGCGCATTGTGCTGAGGACTCGGGCTGGCAGCTGGCTTCTGAAGGAATGTTCACAGAGTGCCCAAGTGCAACCAATTTGTTTTCTTAACAATGCAAACACTTGCGAAGGGCTGGCCATGTACCGGAGACTTGCTCCGTCATAGGCCCTGCAAGGTGCCGGGGGTTAGCCGGGGGTGGGGCCGAGCAAGCTGTTAGTGGAGATTCCAGCAGCAAGTCGCAAGACAAGCTACGTCATTGACCATCACAGCTTCTCCAGCCCCAACCAGGCCAGGCCACGGCCAGACCAGCCCAACTGCAAGCTGTAGCTGAAAGGGGACGGGACGAAAGAAACGTGGATGGTCAGTCTAAGGTAGGTGGTACACTAAAGCAAGCTGCCACAGCTGGCGCAAGCTGGGAGGAGCTATGAGGCAATCGGAGGGGTTCGCTCCTTCCTTCTTTCACTAGGCTGGGCTGGTGGTGCCTTGGGGTGTTATAATTCCAAGATTCCAGCTCTCCGCACTCTGGCTTTCTTAGCCATTCTCCATTGCTTTGCCGTTTGTCCGTCTGCCAATTTCTTCGCCCTTTCTTGTCCCCCCTCGGACACCGATTGACTCGACAAGACTTTGCGTGCCACATTACCGAGAACTAATAGGCAGGGTTGAGTGCATGGCAGCAAGATGAACGTCGACGAGCACCACCTGCCGGTCGGCGGCCAGCATTACAGCGGCCGAAACCGCATCCCTAACGTCCATGAGTTCATGGCACAGCTCGACAAGGAGAAGCGCGAACGTGATGCCGAACTCGACGCAGAGGACAAGAAACTCAGAGAGGAACAACGCCAGAACAGACACAATGCCAAGGCGCAGGGACATGAGCCGTCGCCGCAAGACACCAAGGCCCATCAACCCCAGAAGGACCATCGCTGGCGTAAGAGGAAGACGAAGACGGTGCGAGATCCCGTCACCGGAAAGGATGTTGAGATTGAAGATGCAAATGAAGACTTCAAAGAGGTCGTAGACAATCCTCAGGTAAGCAATTGGCAGCCCTTGCCTTGTAACCGAGCTTTACTGATGAAAGCTCGACAGATCTCGATTCCCAACGAAAACCTCGGGAAGCAGGCCACCGTCGCCACGTCCTCGAAGCAGTCCGGCGAGGAGTACAGACAAGCTCAGGATGTCACCGCACCGCCCGACCCAGTCGAGCCTGGAAGCACCACCGACGTGCCAATTCACAGCGAAAAGACCAACGTCAACTTCTTCAAGACTCCCAGCGTGAGCTACGAGCCCATGTTCGAGTCCCTGGAACAACGAGCAAACGTCCTCTGCGCCGGCATTTTCTTCGGCATCGTCATCGTTGGCAAGTTCTTCGGCGGCGCTCTGTATGGACTTGTACCTCTCGCCTTCTGCGTTGCATCTGGCGTTTTCCTCTGGGTCAAGGACCTTATCACACAGGGCAGAAACACAGAATGGTCCAGCGAGCAGGAGCGCGGCGAGACTGCCACCGTCAACCTGGTGCCTGAGTCCGTTGAGGTAAGCAGACCAAGTCCCAACACTTCCTCTGGCAATGAGCTGACCGCGTCCAGTGGATGAACACCGCCATCGGAATCATGTGGAACTTGATCAACCCCGAAATGTTCGCCGGAGTTGCCGACACGCTCGAGGATGTCATGGTAGCATCTGTTCCTGGCATCATTGAGAACGTCCGCGTAGCCGACATCTCCCAGGGTAGCAACCCGCTGAGAATTCTCAGCCTGCGGGCTCTACCGGACTCTCACGTCCAAGATATCAAGGACGAGGCTCACAAGCAGAACCAAAAGAACACCGACCCGAACGAGCTGGCTGCCATGGAGCAGGCTGGTTCCTTCTACAACCTGGAGGCATCAGTTGCGTACCATGCGAAGCCCTCTGGAGCTGACATTTCCTCCAAGGCACGCAACATGGGAATGCAACTGGTTTTCTACCTGGGTGTCCGGGGTCTCTTCGGAGTGCCTCTCCCGATCTGTAAGTGATTGAGCCCGGTTTCAAGTCGTGGTATCTAACCGTGTGTAGGGGTCGAACTTCAGGGTCTTGTCGCTACAGCCCGTATCCGCCTTCAGCTTACCCCCGACCCGCCGTTTCTGAAGACCCTGACCTTTACTCTGATGGGAATTCCCAAGGTCCAGGCTGGCTGTACCCCAATGATCGAGAAGGGTGTGAACATTCTGAACTTGCCCTTGATTTCAAATTTCGTCAACTGGGCCATCGGCGCCGCAGCCTCTATGGTAGGAAATCCATCACCGATAGCCTCAATCACAGCTAACAGCCGTGTAGTACGTTGCTCCCAAGAGCATGACCCTAGACTTGAGCAAGATGCTTCAAGGTGATGACATCAAGAAGGAGACTCTTGCACTCGGTCTTCTTTACATTCGCATTCACAAGGCAGTTGGCCTCAGCAAACAGGACCGTCGCGGCAGCGAGGGCGGTGGATCTGATCCATACATCACCGTGGCTTGGAGCAAGTTCTCAAAGCCTCAGTTCTGCACTCGTGTCATTCAAGACGATCTCAACCCTGTCTTTGAGGAGTCCTGCGGTCTCTTGGTCACTGCCGATTTGATCAAGGCGGACGAGCAACTTTCCGTTGAACTGTGGGATAGCGATCGCTCATCCGCGGACGATGTCGTCGGAAAAGTTGAGCTGAGCATCCAAAAGCTCATTCAGCACCCCGGCAAGATGTTCCCTCAGGTTTCGAAGCTCGCCGGTGTCAAGGCAGATACCACAATGCCCGGAGAACTTCACTGGGAAGTCGGATTCTTCGGAAAGACTCAGTTCCGCAAGGCTCTTAGGACTGACGGTAAGGACGTCAATCTGCCTCCTGAACTGAAGGACAAGAAGGAACTTCAGGACGAGAAGGGTACCATCGAGAATGCTGAAGAAGACGCTGTCGTCCACACTCCTCCCGACCCGCTTTGGCCTTCTGGTATTCTCAGCATCGTTGTTCACCAGATTGTTGGACTCGAGCTGGCCAACGTCAAGGGTTCCAATGGAAAGCGCAAGGGACGCGAGTTCGAGCCCGCCCGCCTCGATGCTGGCGACGTCAAGGAAGAGCAAGGTAGCAGGTTGCCCAGTTCCTACTGCACTATCCTCGTCAACGACGAACTCGTTTACAAGACACGTACGAAGGCTGTATCATCGCAGCCGATCTTCAACGCCGGTACTGAGAAGTTTATTCGCGACTGGAGATCTTGCATCACGACCGTCACCGTCCGTGATTCTCGCAACAGACAGCATGATCCCATCATTGGGGTTGTTCCTCTCAAGCTTTCCGACATCCTGCAAACAGGAAGCGAGGCTACCCGTTGGTATCCATTGGATGGTGGCATCGGCTACGGAAGAATCCGTATCTCTATCCTCTTCAGATCAGTTGAGTTGCGGCTGCCGCCTCCTCAACTAGGCTGGGATGTTGGAACCTTCGAGTTCACTTCCCAGAGTATGACCGCTGCCGGTTACGGACACTTGAAGACCAAGATTCGTCTCCGCACCGGCGGAAGTTCCGTAAGCGTTAAGAGGGAAACTTGTCAGAAGATGGACGGCGACGATGGATTCTACTGGGATATAAGCGGCGAGAACAACCACGAGAAGATCCGTCTGCCCGTTCGTTACCGTTACCGGTCCCCGGTTTTCTTCGAGTTCTACCCTCCTGGCAAACGTCATGCCGATGCTTACGCATCTCTGTGGCTGCAATCGCTTCCGGACCATGACGAGCAGGATTTCGATATCCCGATTTGGAAGTGTGACCGAGGTGTCCGGCTATCGCAGAACTACATTACTGAGGACAACTTCAAGGATATCCCCGACATCAAGATTGAGGAGATCGGCCGTCTCAAGTTCCGCGGAAGGTTCTCAACTGGAACTGACCGCGATCACGTCAAGTTCGTCACTAGCAACGACTCAAGAGAGACGATCGAGACTTGGGAGGCTTGTTTCGCAGAAGGTGTGCGCGGTGAGGAGGTCAGACCCGAGGTCCCTCCTGCCGTGCAGAAGCTTCACGACGAGTCTCTGACCCACGGTCGTGACGTTTTGGCGCAGGCCAACCCCAAGGAGAAGGAGAAGTGGATGGCCAAGGACGGCACGGATTGGAGTGGAGCGTTTGGAAAAGACCCGACGGAAAACATGGATGGCAAGGGTGTCGACCTGAACGACGAGGAACGTGACGAGTTCGACTCCGACGACGGCGGCGACGACAGCAGCGAGCCCGATCTTGGTCTCACGGATGCCAGCACCAATCAGGGAAGCGACGCTCGACAGTCTGTTGACAGCGCCAACAGCGCCAACAGTGAGACACCAAGCATTTCTAAGAAGAACGGCAATGGCCCGGTTCAGGCGTACAAAGACTACCAGAGCAGGAGCAGAGACCTCCATCGCCAGCACAGAGGCCTGATGCAGTGGCGCCCGATGCGCAACATCCAGTTTGCTAAAGACGAAGCCAAGTACGCGGTGCGGAAGATCACCAAGCTTGGTGCTTTGAATGGTCGCAAGCCGGATGTTGAAACTGAGGTGTAATGTATACTTTCTTTTGCTTAACCGCAGGGAAATCAGGGAGGCGAGGGAAAGTTTATGGATAACGGTCTTCGACTCATTTCAACTTCAGTAATGTCTATGAAGTATACCTAAATAACGGCAGATTGTGATGACAGGGGCGTTTCGTAATGTACTTTTAGTCAAAGCAAGCAAATGAAAGTTTTGAATTTCTTATGAACCCCTCTGATGCCTTCAGTCTAATTAAACAAAACAGATTATCCAGAATATCCAGTGCCACTGCCGCGACCACTGCCGGCACGGTTGGTGGTACACTCAGGACGAACGACGACGTCAGCTGCATAGCGCGGAAGATCCGTCGGATTGCCCGGAATCGTCACCTCGTCAGTCACGACGCTCACGAGAAGGCCATTCACGGCAGACCGGTCCTGAACCTCACCGTTGGCCAAAGCCACCCGCCAGTGCAAGTTCTTCTGCAGGTACGGAACCACGTCCTCGGGCTCCAGGCTGTCGACCATGCCGGCGAGGTACCGCTCCACGAGGGCCAGCGTCAGGGGCACCTGTCCCGTGATCTGCTGGCCCCGGGCCCGGCCCTGCTGACAATTCCCGCAGGCCGTCTTCTCGCCCTGCCCGAAGGTCGCGAAGGCGCCCACGTGCGAGTGGTTCGTCGGGTACAGCACCGGGTCGGCGTCGTCCGGGGAGCCCAGGAAGACGTGGACCACGTAGTTGCCGCCCAGGTCCGCCTTGACGGCACGGATGTTGACGAGCCACTCGAGGTACGTGTTCTCCGCGCCCACGAGCTTCTTCAGCTCGCGTTCGGAGGGGAGCTGGACGCCGTTGGTCTGGGCCAGGGGAGCTTGTTCATCCCCCGTGGACCTGGTGAGCTGTCCGCGCTCGGCTTGGACGTGGCCCTTCGCCCGCTGCTGGAGCTCCCGCGTGGAGCTCTCCAGGTCGTCGCCGGTGCTGCGCATGATGTTGGCGAAGGTCGACCTCTTGCCGTACAGGCGGTCCAGCTCGTTGACGACGTCCTTGGGGGTCGGGAACTTGGACCTCTGGGTCTCCGGGTACGCGTAGCCGAAGGCGTCGGTGTAGCGGACGCCGACGGAGGTCCAGAACTCCTGCTGCTGCTGCTCCCCGCCGGCGGCGCGGGCGAAGGGGGCGAGCGGGGTGCGGATGGTCTCGGGCTCGCCGGCCTTCACCACGAAGTTGCCCCAGTCCTCGCTGGCGTTCTTGGTGGTGACGTAGGTGAGGGGGTCGGCGGGGTCGTCGTGGACGGCCTGCCAGATGGCGAAGAGGCGGTCGATGTTGGCGTGGTGGAGCCAGAAGATGGGGTCGAAGGAGGAGATCTCCGGGTTGGACATGTGGCCGCGGCCGCCGCCGGTGTAGTTGTGGACGGCGTTGTGGACGTCCTCGATGGAGCCCCAGGCGCGGAAGTCGATGCCGGCCTGCTCGGGCTTCTGGGCCTCGAAGCGGTTGGACGAGGCGGTGGCGTACTCGGTGTAGGACTGCAGGACGAAGTTGACGCGCTCGGTGAGGTTCTTGCCCTTGGGGGAGGACTGGGCGCCGGTGAAGAAGCGGAGGAGCTGGCGGGTCTGTTCGGCGTCGGCGTTGGGGGTGTTTGGGTAGCGGACTGTGGTGCCTTGTTCGGGGAACTATGGTGTTTTTGTTTTAGTGATTTGCTGCTGGGGGGACTACGAGAGATGGATGGTGTGTGTGTGAGGCGGTCATGCTTACCGTGTTGATGTCCTCCATCGACTTGGATTCTCGGAAGGCGTAGTTGGCCAGGGGGTTGATCTCGGAGTCGCCCGGCAGGCTCCTGGGTCTGACGACCTCGTTCAGGGCTTCCGTGGCGGCTTGGGGCGGGAAGACGCCGAGGTCGGGACGGGCCCAGTCCCAGTAGGGGAGGCGGAAGGACTTTGCCGCTCTGAGGTAGTCTTCTCTGCGCTCGTCCTCGGCGTAGGCGTTTGCGATGAAGTTGACGTGCTTGTAGAGCTCGGTCTGGCCGTTTCGTTAGTCTTTTGACCTTGAGACGGCTGTGACGTGCAACAGGGAAAGACGGGGGATGGATGGATGGCTTACCTCGAAGATGGCGAGGTAGGGACGGTGCCAGGTGAGGAAGAGGATGGAGCTGTGGGTGCAGAAGCCCTGGAAGGGGTTGTCTACGGGGACCATCTTGTTCCAGTCCTCGTCGGGCCACTTCTTGTAGGGCAATCCGTGGATGGCTTGCTCTATGGTCAGTTTTGTGTTACTCTCCAGTGTTTGAGTTACGCTCACCTGCCAGCTCGAAATATGAGAGGGGCATGTTCTCGGGAACGGCGTTGCTCTTGAACCTCTCCAACCCCAGCAGGAAGAGATTCCATTGGTCGGGATGGTCCTTGATCATATCGCGGACCTCCATTCGGACAGGAGGGTTCTCTATCAAAAGTGAGTTGATGGACATACTGGACTGCTCTGAAAAGAGAAAACTTACGGGGGTCGTCCACTGGGATACCGTGGACGAGAATAGGGCCTTTGGTTCCATCGGAAGACATGTTGATTCAAGTTGATACTCTAGATGATTTGGTCTGAGGGTTGGAAGTGAAATCCACTGAGAAAGATTCAACCTGGAGCTCAAGAAGTCAAGCTTATATACTTCACAACCTTTCCCTCACCCCACGCGGCCGGTGTACAGTTGGTGCCTGCGGCCCGGGTATGAGACAGCTCCTTTCTCAGTAGGGCTGAACGAGGTCCCGAAGTACCGGAAGTCAATGCGCGTTCCGCGGCCGTGCCGTTCGGCGAGCCCTTTCACATTTGACTTTCCCGTAAGACTTGGCACCAGTTCCGCGCGTGCTGGGCTTTCCTCTCTCTCTCTCCAGCCAGCCATGTCAGCTTTTCGGGGCGGCTCAGCCGCAGGGCAAGAAAAACGAAACGTTTCGTCATGTCAGCCTACCCTCCAAGCCAATGAGGCCGACTCGGCGGCTTACCGATTGTCGAAACATGCCGACTTTTCATTCCACTTCGGGTAAGATGATTCAGATTGTGGCTTGATGGGGGGGGTTTGTTACTCTACACATTACGAGTTTCCGCGACGAAAACCTCCCCTCACCCACCGCGTCATGTGTGTCCCGCGTACCTTGGGCTGGGCATGCCGTCAGTTACCGTCACTGGTCAGCAGATACCATGTTCGGCGACCTCGTTCGTGTGATTGCGAATCACGGGCTGGTATTGTGCGAGACGATCCCCGTCTCGGTGGGTTGTGGAACGGAGGCTGAAAGGCTATCATGTTGTTATACCAAGCCTCGCGGTGTAGATGGCGGGGCCTGTAGCACCCGATAGATTGCGTATGAGAATTGTGGACGTTGTAGGCACCGAGATCACTCTCTTGGCACTGGGAACAACCAAATGAGGCAAACAGGGGCGTATGATATATTCAATTTGGACAAGGCCCAGCTAAGATGGCAGTGCGAAGAACCCGAGAAAAAAGGTAGAAAAGTTAAGAGACTCGGCATAGAGTCGATTGTTGATTTTCTAGACAGCTAGTTGTGGATTCTATACTATTCGCAAACGAGAACGCCCATAGTGCTCTCGAAAGAATTATCCCACGGGTCCCAAGTGTTCCAATGATACCTCAGTTGGCGCCGTACTTGGTATAGGAAGTCCCACGCGCTGGAGCCCGTCTTGTTTACCTGATCAACGTCCCGTCCGAAGACCTCCATAAAGTCATATCCGTCACCGTGGAACCTCAGTCGACCACTTCTGTCAACTTCCTTCTTGATAGCCAGGTCATACTGTATTAAGTAGACCTTCGCCTCAGTATTGCTCGCCTAACTCATACTCTCCCTCAGGAGACCAAGAAAGAAGCCGCGCGGGCCTGGTTCGTCCACCATTTCATCGATGTTTTCCTCCGCCGGGTTAAAGGCCCATGAACTGTGGTACTCGAACCCGACTCTCTCCCGGAATACTGCTGAGTGGTAGGGCGCGCAGCGAAAGCGGCTGTCAGCAAGTTTGAGATACACCCAGTGGTTTGGTGGGGTTTGGAAAACCCTCAGGTCTTCGTCCAAGATGATATCGAAGGAAATGTCCTTGTCATTGACCACCATGCTCTGGGCGCCCAAGCAACGGTTCCCCACAGCTGGTTGCATCTTCTCTCTCACAGCAGCTCTCGACTCGCTGCAGGCCGTCCAGTTTCCGAAGCCGATGGTCGATGGGTTGCCGTGCGTCCACGGGCGCTGCAAGCCGTCGTCGAAGACCGGAGGCATGATTATGGGTGTGTCCGTACTGCCCGGGCAAACGGAAAAGAAGTGAACGCCTGGCCGCAGGTCGCGGGAAGCAGCTTTCCAGATTTCGAGTCTGATCTCGGGTGGGAGTAGAGGAAATAAAGGGAATGTTGGCGTCATGGCTTTGAGGTTTCCTGAACGCCAGCTAAGTAGGAAATTGTATAGATAAGGGTATTGGCGTTGATGTGGTCTACAGACTTGATTCGTCTACTTCTGTAGTTATGGCTGGGATTTGATGTAGGAGGGAGAATCAAAAGCTTGGGGTGCGGGTGTCGGCAAGTGCTTTGAATGCTGGTTGCCCTGATATTCTCGAAAACACGGCAGGTGCTGCCCGGAAGTTGGGCAACAGGACCAAGAAAACGAGACCTGAACAGAAAGCCCACCCTATGTTGCTGAACACGCGTGTATCCTTCCAAGTTTGGTATGGTCTCTCCAAACATTGAGGACTTGATGGTTTGCACGGGATGGCACGAGTGAAAAGAGCTATAACAACTGCAATTCGCAGCGCAATACAACGCAGCAACCCTTACTCATCTGACTCTATTTGACATCTCACCATACTCAACGACTATAGACTCATCATCTGATGCTACAAAAGAATAAGACTATAAGAGGATAAGCTTTTAGGCATCCTGGGCGGCGCTTGTGAATGGCCTCACCCTCTAGGTCGAAGGGCCAGAAAGGCGCTATAAGCGCAGCAAGCTGAGATCGTAAACCTTCAAACAGCCTGCGAACAATATATGAACCTGAAGCCACGTTTCAAATCTCCAGCCTATCGGTTTTCGCTTGAGTATTCTGCCTGGAGCAGGTCTGAGCCTGAGATAAAGATTTGTACTCTCCCCAGGTAAGATTGGCTGGCAACTTAGGAAGGTCGCATTCGCTGCTGCTGACTTTCGACAGGCTATTTGGCTGGATCAGAATCGTGACCTTCGGAAGGGATCCCCAATGAGGTGGGAGACTACGCTCAACTTCCGCCAGGAAATCCCAGGCGGACATCAGCTTCGTGTCTGGATCAACAAGTTCCGCGTGTTCCCAATCGATCTGGTACCACAGGACTTTGTGGTTCTTAGCATCCATAAACTCGTATCCGTCGCCGTGAAAGATTTGCCTATCCTCGCCACTTCCTTCGGAAGCCGGCTGTGAAAAAGTCTTGTCTACCGTAAGGAACATCCGTCCCTCTCTGGATCGCATTACCTCCAAAAGTTTGAGGAAACAGGCCCGTGGACCGGTTCCCCTCTTCATATCCTCGAACCTCTCTTTTCTTGGGTCAAATGACCAAGACTCAGCGTACTCAAAGGCAATCGGTTCCAGCGGAAAGTTCAGCCCCCTATGCGTGAGACCCAGAGCTTCGATTGCTTTATCCACGTCTACTTGCTGCTTTTGAAGCACATGAAGGATAGTGAGGTCGTTTTTGGGTAAGGCGTTGCTGTCGAAGGAGACGTCACGTCCGTAAAGTCGCATGCGATAGGTGAGACGAGCCTCGGCTGTGATGCCGGCTTTTGAGTTCGAATTAGAATCAGAGAGGATCCTTAGGGCATTGTTACTTGTATACTGCTTCAGCACGGCGTATCTTGATTCCCTGCAAGCCATCAACTGTCCGATATAGAAGGTTGACGGATTCAGAGTCGCGTATTCATCGCTACAGCAAGGGAGATTGACAACATATTTGCCATCGGCATTTTGAGCTGTCGCGTTCGATTCGAGGGAAACAAACTTCACGCCTGGAGACTTGACACAGACCGATGCCTCCCAAATCAGCAGTCTGAGCTCGGGCGGGAGGTTCTTGAATGAGTGAAATGTTGAGGGTGTGGCTTCCATGATGAATATTAGTGAGTGCAGCGTGATAAGTTCGAAGCATATCTAATCCTGCAATTTCGAACCATTCTGTGGTATATATACTCATCGTTCGTATTAACCTTTTCGGTACATATGGACATCAACACACCGCACCACTTCTCTCATGGAGTTACTCTCAAGGTCAAGCTAGCTCATAGCCATTGTGGGACAGGTTAGATCAGAACACCTTTCGGGGGAATTCGTCTATAAACGGAGATGACCAACTGAGCATACCGTCAAGTGACATCAAAAAGTCTGGATCCAGAAGTTTGAAGGTCAACTCGTTCAACCTACAGCCTAGAGCCAACTGAAGAATCTCCCCGGCGGCGAGACAAGATCCTTCACGATTCATCAAGGTTGTCTCGTTCAAAATCGCCATAACTCCGCTTGCTCCTACCAGCCCCATTGCTACTCCTTTCTTTCACTTTCTTCACCATCTCACGCACAGTCTCGGGATTAGTTGGTCCAGACCAAAAGAACCACTGCTGTGTAAACGCCTTCCCACCAGCAAGTTCGGGGTTGGCGCCCCTTTCCAGAAGCCATTCGGCGTACTCGTAATCCTGCGCAGCACATGCATAGGCGAAAGCTGTCGTCTCATAGGTGCTTCCCCTCTGGCGACAGATCATGTCGGTGTAGGGCACCATCTTCACATCATTCACACCCATCAGACCCAGTTCGAGGACATGCTCTGCGAGCGGACGTCGTCTGGAGAATGGCACATTCCAGATATCCAGGTTTCTCAGTTGTTTGACTTGCCCAGATACCAGGCTGTGCAAGGGTCGGGCGTACGATAGGTTTGCGCCATGTGCGAGGAGCATGTCGACGAGTTCCATGTCCCACAGGCCAAAGGCTGCGTTCAAAAGTTCCCCGGTTTCCCTCTGCAGAGTCGGGCTCCCGTTTTTGACCAGGTGACCTCCATCGATATTTGGATCTGCGCCGTGCTCCAAGAGAAACTTAGAGAGCGGTTTGTTCATCAGGCAACCCCGATACGGCAAAGCAATCTTGGCCACGTTGTACAGAGTCAGTTTCCAGGCTTGGTTTGGATGCCAACCAAACTCCGTCAATACTTTGACCAAGGGCAGGAGGTCGCCTTTGTCTTCTCGGCCAGGGTCGAAGATGCAGACATCAGCATAAACGGGCTGACGGCGGGTACATGGCTGGGATTCAGGCCGTACGAAGACGTTGCCGTGAAGCTTTGCTCCTAGGTCGAGCAGGTATCGCACGACAGCCACCTGGTTTTCAAAGGATGCATGCTCGAGACCGTACTGGAGGATGGCCTGGCTTGGCTTCTGCCGTTGAATGAAAGCCGAGACTTCTTCGAGAAGGCCTTCCTCGCATGCCGCGAGAAAGTGAACGACGGAATCTGCGTGGCTGATCACGTATGGCTTCAGCGCATATTCAGGTCGGGGTAGTATTGGCGGCAGGGGTGGGAGGTCGGCGACAGCCTGGCACGGCCGCTCCCACTCCTTGGGCAGGGATGCGTTATGGCGACGCTCAATATTTGCTTCTTCCATAAGAGATATTCGATCGCGAATGATATCTATGCGCTCACGTCTGTTCCCCATAATGTTTGGTTCGAACGCTTGCTGTGGGCAGAAAGAAGTCTTGGAATGTAAGGGGTGAAAACTAACGAAGCGATTGATAAATGAAGAACGCTGGAAAACGCGGGTTCCCCTGGTATCTGAGAAAGAATCACGTGAGGTAAGACCAACGAAGTCCTGGATGTAAATGAAAGATGACTTCAGATCTCTGCATGTATCCGCTTGTTGGTCGCACGTATTAAGCGACTCGCAGCGGTACATTCCTCACCACACTCGACAACGTCGACTCTCATTCCATTCCCGTGCGACGCGCCAAATCTAGAAGTAAGGAATTGCGACAATCAACACCATCAAGAGAGGTAGGTAGATCGCAAAGGGCTGCAGCTGTTTACAATCAAGTCAGAGAGAGGATCTGTGTAGACTGTCGCCTTATGCTTCATGGGGCGCTGTCACACCTACCCTAGGGCAAGTCGATACCCCATTATCGCTATTGGTGTAGTCAATGTTGCATCATTTGAAAGATGATCACTATCATCAGTATCGCCGTGATTGGTGGCGTCTTTATCGTCGTCGTCCCTACCCTCGTTGGCAGTAGGTGTGTACGACCTCAGGAGGATGTGATTTAATTTGCTCCTAGATCACAAACGTATAAGCAAAAGCATTTACGAAGCGCTGCACTTCTGAACAAAAAACAAAAGAGTTCTCCTCGACGGGGAATTGAACCCCGGTCCCCTGCGAATCGTGTTTCCATGACAAGCAGATATCCTCACCACTAGACTATCGGGGAATTGATAGGTATTGTTGTTGATGTCTGCTCCAGGAAACAAAGGTGGATATGAAGCCTCACGATACCCACTTAGGTCAACAACCCCAAACGTCCAGTTCGTATCCGACTTCAGTCTGCGCATAATCCTGCATCTTGCGTCAATTGCTCACTTGATGAGCAAAAGATTCGTAACGTAATGCTAGAAAAGGCACGCGTGCAGCCCGGACATCGACCGGCGCTGTCGCCGGCATCAGCCCCGCTCTTTCGGGCCTTCGGACGGAATGAAGTACCGGGAATCGGAACTTGGCCGCAGATTGATTTCTTTTGATCGTTGCCACGCATGGACATCTATTTTCTAGCTCTACTCTCATTGCCTATTTCTTTCCCTTGCCACGACCTCCAAAGCCCCATCCGATTTGATTGGCCATCTTGACATTAACGCCAAGTTCGTCAGCGTAAGCGTACACCAAACCCGGGTTCTTCTGAAACCAGCGCCCGCACATAATCACATCTATCCCAGATTGGAGGAACCCCTCTGCCATTATGCCGGTGCTGATGCCTCCCACGGCTGACACAATCATCTTGTCCCCAACCGCCTTCTTGATCTCCTTAGCGAAAGGTGCTTGGTATCCGGGGCCGGACTTGATGCTTGTGGACTGCAGAGGATGAATGCCCCCAGAGCTGACATCCAGAAAGTCGACCCCTTTCTCAGCCAAGATGGGCGCCAACTTGCACGAGTCTGCAACGGTCCAGCTCTCCGGAAACTCCTCCTTCATATTGTCGAACCAATCCGTCGCGCTGATCCGCACGAACAAGGGCATGTCTTCCGGAATGGCAGCTCGGACCATATCCGTGATCTCAAGTACCAGCCTCACACGATTTTCCCAGCTCCCGCCGTATTCATCGCTGCGCTGATTGCTGATGGGACTTAGAAATTGGTGGATAAGGTACCCGTGGGCGGCATGAATTTCGACGGCGTCGAACCCAGCTGTCACAGCTCTCTTGACCGCAGCCACAAACGCCGCCTTGAACTCCTGAATCTGGGTGATAGTCATGGCTTTTGGCTGCGGATAGGCATCGTTGAATCGCAGCGCTGACGGGGCGTACACCTTATCAGGCCAACCGCCGACATTCGCGCTCGCAGTAGCGTTCATGTGTAGGAAGGGCGCCACGGTGCTAGACTTTCGGCCGGCATGGCTGAGTTGGATACCGATTTTCTGGCCCTGGCTATGGGCGAATTCGACAATGCGTCTCAGGGGCTCGATCTGGCCGTCTTCCCACAGGCCGATGTCCTGAGGGGTGATGCGGCCCTCTTCTTGCACGGCAGTTGATTCCATGAGAGTGAACCCCGGTCCACGCTGGATGATTCCGCCCAAGTGAGTCAAGTGCCAGTCCGTTGCGTATCCATTCTTAGCTGAATATTGACAGAGAGGCGCAAGAAAAAGACGGTTCTGAAAGGTGAGGCCTCGTACAGTGAGAGGCGAGAAGAGCTTGGGAACCGGGGCGCCAGTTGTCGTACTCAGACCTGTCCCAGATACGGGTTCTTGGGCGGGGGTATAGTATGATACGTTTTGTGCCGACGGGTTATCAATGGCCGGAAAGTAATCTTGAGAACTTTGCGCTTCCCCGTTTGAGATAATTGCCATTTTGAAAGTAGGTTCTGGCCGATGTCGGTCGTAGTCGATGTTGAATTAGAGGAAGTCTTCTTAAGGCTTTGTAAATGTTGGCTACTTTATATGAGGTTCATGGAAAAGCAAGTCTTGTCATATAAGTCACGGTGCTACGAAAGCTGATACTATGTTGCGAAGCCGAGACTTCTCGGCCCTTGATGTTTGTCACCGATGACCGCGGTCTCTGGCCTCTCGGCAGCTCCAGCCGACCGGCAAATACTCGAGTTATGAATGGGAAATAACCTCTCTGTCTAAGTTGTCGGATCTTGCATCCGTGCTTGAGTCCGTGACTCATGGTCTGCGAGTGACGGTCTCAATCTAAAAAGGCGTACTAATTGTGGTGGTCGGCTTTGCCCCTATTTTCCCCGACGGCGTAACTTATTTGTTGCCGAACGGGCAGAACACAACCACGAGCGAGACAGCAGGCACGTCTCAGAAACAGGAAAGACTGCCTTTCTTCTTTCTCCAATTAATTTTCGACATATATTATGAGTTAGGACTACCGGCCGACGTGGATTCTCAAGTTCGACGCAAATCGTCGTGCAATATCTAGCCCCGAAATGCCCTCTCCAAATTTGGTTGAACAACACACACAGTACGCCCGTATCGCTCAAGACGCAAGCTCAACAGGACGATCGTTTGCATCCACTTCTGTAGCCCGCGTGTAAGACGACAGTTCGATCGGTGGTGGCGGCGTGGTGTTCAGCTCTCGCGTTTGAGGACTATGCCCTGCTTGACCAGAGAGCTCCTGCTTGTTGTCATAGCCCTTGTGGAAAGGATCCCCTTCTATACCTCCCGAAGAAAGTTCAGCTCCGTTCTTCATTTTCTTTCGCTTGCGCAGGACTGTGAACACACCACCGCCGACAAGTATCAGAACAGCAACCACTATCCCGATCACAATCCCGGCGATGGCTCCTGATGATAAACCGGCAGCATCCTCTTCTTTGAGGTTTGGATCACGGCCGTAGAGTGGAAAGGGAGGATGCTTGACACGAATAGGGCCTGAGTTGGGAAGATTCGTGAGGGAAAGGGTTTGCCAGGCACTCCAGTTCGTACGCTCAGATGTGCCGCTCACTGTTATCATTTGGTTGATCCAGACAGTTGTTGGCGTGCTGAGGTAACTGAAGCAGTCTCGGTACTGAACGCCATCCCCGGGATTAAGACATTGCCATCCTGAGGGGCAGCACCACGTCTGAGTCAAGGAGCGGGTGCCATCGGCCGCTGGTAGTGTTGTCGTGCACGCTTTCGTCCAGCCTTTGATACACTCGGTGCCTGGGTAAGCCAGGCTGGTCACGTCGCCTGTTGTCAAGATGTGATCAGCCGTAGACGTTCTCTCAAAGTAACTCCGCCGAATTCGTCCCCGAAAATTCCACTTACTGAACGTGACGACCGGACTAAGCATGCTTTGGTAGGTTTCTGGAAAGCACTGGGTGGGAAGAGATGTCTTCGACGACTCCACAAATTGTGCTCCCCAACAGGTGAACCCGGAAGTTATTTCCTCAGGCTTGGCCGCGCATCTTATTGCCCGTGGAAACGTTTCGCAGATACTGTCTGAAGGCGTGAAGGGGGTCGTCTGAGGCGGCATCGTGTAGCGGTGGAGGGCCGGGAACCCATCTTCACTTCTGGTGAGGGTCTCCGTCAAAGGTTGGTAAGTTGTCGATCCCATTCTACCCGTCAGACAGCCGCAGCTCACAGAAAGTAGACGAGTTGTATTCACGGCAGACACAAGCTTGTTATTGATGAGATGAGGCGCGAAACAGAACCAAAGAGGCCGATTGATAGAACCAGAGGGGCCCCAGGACTTAAACATCAATCGCTCAGCCAGACACCCATGAACATTCAATGTATGTGCTTACTGTTCTACAAGTCTTACAAGTTCCACTCCTTACTGAAGGCATATTGTTGTCAAGTACTACGTGAAGCGGAAGGAACATTATCTAGTTGCATATGCTGTGTTGCGTCTGGATTTGCCGGCTTTTCAGAACTCTACCGGCATGTTCCCTACCACTGGAATCCGGCAGACCAACTATAATGCATCATTCCCCTACGTGTTCACTTTTGACTTAGGGTGCTGTAACAAATGTCGTTCTCGACAGGTTGACCACCTAGCAGGTCTCTTTTGGTGAAGATGTGGATGAGAATTATTTCGATTATAACTGGAGAACACCCAGCGATCACGATTCTAACTCAACAGGGCGGCTACTTGCCTCCATTTATGTAGCTCGTGTATGTGAGTTCAGCTCTGCCGGGGGTTGAGTCGTCGCGCTCAACTCTCTCATCTCCACGCCTTGGCAAGAAAGCTCTCGCTTGCTGTCGTGGCCCAACTTGGCAACTTCTTATTCTTCAGCGACCTGGCCGTGTTTTTCAGCATGTTTCTGCTTTGTCCTGCGCAGGAACACAAACACGCCTATGAGAAGAAGAGAGGCCAGCGCTATGCCAATAACAATACCGGCAATCGATCCTGTTGACAATCCGGACGATTGCGGTACTTCTGTATCCTGGCCAGGAGCGTTACGACCGTAGATCGGAAACACAGGGTGGTGAACAATGATTGGCATTTGATTTGCGAGACTAGCGAGCCTTACTTTACTCCATGATATTGAAAGTGAGCTCCCACTTCTGGGGGTCGTTGTGACGGAGTTGAACCAGACATCAGTCGGGGTCCTGACTATGGTTATGCAGCCCCTCCAAGGAACTGACCCATGCAAAGAGTTGGGACACATCCAGCCTCCGGTTGGACAACACCATGGTTGAATTCAAGTCTCCGGGATCTTATGTGCTTGAGCTTATTGGGAAGGTTGTGGTGCATGCCGGGGCCCAGCCACTGATGCAGGCTGTGCCTGGGTAAGCCCAGGTTGAGACATCGCCTATAAAACTTAGGGGTCAAATCTAAACGGCCAAAAGGGGTGAGTGTCCTTACTGAAAGTTGAGAACGGCATCCAGATGTTGTCATGGACTGGTGGAAAGCACTGTGTAGGCAACCAGCTTTTTGTCTGACTTTCCTCGACAAACTGTACCCCTGAGCAGATATAACCGGAGGTAACATCTTCAGGTTTACCACTGCACATAATGTCCCTCGGAAATATAAAACAGCTGCTGGGTTCTGGGGTAAAAGACGACATTTGCGGTAGCAGTGTAAAGGTTTGGTCCCAGACGAAGCCGGACTCTGATTGAGTAAGTACCTCCACCCATGGCCTCAGGGTCACCGGCCCGGTGGTTGTCGGTGACTGCATTGCAGCTCTCGGTGAACTGCTCTCAGGGCTTTAGTATGGCGGACAAAAAGTGTTTTGGCAATACAGGGTGTGCTCAAAGTAAGAGTAACAGTAAACGACTTGAAGAAGGAGAGAGGGGCTTAAGTTACAGGCCGCCGGGCTTACGCCCGGAGGGAACCGTACAAAGATATATGCATCTCATACCATTGAGTTCGAGCTGACGTCGGTTCAAGTTCCATTCAAAGACATGATGAAATTATCTAGCTGCATATGTAGTGCACCTGGGGTTGGCTGAGTGGCCTGGAGCCAAGCGCTGGACCTCATGTTACCTACCTACATCGTAAGATTGCTGTAGTCACATCCATTCCCCCAAGGCATCAGTTTGTGAGATTTTATCACGCTGGAAAATGTTTCAGATTCTCTCCCTTTCTGCATAAAGCTTTCTCTTGCATGTCTCAACCGGATGATGTTCTAAAGAAGCTTGACCTTCAGCTCCCAGGACAGCTCTCACAATACGCCGGCTTTGTGTCACTTTCTCATGTAACCTTTTCATTTGTAAATCAGCACACAACATGTTCCACAGTCTCGGTCAGAGAATGCGGTAATAGTACGTTCCCACCGAAGGAGGCGGACGCAGATATTGTGCAAGACTGTGAAATCGTCCCTGCTAAAATTCCTGTGATCGGGTTTCGGAGTCCAAGATCGCAAATAAACATTTGAATCCAGATTGCCCTCGACCCCAGCGCTCCAAGTCAACTATGCTCAGCTTCAGCTAAGCCTTCGAGTGGAAGAAGTCCTTCAGAGGATCAGGCGGAGCGGGATCGCTCATCAGACTCCTCTGGAATTCCGTCCTCAGTCTCATAACCGGCTGCATGACCCACGTATTAAACGCCAAGATGTCCGTCTCCTCCTTCGGATCTCTCACGGTGTTGAAGAGATACGGCGACTCAAGACGGCCCGACGACTGGTTGACCTTGGGTTCCCACACCAGATGCAGTTTCCAGTCCTTCCACTTGACAGCTCTGAGCTCCTCTTTGATGTAGAACAGAAACCCCTCCCTATCGGACTTCACCGTGCTCGGCTGCTTGAAGAACGCCGTCTGGTTGATGCCGTCGATCGGCCGATCCCTCGGGACCTTGGACCCCGTCATGGCCAGTATCGTGGTGAAGATGTCCGTGACGTGCACGATCTCGTTGGAGGTCGCGCCCGGCGGCACGTGGCCCGGCCAGCGGATGATGAACGGCACGCGCAGACTTCCCTCCATGGCCGTGTGATACGTCCCGGACCATGGTCCCGCCGTGCCTCTGTACGGCTCTCTGAACTCGGGTCCGTTGTCCGAGGCGAAGATGAAGATGGTGTTGTCCCTGATACCGAGTGAGTCGATATGATCCAGGAGTTCGCCGACGCGGTAGTCCATCTCGGCCATCGAGTCCGCGAAATCGCCCTGTCCCGTTTTCCCGGAGAAGTCCTTGTGAGGCAGAGTCGGGAAGTGGAGGTGAACGAGCGGGTGGTACAGGAAGAAGGCCTTCTCGGCCTCGACTTGTCGTGTAAGCCAATCCCTGGACTTCTCCACCAACATCTCATCAATGAGCCTCCTCGCCTCCAAGTCATAAACGCGAACATTCTCCGAGTCCTCCCCCGCAACCCCCTTCATGATATACGGAAGCTCCGCCACCTCGGGCGTGTACCCGATGGCCGAGGTGAACTGCGTCTCGTCCGTCGTCCTGGGGATGCCGAACCACTCGTCAAACCCGCGGTCCGACGGGTACCGACCGGGGACGTCCCCGAGGTGCCACTTGCCGTGGTGCGCCGTGGCGTAGTCGTTGTCCTTGAGGCACTCGGCCAGCGTCCTCTCCCACCGCGTCAGGCCCTGCGGAAAGCCGGCCGGGACGGACTGGCGGCATCCCGTGCGGATGGGGTGGCGGCCGGTCATGAGCGCGGACCGCGTCGGGACGCAGTCGCTCTCCACGTTGAAGTTGTGCAGCAGGAGGCCCTCGGCGGCGAGCTTGTCGATCCGGGGCGTGGCGGCGCCGCGGAGGGTGCCTCCGCCGTAGCATCCCAGCTCGCCCCAGCCGAGGTTGTCGGCTAGAGCGAGGACGATGTTTGGGCGATTCGGGTCGCGGGACATTGTGTGAGCACGCCGAGACTGGTGAGATTGTCTGTGTAACGGACTTGTCTTGAATTCATATCAACTGCGCGAGACCGGGTTTGTTATATGCGCTGCGATGGACCGGCGTTCGCCTGCTGATACCGATCGCTCAACTCCGAAAGGCACTCCCGGACGGAGATGGCCTCCGGGTCCCGCTTCGCCATCGTGAAAGCATGAGTAAAGCATCTTGTCCTCATCCACTGCTTTATCGATATGATAGGCTATCATCACGGGCCCGTGGCGAGTTCTTTTCAGACCGTTATGGAATACGGGTCATGTTGAGATGATGAGCGAGGTCTGGTGCAAGTGCCGCCTGGAGGATTCGAACGATTTCAATGAATGTTTCGAAGTGCTGTCCGATGAGTCGGTAGAGATGTCGGGACTCGAGCGGTGCTAGAGAAAGAAACAAAGATACACAAGAAAATTAAAATACACCAGATACGGTCTAGCAAAGACGGAGGACTTGGGTTGAATGTCTTATTGACACGAGCTAATGCTGAGGGACGGAGGACGAGTCACTGAGGGAACCAGTTGGTTCAAAGAGAAATTATTATTTGATTGAGACAAGTTCTACTCGATTGCTATGAAGGATGGCCAAACATAAAAATGCCCCAGAAACGGTGCTCAATGGACAATAGTCCGTCAGGGAAAAACAAAGCATGTACCTCACCATCAAATTTCCGACCTCATCGACAAGTCTAAGCGAAAATCTTCGGGCGAGAGCAGAAGAAAGGTCATGCCAAACTCCTACCGGTTTGCTCTTCGCCAGTCGTATACCTCGAAAACCATGGATTTTGTTGGTTAACGCGGAGATATCCTAGCGGGAATGCACATCTACAATAATGCGATGGACCTACCGTTGAGAGAACGTTCCGAATTTCAAGTAGAGAACATTGTCCTCTGAAGCCGATGCGGCCAGATGGGAAGGTTAGCCAAGTCACGACGGTATAGCAACACGGGACGGAGGACCCGAGACAGCATCGCCCTAGGCAGGAGGGGGCGGACGATGGTGGCTTCGGGAGGACCTCCCATGGAGCACTTCACGAGACGTGAAATGGCCATTGAGAAAGAGTATTTCTCATTTGATTTTCTAAAAACTTTTTTTGCTTTTGCAGCCCTTGTCAATTCCCTCGTTGTCTTTTGTGTTCCCATTCCAGGCAATTACCGTTGCCAAAAAACGCTTCAAGGTGTTGTCGACGTCGTGCGAAACGCCGTCGAAAGGATGTCGTCAAATTGTCATTTCCCGCCGCCGTGTCCTTTTTAATTTGGGGTATAACCGTTTTTGTCCCTTGAATTGCCGCTGATCGTTGGGGTTGGATGGCAACCGAGCAGCACACACACGGGACACGCCCTTTTCAGGATCGCGTCGTCATGGCCGTCGGCACCGGTGTCGTCGACGTCGGAGAGGAGATTTAGGCAGAGGCGGTGGACTTGACGCGAAGCTCGCGGCCGACCTTGATGCGCTCAAGGATGGACTCGCGGTCCTTGTCAAGCTTGAGCTTGTTGACGACGACGTTGGAGGGGTGGATGCCGAGGGGGACGGACTGGCCGGAGACCTTGTCGCGGTTGACGCCAGCGATGTGGATGACGTACTTCAGGCGGTAGACGGAGGTGACCTTGCCCTCCTTGCCCTTGTTGGCACCACGGACGATGGTGACCTCGTCGTCCTTGCGGACGGGGATGGAGCGGACCTAAAAGAATGTCAGTACTTCTGGGATCGCGAAACGAAGGCTTTGAGAGAAAAGACGTACGTTGTACTTCTCACGGAGCTCCTTGGAGAGAGGGGCGCTCATGATGTTGCGACGAACGCTGGAGGGAGCGCCGAAGTGGGCAGCGCGCGACTTGCGGCGCGAGGCGGCAACATCTGAAAATAATTGTCAGCTTGGAAGCAATTGATTGATAGAACGCGATCAGAACGTACTCTGGTTAACCTTGGTCATCTTGGCTAGGCGTTAGTAGGAACGTCGTTGGGCGGGAAATGATCGGGATGAATGTCGCGAGAACGGAATACCGAGCAGAAGAAAAAAAACTTTTGGCAATTGCGAAGGCGTTTGGTGGGTGGAAAAAAGACCACGTGACCTCTAAGTGCCCTAAAGAACGGTACACGTGATGGTTCGTTGTCGAAGTGGTCCAAGCTCCTAATTGATTCCGAGTCGGGAAGTCATCGGCGATAAGATAAGACGTTTTCCTGAGAAACCAAGCTCATTCAGAGCCGGGTACCAGTTCATCTTCAAGACGTTTTCCTGAAATCGTAAGAGGCAGCTCAATCGACTGTTGATGAAAGAGTCGGCTGACTGCCTTATTCAGGGGTGATGAGTCTTTCGATTAGACTTCAGATGAACAAATGGCGGCGGCGCTCGTGGCCTCTCTATGCTTCTTTTGACTGATATCCTACAGATGTACACTGATATGCTTCTGAAGCATCCTTGAATGCATGTGGTCCCAAACGCCTGTTGAAATGCTCCCTCTTTTATCTTCATAGATGGTTGTAACACAGCCCTTGCCTGAAAGCCACGGGTTCGGTTGTTTTGTACAGACGTATTCTTGAAGAACGCCATTAGAGTGGTGATTTCCCCGTTTCATTCACATCCCGTTTTAGCTTCACTTCTGCTCAAATGGGCGAAGGCGCCTTAAACTTGCCGTTGTCGTCGTACTTGGCCTCTGTCCACCACGTCAGCACTCCATTGAACAACAACCCTAAGCACAACTTACTGAAGAAGGTATAGTTCAGCGTCACGGTCTCGATGCCGCGCATGTTGACATCATTCACCATGTCCGGGTCCAGGTAGAAGAAGACCGGCATGTCGACCGTCTCGCCGGCGTTGAGCCTCTGCTCCTCGAAGCAGAAGCACTGGATCTTGCTAAAGTACGGCGCCACCTGGCCCGGCGTCACACTGTACGTCGCCACCCCGATGATGTCCGTGTCCGAGGTGTTCGTCGCCGTGTAGAAGGCCAGCGCCGTCTCGCCGGGGAGCACGCGCACCTCGCGCTGCTGCGGCGTGAACTTCCACGGAAGCACGTCCGAGACGGACGAGTTGAAGGTGACGCGGATGCGCTTCGCCGAGGTCACGGGCACCAGCCGCGAGGCCAGGCCGTCTTCGCTGTAGTCTACGTCGGGGCCGTGGGCGCGGACGGGTTGGCCGCCCCATCCTGTCGTTTGGCAGATCTGGAGAGACGAGGGAGTCAGTGCCGGGTGTACCCAAGTTGCGCAAGGGAAGGAGAGGGCGCACCATCTTGTAGAGAGGAACGGAGCCGTAGGACAGCGCAACCGTGCCCAGGATGACGCTGAGGGTGTAGTACCTGCGCAGACGATCTTAGCAACCCGTTTCCCCGGACCCAATTCACTCATGTGGTTCCCTCTCACGCAGTCGTGGCGTTTTTCCGTCTGTAATGCGCATGCACCTGCTCCATTGACGGCGCGCCGCCGAAGCTGGGACCGGTCTGGCGCGGCGAGGGCGTCGTGGATGCGGCGCGGCGGGCGGCGGGGGAGGAAGGCAGGTTTCGCGGGGACGGGCGGGCGTGCTGGCAGAAGAAGCAGCTCCATTTCTGGGCCGATTGGCGCCAGGGCAGGCGCGGGAGAGCATTCATGATCGCGGTCGACGAGGGGAGGTTCGTGGGTTGTTGAGGACGCAGGATGTCATGCCATTTCGCATGGCGTCGGGAATTCGAGGTGGGTTGAGCTTCTGGGCTGTTGCGCCCACCTACCTAGGCTCCCCCGGCAGACGCCGAGGATGCCGGGACGGGTGGGGTTTCTTCCGCCCGGGGTTTGACTTCAGCGGTGTTTTAGGGGTCCTGGCGTTGGCTTCTGGTGGGGGAACGCGCTGAAGATTTGGGTCAGAGCTTCATGGTCTCGTCCACAGAGAACAACGGGGATTTATTTGTTGATCACGAAGTGAGGTATTTGAGTGATCGGATTAGTAGGTATCTATTGGTGACATATTTCCAGTTCCCAAGTACTGTTTATAAATGCTGGCGGGGCTATATTCGTCTCGTAAGGTATCCCAACATTACGCAGCTTTCCCGTTCTTCAATGTCCTTTTCAGGCGCTCCGCACGAGGACTCACAACCCTCTTCGCCACGCCGAAAGCTCTCTCCAGCACTCTTACAACGAAAACTTGAATAAGCAGAATGATGAGCCTCACCAGCAAATCCGCCAGTCCAAGCGACGGTTTCCTACCGCGGCTGTACGTCGAGTCCACGAACTGGAACGGCAGCTTCGCGTACAGGTGGTCCTGCGCGATGTGCAAACCGCTGCTGAAGCCGTCCTCGTGAAAGCCGTATTTCGTCCACGCTCCGGCGTAACTGATGCCGCGCTTGTTCTGGATGCGCGGGAGGAGCTTCTGCGCGCGCACTGCCGCGGGCGTGTACAGAGGGTGTCGGTAGGTGAAGCTTCCCTGGACCGTATCCGGGCTCGGTGGTTGCAGTGGGTTCATAGTAACCAGGACGTCGCCGAAGGTCTCGCGGGGGATGTGTTGCAGGATGTTCATGTTGTACGTCAGGGACACTTGGTCGATGTTCTGCTTGCCAGTAGAGGGCGAGGAGAGGGTGAGGTAGTTCCAGCTGGTCCAGGCCTTCTCGGAGGCCGGCATGTGAGATAGGTCGGAGTGGAGGACGACCGAGTTCTCGGATGTCTGGAACGCGGACAGGATCTCCTTCTCTTCCGGCGTCGCTGATGACCCGATGATCCTGAGCGCCTGATCTCCGTGTGTCGCCAGGATGACGTGGTCGTAAACGTCGGATTTGCCGTTGTGAGCATGCACTCGCACCCTGCCGTCCTCCTCGCTCGTGACCTGAGTTACTTGTGTGTTGAGGAAAAGGTGGTTGGAGGGAAAGCCGTTCATGACGGCGTCGATGTAGGACTTTCCGCACTTCTTGAGAGTGAGCCACTGCGGTCTCGCAGAGACCGTTGAAAGGAGATGGTGGTTCCACCTGGTACGGAGTCAGTATCGGCCAGGATGTATGTACCAAAGCACTTACATGAAGCGGACGAGAGTGACTGCCGGAAAGTCCAGCGTGCACTTATCGGGGCTCGTACTCCATACGGCAGCCGTCATGGGAATAAGGTAGTCGTCTCTGAAGGCATCTGAGTAGCCTTCCCTCTCGAGGTACTCGCCGATGGTCTCTTCCCTCTTAGCCCCCTTGCTGTCACCGTTCATCGCAGCGGCGTCGTTCTCGTCATCGGACATCAGCAGGTCCATGGCAAACTGGTTAAATCGAACGATATCGAAGATCATCCTCCACATGCGCAGCGAAAAGATGTTCTTTCGTTGGCAAAAGACGGCATCCAGACTCGTACCGGCCCACTCAAATAATCCGTGGTCGCGAGTAACACCGAACGTCATCTCTGTCGGCACCGTTTCCACCTTGACCTTCTTGAGGAAGTTGATGAAATTTGCTGGATGTCGTGTGAGTGAGAGGAGCTCATGCAAGTCGAAGAGTGCAACCTACGATACGTCGCGGCGTTGAGGACGATGAAGCCCGTGTCGACGCTCGTCTCGAACTTTCCACTTTTCCATGTCACCGTATTGGTGTGTCCGCCAAGCCTCGACGAGGCCTCATACATGTAGACATCGTGATAACTCCGGTTCAAGGCCCAGAGGGCGGCGATGCCGGCGCATCCACTGCCGACGACGGCAACCTTTTTCCTAAGATTCGGGTCAATGGGGGAGCCTAAAGACTTCACGGACTCCAACGACGGAGGTCGACGGGCCATTATTGAAGCTGCAAACTGTACGAAGACCCGGGAGAGGAACGGCACGGAAGGATGCAAAGCTTGAAGTTTGAACAAGCCACGTCTCGCAGATGCAGACGGGAGGAGAGTTTGCAGTGTTACAGTTGCATAAGGTATTATAAAAAAGCAGGATCAGAGACAAAGAAGAGAATCAGGGAGGTCGGTAAGCTTGCGTAAGGCAAGGTAGCTCAGCTCGAGTGTCTTGGAATGGCGGGGTCCAACAAGGCGCAAGCCACGGACGGCCACGGGCGAGGATTTGGGGGAAGACGAACAATGGGACGGACGGCCGTTCGCACATGCCAAACCCCGCGCCGCTTCTCACCGCAAGCCCACGGATGGGTAGGACGAAAGTCTCGGGAGTCTCAGAGGCGACATGGGAGGCAACTGTAGCACACACTACCTGGGTATGCTCGAGACCAATGCACCTAGTGCTGCAACTTGCGCAGGTGACGGACGGGATGGATCTCTGAGAGGAGTGTAGCAAGTGGAGGAGGGTGGTGGGCAATGGGGTGGATGGGAACCCGTGGAATCGAGTGTACATATTGTCGGACCGATGGTTGGACAGCGGCCGAGTCTCTGCAGAACGCAGATAATGACATCGAGTGGACGAAAGAACAGGCGGTAAAAAGAAAAAAGAGAGCAACGTACAGCGGCTGACCTGGCGCCATTTCTTGCAGGTTTTCGGGTCAGGTATCTATGGATCCCTCAAAGGACTTGGACTGGTAGAGCGTTCGACACGTGGCCGCCGGGTACGGGTAGGCAGCGAATACGGGAGCGTCCTCCGATGTTTTTTTAAGATAAATTTTTGACAGCCAAGGACGAGGATGAGAAAGGATTGTATGGGAAAGGGTGGTCGGGAAAGGGAAACGTTCGGCCACGGATCACGATGCGATGGAATGAAACGAAACTCAGCGGCCGGAGCTCCCAGGCGCAATGACGCTTGCATTTGCATTGACGACCCCTGCAGGCCTGACCTACGCGCCCCGATCTCTGCAGCCTCAGCGTTTCCCAGCCCCTCCTTGTCGCGGTGGACTCTGCTCGATGGTTCACGATGATGGCGCCACAGGTGGCTGGACAAATTTTCATCTGTCGAATGGTCGGTGAAGCTGGCGACGACAGGTGTGGCTTCACTACGGAAATTTTACTATTTGAAGACAAGACTGCAATCCTCACACGGTATCACGAATGGGACTTCGCATCGAGGCTCCAGGTGAAGCTCTCGCTGACACGCAACAGGCGGCGACAGAAGAATTCGAACTGTGGAACAATTGATATCAAGCACATTATCACCACGAAGACCTTCTTCTTCGCAACCAGAGGCAGAGCTCCAGAAAGCAATGAAAAAGAGAAAAAAGCACGCCTGTCAGACGTCCATCGACACCCACCCCGATCGTGCGCCCAAGGGCAAGACCACAACCGGGGACGAGATCATCACCGCCTTCTATACAGCAACAGCCCAAAGGGCCAGAAGCCGCCCTCCTCGCGGAGGGTACGAAAGCAACCAGAGTTCTTCACTCTAGGGTGTCGAGGATATCACTCATCAACCAGGGTGGAATCTGTGGCTCCTTTAGGGAACCTAGAGTAGGTCGAATACTATAGAAATGATTCTCTGAAGTATTGTCGACATGGAGAAAAAAGAAGAAGAAAAGTCTAAGATTCGCGGCGGGAGGGCGCCCTTATATAGATGTCTGGCTGCCAGGCCTGGGCGCTCGGGCCAGGCACGGTTTTCTGTGGGTTCTGCTGCCTGCGGTGGGCCACGACTGGTGAAAATTTTGGGGCGAGGCTGGTGACCGCCCTGATATTGCCGCTTTTCGTGCTGGACGGCAATTTCGAGGAAGAACTTCTCTTTGCATCTCACGAAAAGTGAGGACGGGCTTGTTTATGTGTGAGATGACCGTCTTTTGCTTGATTTGAAACTGTCGCGGAAAGTGTTGATTTCGTTGCGGATATTGGGTATATGGGACTGAGGGTAGGATACAAGCGCGTGAAGGTTGTGAAGCTTCAACTTGGGCACTCTTCGTGATTGATGAATATTTTCCCTTCCTCCCCAAGGAAACCTCAGGTCTTCTCGAGATCAAGATCAAAGATTTCACGTCCGTCTAGACCCACAAATACGGTCTATCTTAGAAAAACTTTCACTTTCACATGAAAATCCTGCATCTCGTTGTCGTTGGCCTGGGCTACGCAGACCCTGGAAAGGACGCGCAGGTTGGGTGACCGCCTGTCTCGCGACGTGATTTAAATTTTACACTGCAGATAGGCAGACATGAAAAATGACACGCGACTCAGTTGCCTGGCTTGGTCGTTCGTAAGATGGCCCGTCGTTATTTTCGTCAAGCTGCCAGCCCAACCTCTGCCTCAAACGTCCCAAATAAGTCAAATTTGATGGCAACGAGCAAGGGCTTACTCGTTGTTCCAGCAAGGACATCAAACACGGCATGTCGGATACCTCAAGCAGATATCCATAGCAAGAGTTGGCATTAATGCCGCCTTAACAACAGAGCAGTTCACGGCTACAGTTTCACATCATCAAACGATAGCTTACGACGATAGAATGTCGAGCACTCAACGGGACCGGAAAACGTGAGATCGAGTTCCCAATTCTTAAAAGCGCCGTGACGGAGCGTCTCCCCGAAGGATAGACACCCAACCATCACTCTGCCCGGCTTAAGTTCAACTCGACGTCCATCAGGCACCGAAATGCCAGTCGACGCCGAGCCGTATTTCCTCGAACCGGGGGATAATCAACTTGAAGAAAAAAAGAAGAGAAAGAGAGCGAACTTCGTTCTGCGCCTGCAAATTTCGATTAAAAGGGCCTGCAGCAAAACGGGGCTCGGAGGTCACGCACGGGCCAGGTAACAAGACATCCAATCACGTGCTGTTCCAGATTCTACTGCTCTAGGCTCCAGCCACGGGGAACCTGCGGCGCCTCGTCATCGATGGACCCGATTGGTGCACCAGCCACTCGGGGACATGACATCGCCAAGCCCGGTCCAGACTTACGCAGACGACATGCGTACCGGCGACCTTCCAACAACGCAATCGCCTCCCGCCCCCAATCCTTTTTGACCTGTTTCCGGCTTTTCCAGTCCGCCCTCACAACCCTCGACGCGCCCGACGAACTCATCGATTCCATCAATCTGATCCACGACGATACGATCACTGCATTCGCTGCGCGATTACGATAGGGGAACCGTATAAGGAGGCGTCCCGCTTTCCCCCCTCGATCCCGAAGACGAGAACCACCGTCTACGGCTTTCCCGGCTTAGGCTCTCTACCGATTAATCCACCCCCTCCGGCATCACCGTCGCATCCGCACATCATGTCGAACCCTCTCGAGACCGAGCCCGGCTCCGAGCGCTTCAGCGACTATGAAGCCGAACTGAAACTCGTCCAGGCCGACCTGGTCCAGAAGCTCGACCAGATCCCCGAACTCTCAGGCGAGCCGCGCAAAGCAGCCCTGAGCTCCGCAGAGCGCGCCCTCGAAGAGGCCGACGAACTGGTAATCGGCAACCTCCCGTCTCTCCCCTGAACACGGCAGTCGACTAACACCCCCGAAACAGCTCGCCCAAATGCGCCTCGAAAAGGCAAACATCCCAACCACCCTCCGCTCCAAGATCAACGCCCGCTTCCGCAACCACGAGTCCGACATCGACGCCCAGAAGCGCAAGCTCCGCACCCTCGCCGACGACCGCGCCGCCCTCTTCGGCGCCCGCTACACCGACAACCCCTCCGGCTCCGGCCAGGACGTCCAGCTCGAGCAGCGCCAGCAGCTCCTCGCCGGCACCGACCGCCTCGACCGCTCCACCCAGCGCCTCAAGGCCTCCCAGGCCCTCGCCAACGAGACCGAGGCCATCGGCGCCAGCACCCTCGCCGACCTCTACACCCAGCGCCAGACCATCCAGCACACCCATGAGACTCTCCTCGAGAGCGAGGGATACGTGGACCGCAGCGTCAAGACGCTGCGGGGGATGGCACGTAGGTAATTACTCTTCCTTGAATCCCGTTTTATGATGCCAATAGGATTGATCGCTGACTGTTCTGTGTGTTATAGGATGGCTACCAATCGGGTGATCACAGTCTCCATCATCACCATCCTCGTCCTCCTCATTGTCGCCGTCATTTTCAGCAAGTTCAGGTGAACCAGTAGCAGTCATAAGCTGCCCATCGGTCCGGAGTTTTGGGTTGTAGGTTTAACGATGTGTACTCTTTTTTTTGTTGTTGTTTGGTCTTTCGTTCCCGAAGGAGCTTCAGAGGGGGGGACCTTGTATTGAGTCTTTTCCCACCCCCCCCTTGTGTTTTTGCGCAAAGAGAATGGGCTTCGGTGCACGCATGTTATATAACGAAGGGAAAAGAAGAAGGAGAAGAAGCCCCTGGTCTGGGTCTATTCCTAAACAGACCGCTTAAGTCGAAACAGAGACGTTTTACTTCCGAATCCGGGAAAACAAAGTCATGCATATATGTAGTCATCACGAGTCGTTCGTTTGTAAATACCAATTTCTTTTTTGTCTTCTCTATATCTGCCGTTGGGACGCCACGTGACAAAAGGCTCCCCGTTCTCAAGGAGCCGCTTTTTTACCTCATTTAGACGGGTATAATCAGACTATACATTCCATGAAAAAAAAACACACACAAAACCGACATCATACCGTATCTACCTGCGTCCTCCACGACCGCCGCCGCCGCCACCACCGCCCCTGCGACCTCCGAAACCACCACCGCCGCCTCCACGGCCCTTGCCCACGCCTCCGCCGGACATGGGACCGCTACGTCTCCTCTCCTCGCCGAGGCCCTTGCGCCCGGCGGCGATGCCGCCCCTTCCGCCACGTCCTCCGCCGCGCGGGGGACCGCCGCGACCGCCGCGGAAGGGTCCCCTGCCGCGGTCGCCGTTGCCCCTGCTCCTGTCGACCTGCGCCTTAACGGCGTGGGCGTCGGCCTCGTCCATGTCCTCCATGTCCTCGTCGTCCTGGCCGCGCTTGTTGCTGAACTTGAGCTTGCCGCCGCGGCCCTTGCGGGCGACGTCCTTGCCCTTGAGGGCGGCGACGTAGGCGTTGACGCCGGAGCCCTCGGCCGCGCCGTCGATCTCCATCTCGTCGTCGCTGTCCTTGCCGAGGATGAGCTTGCCGTCGAGGTCCGTCTTGGCCCTGGACTTTGTGGGCTTGCGCATCTTGACGGGCTTGGTGGAGGAGATGTTGGCGAGGGCGTTGCGGTCGAGGAGGTCGAGCGGCTCGTCCTCGTCCTCGACGATGTAGGCGTTGCCGCCCTTGCGGTTGCCGCGCTTGCCTCCCCTGGCGCCGGCGCCGGCCTCCTCGTCGTCCTCGTCGTCGTCGTCGGAGCCGTCCGAGTCGCTGCTGTAGAGGGCCTGGTCGAGCTCGTTGTCGAACTTGCGGCCCTGGTGGCCGTCCTCGTCCTCGCTCTCCTCGCCGGCCTGCCTGGCGGCGTCCTTCTTCCTCTTGCTGCGCTCCTTGGTCTTGCGGATGTTGTTGATGAGCTTGCGGTCGTCCTCGGGGCAGTTCTGGTTGACGAGCTCGTAGCCGAACTTGCGGACCATCCTCTCGAGGATGTGCCTTACTTTGCTCTTGAAGTGGCCCTTGTGCTCGTGGCCCCACTTGATGAGGTTGGGAACGAGGGTCGAAAGGCGAGGGATGAGGAGCTCGGAGGGGAGGCTGACGACGCAGATCTTGACGAAGCCCAGGACGCTCTTGACGATCTCGCGGTTGTTGGAGGTCAGGAAGAGGTCCATGGTTCCGACGAGTTCGATGAGAGTCGCGTTGGTGAAGGAGCGTCTGAACTCGTATAGTACACGGCTGACGGCGGTGATGGATGCAGAGATCATGTGAGCGGTGCTGCCGGCGAGACCGGCGATGACCATGGTGAGGAACTCCTCGATGTTGGCCTTGCCTGCAGGTGCGTCGTCGGGCATATGGGGAACCTTGCTGTTGTCAATGGGTGCGTTGTTCGCCGCCTCCATGCGCTGACCCATCAGGACGAGGAGATCGTAGGCGGCTTCTCTGGCGCGCTCGTTGTTCTCCTTGCAGCAGATGACGACCTCGCTGAGGACGGAGGGAATGAAATGGAGGGAGGTGTCGGGGATGAAGGAAAGGAGAGATGAAAGGGCGCCCAGACGTTCTCTGCGGGCAGGGGCGGAGACCTTCTCCGCGCTGTTGAGGAACATCTGCTGCAACTCTTCGCTACGCTCCTGCAGTGCCAATCTGCCGCGTTCTGACTCGGCCAGACGGGGCACGAGCTTGTAGGCCTTCTTTTGCAGCTGCGGCTCGTTCTCCTTGAAGATGATGACGGAAGCGATCTCGAACAGTGCCGAGAAGCTCTCGCGAGGCAGGTAAACAGAAATGGTGATGATCAGGTCCATCAGCGTGTTGCTCGTCGAAGGCATTTGGTCCTGGGACTTTTGCTGCTGCTTGGGCTTCTCCTGTTCCGCAGTCTGCTGCAGTTCCGCTGCGAGCATCTTGCTGACACGATCGAAGGTCTCGATGAGCTCCTTTTCGGGGGTGACGCTAAGGAAGGCGTTGATTGTGAGTAGAATGGGGCCTCTTGATTGGGGCAGGGTCTGGGTGTAGACGTTGAAGAGAACAGCCAGCATGTTGCCAGCGAAGCTGCCCAAATGCTCGAGGTTCTTCTTCGCCGTCGCCTTCGACACACGGCTCTGGAGGACAAGGTCCTCTTCCGCGTCCTCGATGGCAGCGATCGCCTGGTTGGACTCGACGAGAATCTTGAGCGCGCGGCAGACCTCCAGTCGCAGCTCAACCTGCTTGTACAGAATGTTGGCCAGGAGCTCAGCAAAGCCCTGGTCGAAAGACTCTGTCAGATCGAGAGGCAGGTCGCAGTAGCCGGGCAGGGTGGCCCAGATCTGCTGCACGAGGGTCTCGAAAATCTTGACCTCCATGGTCTTCTCTGCCTTGCCGTGGTCCAGGACCCGTTGGAACATGAGCTCACTGAGAGGAACCATTTCACGACGGAAGTGGGCGAGTTCGGTGTTGCTAACGTAGTCACGAAGGATAGGGAACATCCACGCGCGGCCCTGCTGGCCCTTGACGGGCTTGGCCAGGTTCAGGGGAAGAATCGACAGGACCGCCTCAGGGCCCATGGCGCGAACGGCCTTGCCAATAACCTCGTCGGCTTCCTTCTTGCCCTGGAAAGAGTCGCTGCCGCGAAGGTCTCCGACGGCCTTGGTGATGTTAAGCATCATAGGGTGGGCGCGCCATCTAAGGGAGTCGAACATGGCTCCAAAAACGTTGAAGCTCTCCATCCAGGCTTGCTGGTACTTGACGCTCAGGAGAGACTCGGCAATCTTGGCGATCTTGTCCAATGTCTTCTCGTCGTAGATGGACGGCTCGAGGATAACCTGCTTGGGGATGCAGTTCGCAAGGAACGAAACCAAGCATTCGGAAGCGGAAACGCGGATGTTGTGGGCGGGAGACTCCAGGAATTGCGCGACCATTGAGAAGATTTCGGGCAAGTTTTGGAAGACGTCTTCGGGCTCGAGCTGGGCGGAAACGTCGTATCCTCTGGAGAGAATGGCCAGCCATGGCGGAATAAGCTGTGTGTCGTTCGCGGCGGGTCGCAGCTCCGAGATAATCTCCATGAGTCGCGGAAGTTTGGCGGAGGCAACCTCGCCAGCCATGCCCTCGAAGATCATCTCAAAGATTTCAAAAGAAGCCATGGTCATGTACTCGTTGCCTGACCTGGAGATTCCGAGGAGCAGCTCGCACAGAGACTCGATCTTCTTGCTGGGCCAGCCTCCGCTGGAAGACGCAACGGTCTTGATGAGCTGAAGGGCGTGGATCAGGGCAGGATCGTGCGCCGACTCGGCTCCGCTCTTCTGCTTCCTTGCCTGCGCGGCCTTGGTGGCCAGGTCCTCGAGATTCGCCAGGGCGGTGTGCGCGCACATGTCGGCGGCCGGGTGGTCGAGCGAAGGACTCGGGGGCGGGTTGGTGAGAACCTTGCGCAGGGCTTCTTGCGCCCTCTTGCGGATCTTCGGACGGTGGTCGAGGGAAATGTTGAGCAGGCCAGCGACGGCTCTTCGGGGGCCGATCTGGGTCACGCCGAGCTCCCAGGCGTGGGAGTCCTGCGCGAGAAGCAGCGACTCCAGACAGCCGATGGAGGATCTGAGAAGAAGGGCTTCGGCATCTTGTTGGAGGAGGACGGGGGCGAGAGAGGTGAGGATCTGAGTGAACTTGGCGCGGAGAAGCGGTTGAGGCGCAAACGGTGTGATGGTATCGAGAAGGTAGACAACGGAGGTGGTCGTTTCGGATGAGATGTTACCGCTCTCGACTGCTTGTGTGAGGAGTGCCAGAAGGGCGGCAAAGTAACCGGTAGGTGTAGGTTCGGTGTTCTGCTCCTTCAACGTCGTGTCGACCGCCTCGAGGACTACCGCTGTCTTGAAATGATGTTAGCGAGGTAGGCTCATGATTGAGACCATTCACAGGCACTGTACCCTCTTCTGGCTTTGAAGACCGGGTGACCGGATCTTGTCCAGCTTCTCGGCAAGAGTTGGAGTCGACATGGTGCTTGTCGTGTTCCAATCTGTCGGGGTCAACTGTGGGAGACGATGGAAAGCCGATGCGGTCGACAAGCGCTGCAGGTCCAAATTTTTTTTTCCCCATGCACTGCGAAAAATCCTTATCGCACCACCCCGCCTTCGATAACGTCGCTTAGCAGGGATGTGCACTGTGCGTTCCACGAGTAAACTCCACTTTGGTAAGTGTCTCGCACGGACTTGGCAACACGGACTTGGCAACACTGACTTCATCACACTTCCAACTCTGAATAGCGACAACGATGTTTCCAGCAGCCTCCGTCGTCCATCACACATGTTGCAAATAGGTTTGACGGTCAAATTATTAATTCTCTATTGCTGCAATTGTCATCGTGCCAGTTCGTCCTGATCTTAGTCATACTCTTATTCATCATTAAACCCCTGAATACTCGAAATCCACCTCCGGTTTCTGAACGCTTCATAGCCATACATGAGTAGTAACTTCTGGTGGCGTTCTGACTGAGATTTATTTACTTGATTTGCTGTGAACCTGTCAGTATTCTTCTTCCAACGCTCCAAGAGACATGACTCACAATGGATCTGTTGGGAGGTTGGTTTTCGGCTCGGCCATCAGCTGAGATGGCCAGCCGCTCGAACGCCGAGTTGATGCTACTGCCGTCGGTCGCCTTAGCGGGGGAGGGACGGGAAGCTTGTGCTGCGGCCTTGACGATGGCGGGGGACAGTGTAGCACCACCATTGCTGATGCGAGGAAGGAAGCCGGCAATGTGTTCCGTGTGGACAGCCCCCGGAAGAGCGGTTGCGGTCGCCGTAACTCTCTCTGACCAGGCACGAACGCTGTCAAGATGTTAGCAACGTGATCACATGACAAGGAGACGGCGAGGAATAGGGAAACGACTGCAGACTGAAATAGGAGACAGTAGCGGACGGCCAAGTCATACCTTGGGGAAGAAGAGGCGGGGACACCAGCGACCAAGACGACTTACCAAGAGTTGAAGTACGCTCGCTCCGAGTCCGTTTCTCCGACATTCTCGGACGAGCCCGAGCTATCCTTCGACTCGTCGAGACCTTGGCTGTTGAAGTAGGCAACGGGACGAAGCTTGCTGCCGCTGCGGTGCTTCATGGGCGAAGTCACATTGTCGGACTTGGTGGCTCGCTTGAGGTCGCGCTCCCGGCCGACCGATGCGGTCCTGAAGACGTCACCTCGGTAGGGCTCCAGAGGGGCGAAAGGGTCCAGGTCTGCGGTGGGCATCGAGAAGCCATAATCCTCTGCGGGTCTGCCCGTGGGCACTCTGCTGACCCTGTTCTTGGAGGGGCGAGGTTGTTTCTCCGGGGAGATTGGGTAGAAGTCCTTGCCGTCGAACTTGGGAAACTTTCCACGCAGGTGGTCAGGGGCGGAGGTCCAGAAAAGATGCTTGGCCATCTCTTCGTCCTGGGTGAGGGCACGGTGGTAGATGTAGTCACGGATGTCGGGACCGGGGTCCATTCCGAAGGGGACTTCGCCAATGAGGTAGGGCAGGCCGAGCCCAGCATTATCGCGGGCGAAGTTGGAAAACGTCTCGATGTCATCAGCGGGCGTGGGCGGCGCGTTGGACAGGTAACGACTGGATTCCTCAAAGTTTACCGGGATTGGTCCATGGAATCTGCCGCCGAAGGTGTCCTTCTTGTTGTCTCCCAGCATTGAAGCTGTCCGCTGAGTCTTTGCCTGGGCAGGGTTCTCTGCTTCGGCCCGTGGCTGGAAGACCGGAGCCAAGGCCGCAGAAGCCAAAATCGATGGCTTGAAAGGCATGGAGGTGTCCACGGTGAGCCTAACTCTATCCTTCTTGCGAATCTTCTTCTCGCTGCTCTTGGAGTGTTCCTTGCCAATCGTCTGGGCTGGCTGGGCGAGCTCGGCCTTGCCCTGGAACAGGACGGGCTCACTCTTGACGTCGTCGATAGGACCGCTTTTGCCGTTGTTGGAAGAGTCGCTCTTGCCCTCCGTTGAGTGTTCATTCGGGGTTTCCAGAGCGAGTTCACCCTTGAGCTTGACCTCGAAATGCTGGATATCGGCACGAAGCTGACGTGCGTATTCTTCCATGTGTCTCTCGTCGATTTGGTGGCGGTTGTAAGCCAACTGGGCCTCTGCTTTCTTGAGGCTAGAACGCAGGCCTGCAAGCTGGTTCTTGGTGATGATACTGGGCCGGATGGACGACAGGTATGAGGGGGTGGCAGACTGGGGAGGCGGCGCTCCGAACGCGCCGGAAACAGGGAGGGCGCCGGGCATGACGCCTGGAATGACACCAGCGGACATCGGAGTCGGAGGGGCTTGTTGGTACATGAGAGGACCAAGCATCGGATTGCCAGGGAACGGCATTGGCATCATGGGAGGCGGAGGAAAGAACCACTGGCCGCCGAACGAAGGAGGCAAAGCTGCTCCAGGCATTGCTGGAGCCATTCCTGGCTGGGCCATGAGGAAGGCAGGATGCATGGGAAGCATTGGATGGCCAGGCAAGAACGGCAAGCCGTTGAGAGGAGGTTGCTGGCCGAACTGGGGCTGGCTCTCTGCATTGAGTCTGTCTTTGCTGCCCTTTCCGGTAGGCGAGTGAGCAGGATCGAGGGTGTTGGGCACGATTCTTCCTCCAGCGGTGACGCGGACGTGTGTAGGAGATCGTACGGCCTCGTAGAATTGCTCGAAGCCCTTCCGCTTCTGGTCAGGGAGAACTGTTCGCTGAGAGTGTACCTCGGGAGCCTGAACCTCAGGCTCAGCATCCTGTCCGTCGAGCTGGCGACCGGCTTGTCCATCGAGCTGCGTGGCTTCTACCATGCTCGGGACCATGGTCTGGCGAATGAAGTGCTCTTGGGGCGGAGCAACAGGCTGAGGGGCCCGGGACTTGGCGAAGCTGGTGCTATCAGACTCAGCGGAGGAGGACTTTCTGGCCTCGGCGTTGGCTCTAGAGAGAGAATGCATTCCGCTCTTGTGATGGACTCTTCGTCCCATGATGTGGGCTTCATGGAAGCGTCAGTAATGGGCGTAACTATCAACGGAGGCAGAAGACATACCGAGAACCTGGTTTCTTTTGGCTTCCTCAATCAATTTCTGCCCAAAACAAGACTCCAGGTTGGAACCCCGAAGGGCCTTGAGCTGGCCGATGCTGTAGTGAGAGCAGTCCATCGGTGGTGGCTCAGAAAACAGCAAGGAGGATGGCGGCACAGAGGTCAGGAATCGGTCAATCTGGACGGTCAGCAAATCGCCTCACCAATCCGGTATGGGACAAACGCAACGATGCTATTGAGGACAGGCCCAAGAGAAAGTAACAGCAACAGTGGCAGAAGAGGGGGAGGGCTGAAGATACGACCAAGCATGAAAGTACTCACCAAGGTCGACAAAGCAACAGTACTGGCGGCTGTCTGCCGTGTTCCAAAAATTAGGCGAAGCAAAGTGAGGCCGACGGTGAGGGAGGTGGTTGAGGTGGATGTTGTGAGAAGATTGAAGTTGGGGGAGGGTGGAGGACGGGAGAGGTATCTGTGAAGATGGGTGGGAGGTGGTGAACTTTGGAGGGCCGCCTTCTAAAATTGTGAAGTGGGCGAGAAAAACAGAAGGTGAGGTGGTGGCTCAAGTTAATGCCCTTGCAGAGATTTTACCTGAGGTGCCTGCCCAGAAGTTGAAGGAGCGTCAAATGCTGTTCAGGAAGGCACGACTTCTAAATAACAATTGACTTGGTCGGTTACTAGAGCACCTAATGAAAAAGAAAAAAAAGCCTTTTTATGCCCTAATGAAGATGATCAGCAGACAAAGGGCAACCAGGACAGTTGTATATGCATGCTAGCTATGAAGCACGTCCTTGTAATCTGGGTCAATCAATGGGAGGTTGGAGTTTAAGAGGATGGACTGATGTCCTTTGTTGAGTAATAAGGCAACCTGGTAATCAAAATTGCATTTACTGAGCCATTATACACTTCCTGGAGAGCATCAATTCTTACTTCTTGTCCTCTCAAGGGAAGAGTTTTATGGGAAGGCCAGGGGCAAGATGGTAGCCATGAACAGGAGCTCACATGATTTACCTAGGTAGAAGAAACTGGTGAGATAGGTAGCCAGTGTTCTATTCTTTAGCGAGGTAGGAGAGCACAGGTGGTTACGTCAAAGAGAAGTTACATTTAAGCTCCATCATTATGGTAAATTTCCGGCTGTGCCCAAGGACAGATGAAGGATGACCGTGGGGTGTTTCCCAAACCAAAATGATAATCAAGACTTGGCATGGGTTTGGACGAGAGTGATGGAGAAAGTAGGTAAGGCGAGATGTGAGGAGAAGTCGAGAAAAGTGCCATTGACTATTTCCAACCTGAAAAACGTCATTCTGACTGGACGCGTATGATGAGGAAAGTAGTGACACCGGGCCAAGGCAAGCAACTTCCCACGCTCTTGCCATAACTCGAGGTACCTTAATCAAGGAAACAACTGTCCCACCCAGCTCCTTCCATTCATTTCCGTCACGCCCTGAAATGTTTTATACCACATATGCCTCTGCCGTTTCTTCTTTCCCTTGGTAGCTAGGTGCTTTACCTATCCAGGTACCTAAGGTAGGTACAAGCAAGGAAGAACGCTAGGAACATTTCTTCCTTCACCATATTAATCCATCGTTTTCCAGATAACACAGAAGAAATTGAGATCCTCATGCCATTACCAGTCTACTCAGCCCCTTCTTGGCCAGTGTCTTCTCATCCACCGAAGAAACAAACAGAAAATCCGGGACTCGACCTCAGAAACCGCTTGGTGAGCTACCAGACCTTGTTCCTAGGCCTCATCGCCGGCAATCGAGAATCTTCCTGCGTTCGTGTTGCTGAACGAGAGCAGCTGATGACCTGGCCCGGCGCCTCAGCGATGACGACGCGGAGACCGCTCCAGCTCGCTTGTACCAGATGACCTTCCGAGGTGACACCAATATTCCGTTGTTTGCTCTTGCCGTACCGCTTTCCCAGGCCGCCCGGATAAAGGAAATAAGCCAGAGGTCTTGGAATTCGAAGTCGATAACAGTCGAATCAATGTTCCCCAAAAGAGATGCTGCTATTCGACACACTCTGGGTGTTGTTGGCGCCCAAATTCGTTTCGTTTCCCACCGTCGAATGTCCGAGAAAAAACATGGAACCCTCGCTGATATCATAGGTTGGTGTCGGCTGCAAATCCTCCGGAACGGGATATCGGAAGCCCAATAGCACGGGCTTAGACCCGTTGCCGATCGCCGGGGTTGTCGGGAATAGGTACAGGAGGATCGGGCCGTGGCTTGGGCTGAGGCTTGTCGTCCTCATGCATAGGAGAAGAGACTGGAGTAGAGTACATGCTGACAATGTGTTGCAGGAAGCAGCCGCCAGTCATGACCTGTGAAGGTTTTCGGCCTGTTGAAAGTTCAGGTTGGTTGAGGTTCTCAGAGGACAGGGCTACTGGAGTGTCGTGCGATAGCGAGGTGAGACCCCCGTTGGACAGAAATGGATGTGATGGTGGATAACTTGGAGAACGATAGGAAAGCAGACGATCAAAGACCGAATCTATCTGGAAGGCTGGCCTTCTTCTTAAAAAGTTCCCTTGGGTCCTGCTTCACCTACCTAGCCATGCCATGCCACCCCACCCCACCTTCACGAGTGCAAGACGCTCGAGCGGCGGGAGGGATTCGATGCGGAGCATACACCTTTCAGAGAATACCCCAAGCTCCCAGGCTCCCAAGCTCCAGACGTATTCGACGGCAGGGACGGGAAGGATGTTTTCTTGGTTCCCCTATGGGATTTCCTGCCGAAGGAGCACGTGGCTCTCAGCAATGAAACCTCTTGATAGTTTGATCACCAGGTTGGGCTTCGAGACGAATAGCAGACGACTATCGGCAGGCAGCGGCAACAAGCTCTTCCCAAGAAGCCCCTCATATTTCGCCGATATGACAGGCTCGACCTAAAGTCTACTGGCAACGCACAGGCTCTTCCTGTCACACTTCCTTTTTATACACCAGGGACATATCACGGAGGATCATGGGTAGGGACAGGGATACAAAACCTGCTTGGCCCGTCCAGCTGATGGAGGCCAAACACGGGACCAGATTGTCGATGACGGCGGAACACAAGACAGTCAGTCCAGATGGCGCGTCAATGTCGACTCTGCCGCTTTTGCGGCTGCGCACGCGCTTCGTTCGGGGTCCTTGTATCACAACCCACGACGGCCCCGCTGGCGTCAGCTCAAAACTGACGCTAGGGCGACGTGCGAACGAGTAACTCGGGCAGGCCGTCAAGGTAGGGTTCGGTGAGCGGCAGATCGACTTAGCGGGGCAACTGCACGTTGGGCTTCGACGGGGCGGTTCGAAGCAGCGGGAGATGTGCCGGAGATTGGACAGGATTGTGCGGGTTTGACAGGTTATTTTCGCAGAGCTGTGCCTGGCTGCCGCTGTTCGCCGGGGCATCAACCGCAGCCTGTCATCAAGCTTTACATCCTGAAACAACAGGGACATGAAAACGGCGACAGGGATCCCAGTTAGGACTGCACGAACCGTGGAATGGATGACGGCTGCCCGAACAAGACGACATCGACCCCTGAGCTTTACGTTCTTTGACTGGAAGAAACGGAATGAAACCGGGATCCCCATCATTCGAGACTTATTTGCGATCGCTTCCAGGAAGCTATATGATGGACCGCGGTCTCTGCTGGCGAGAACCGAACCGACTCGGCGGGACTTGCTTGCAGTAACCTGGGCCGAAAGCAACATTCCACAGCTCCGTTCCGGTCGAGACACCCGGCGAAAAGCCCGCCCAAGCAGGTCGCAGGCCCCGGTCGTTTGGCATTCCCTTCCGACCTCATCTCCGCGTGGATATGCTGCTTGCGGCAATAGCAACAGCACGCCATTGATGAGGCTAGTCCTTGGGAGAAATTGACCCGGTTGTCATGACTTGAATCAAATCGACCGATGAGCCGCGGTGGTCCTATCTGCTGGCGATCAACGACGGAATCAACTCTACCTCGGGGCATGCGGACGGGATGATGGGGCGGCCCGAGCGGTGGACGCGTGACGGTCACATCAGTCTGGGCTTTTGTAGTGGGTAGGATTCAGCGTTGTACGACAGGAATGTCAAGACGGTGGCATCAAACAACGCCTCCATATCGTTATCGTCGTCCCGGGGTTGAACAAGCTGGACGGGTGTCGGTAACAACGATATCGATGCGTTTCCCGCTAGCATCGGGAGGCTTAGTTGTCTGTGTGACCGAAATGGTACCCTCTTACCTTCCATTTGGGTCGAACGCTAATCCCAAGGTACCAAGGAGAAGTGCAACCTTCAAACACGCGGGTTGCATCTTGTGAACAGGAGATCAAATGCCGGCGATACTGCGTAGTACGTCGACGATGCCAATACAGAGGCCATCAGCGGGCAAAGTCAAAAACAGCCCAGCTTTTATGCACGGAGATGCTCCGTTGGGAAGGGATGCCGCCATGGGCTCACATGGGACGGAGGAATGGGGTTTTGATGAAGGGCCGTTCGACATGAGTACCTACTCAGGCACTTCGCCATCAATTGCCATCATCCTCGGCCGTCGGGCCAAAGCAACGAGGAGACAGGAGACTACGGGAGGAAAGGGGCGGCAATTGTACTGTGCCACCAACCGGCCACGTCGTGGTACATGTGGGCGAGACCCCCACACCCCAAAGTACATACTTCCAGGAACCCTTGGCAGGATTTCGGACGCTTCAGAAGGCATCCGATCGTCGAAAGAGGGGCAAGGCGGGATATCTTGACCAGCAATGAGGGGTTGCTCGGGGCGCTGCAGACACAACGAACATCCCTCAAGCAGCCCTCCCGTACCGACGCTGTATCACAGCTTGCAGCTAGGCTCATCGTGGTGTAGTTTGGGCTGTGTGCTGCGTACATGACCTGCACTTTCAGGGGCTGGAGAGGGGACGCTTTTGACCGGATCCGTCGTCGCGGCTCTCGTCATTGGTGAAGACCACGGAGCCGCTCTTTACCCGCGAGAACCACCCGCGCCGGAGGCGTCTGCAGACCAGCATGTTCATGTCTCGTTTCTGCGAACATTGTGCAGCCTGTGGTGTTACGCCGGAGACACTGGACTGACGAATTCCACATGTCCCATGTCGCTTGCACCCGATTCTCTTCTCCTTTGCCCCGCAACACCAGAGCACCAGCGACCACCCCGCAAACCAATGCACAAAATGCATGTGAGGGCGGGCGAAGACTCAGCGATCCAGCTACAATTGAGCGTCCTGACTGGCTGCGGCGCTCCGGGCAAGGCCTGTGAAACCTTGGACGACCTTGGAAAGCTCGGCATATGTTGATGTCAGATATGGCGGCTTACCCCTCCTCTTCGAACAAGAAAACCTCGAGTTGATCCGGCCAATTCACTTGAACCGGGACTCTGTTCTCTTTCCACAACACAACCAACCACCTCAACAACTAGTGTGAACTAACGGTCTGACCACTCGACACACCGTCCTTCTTGTTTGTAATATACGACGAACTCTGGAGACAGAACTTTTTTATTTTTTTTCTTCTTCTCATTTCCATCCAGTGTTTTCCATTCTTCGGATTACAACCCCACGTTGGTGATCCCATCCGCTCTCAACATGTGGCGACCCAACTGACCCAGCCTTTAGGAACCAAGTCCGAGCGACCGCACCCTGCTCAGCATCAACACGAGACAAGAGACTATTTGACCTCGCCCTCAGCTCAAAATCTCTCACAACTATGGCACCACTTACGCCCCATTGGACCCAGCCGTCCCACCCGGACGTCCAAGAGGTCGTCAAGGCCAGTGAGACCGAATTCCTCACAAAGAGCTTCTCCAAAGTCGCTCTGCCGCCCTTCGCCGTCTTCGCGAAGATGTCCTTCCCGCCGTGTGACATGGCCGACGAGCCCACGTATGCCACTGTTCAGTGCGGGAAGGACAAGCATCTCAACCTCAACAGCGACCTGTTGTACATCAACCACTCATGCGAACCATCTCTGGTCAGTCATATTAGCCCCCCTTCAAGGGCTCGCCCCAGAGAGCAACCCCCTTCAGCTTCCAGAACCCGCGAGCACGGACAGACAGGGTCATCCCAGCAATATGTGAGATTGACAGGTGCTATTTTTAGATTTTTGACACGGGCAACTTTAACATTCTGGCTGGCCCGAAAGGACTCCAGCCAGGTGACGAGTTGACGGTAAGCCTGACATTACTGCCCCATATCATTGCGAAACCGACGTGCTAACCCACCGCAGTTCTTTTACCCCTCGACGGAGTGGCACATGGCTCAGCCCTTCGACTGCTTCTGCGGCACCCCCTCGTGCCGCGGCCGCATCGCCGGCGCACGCGACATGCCCCGCAGCCAGCTCGAGGGCCTCTGGCTCAACGGCCACATCCGCGAGCTCCTCGACGAAGAGCGCAACGCGGGTCGCTCTGGAAACGACGACCCCACCGCGCGGGCGCTGAGAGACGCGCTCAAGGCCGCGGAGCAGGTCGTCGAGGCCGCCCGCTCCGCGTTGAGGACTTACACCGAGTCTTCTTCCGCCGGCGGCGGCAACGGCAATGCTGCCCAGCAACAGGCGCACGCCATCAAGAACGGCCTCAACGGATCCAAGGCTAACGGATCCAGGGCCGGCGCCAGCGCTAGGGAGCTGGGCGGTGAGTTGGGCGGCGATACGCGTGCCGCCGTCTAGACAGGGGCGCCCAGCCCTTGGGGGGATGACCGCGAGCAATTCAACTTGTCTTGCACTTTCTTGATCTGAAGTCCCCGTGCTATTTCTTTATCCCCCATGCGAATTCAACATCTCGCTTCTCATATCTTACCAATGTCGACTTGAAATTTAGGAGACGGAAGACGGAAGACGAGGTTGCCGAATCGATGGAAATCATAGAAAAGGGGCCAAAAACATAATTCAGAGGATGATAGACCAATAGACAAGACCATCGCGAACCACTCACTGCTCGATCACTCTCCAACGAGTGACGTTGCAAACCTTTTGTATTCCTTGAATTGTACACGGAACCGATGCTCTAAAACGCCAATGGCATGCCTCGCCAAACCAGCGTAAAAATACAGACAAGACGTAAACGAAAACCCGTCCCTGACGCCTGCCTGATACTACTACAACGAGACTCGCACGGATATCCATCTGCGCTGTCTCGTCATCCATGAGCCACTTTTTTTCCCCCTCATTTCATGTATTCCTTGGTCCCAAGAGCTGCGGCTCTACTCCTTCATATCGTTCCATCGATCGCCCCAGCTCTGCCTGCGGCCCTTCTCGCTACCGACGCCGCCGGCGTACTGGCTCTCGTTGTCCTCCCACTCCTTGCGCTCGACGATGCGACGCGCGAGGAAGGCCCTCGCGAACTTCCACGCCTCGGTGTCCGCCAGGTTCCAGGCCTCGATGGCGCTGCGGACGGCGAGGTCCTTGGGGTCCTTGGTCTTGCCCATCTCGCGCGCCCTCTTGAGCAGCGGGGGCTCCTTGTCTAGGTCCGCGTCGGAGGCGACGGGGCCGTCCTTGGGGTCGTGCTGGGGCTGGGGGCGGCGCTCGGGGCCGGGGACGGGGGTCTCGGAGGTGCCGTCGGTGGCGTTGTGGGGGATCGCGAAGCCGAGGTGCCAGTCGAGGTCCTTGGGCATGTCCTTCTCGGCCTGGAGCCAGAGGGAGTGGGAGGTGGCGTACTCGCCGGCGACGGCCTCCTTGAAGCGGATGATGCGGTACTGGCTGCCGACGCCGGTGCCGACGAGGTCCTTGGTGACGGCGGCGAGCCAGGCGTCGCGCTCCGACTTGCGGCGGATCCAGGGGATCTCGATGTGGTCCTGGAGGTTGGTGAGGAGGGCGGTGGTGTACGGGTGCGGGACGGTGCCGATGGTGTAGAGGGTCGTGGTGTTGTAGTAGCGGTTCGGGGTCGAGACGTGCATGGGCTGGGCCGGGACGCAGGGCTTGCACTTTGCGTTGTTGGGCGGGCACGAGGAGGGCATCGGGGAGTCGGGGCACATGGAGAGGTCGCCGGCGAGGTGCCAGGCGCCGTCGATCATGTGCGTCATGTGCTGCGGCAGGGGCTTGAGGACGGCGATGCCGTCCGAGAAGACGTTCTGCCAGGTGGTGTGGAGGTGGGCGTTGATGAGCTCCTTGAGGGCCTTGAGGCCGGCGGCGCGGTCGGCGGCGATGGCCTCGGCGACCTTGGGGTACTTGTCCTGGATGATCTCGACGTCGTAGTAGGCGATTGCCTTGGGGAAGTTGTCGATCTTGAAGGTGTCCTCGGAGGCGACGGCGACGAAGTCCTTGCTCTCCTTAAGCTTGGAGCCGGCGGCCATGGCGGCCTTGATGGCGGCGGTGACGTCCTTCTCGGCGCCGGCGAAGAGGCCGTTGCCCAGGTTGTTCCAGCGCGTGAGCTGGGGGTACTCGCCGCGGCGGAGGTAGGAGATGAGGGGATCGATGTGGGAGCCCATGGGGAGGGTCGTGTGGTGGGCGAGGAGGCCGCCGCGCATGTTGTCCCAGGCGAGCCAGCGCATCAGGTCGGTCTTGAGGTCCGGGTCGATGTCCTTGTTGCGCTGGAGCTCGTCGTAGAGGGGGTTCTTCATGGCCTCGGCGGCGGAGAGGATGATGGGCTTGAAGCCGCGGGCCCACCAGGCGCGGCGCCATGTCAGGAGGAGCTCGCTCTCCGCGTCCTTGGAAGCGGCGTCCTTCTTGATGGTGGTGTCGTAGTAGCAGTAGATGGGCGGGCGCGTCTTGAGGGGCGGGAGGAGGGAGCGGTCCTCGTCGAGGGTCAGGGAGGAGGAGAAAGGCACGGAGAGCCACTTCCAGTCGGCCCACCAGGAAGACTCGCCGTAGGTGTCATTCTGCTGGCGCGGGGGCGGGTGAGAGGGGGAGCGGAAGGGGTTGAGGCGGCTGGTGGACGAGAAGGCGTTCTTGATGCTCGGGATGGAGAACTTGTGGTCGGTGTACTTGCTCAGGCTCGGACCGGAGGGGATGGAGCTCGGGAGGGTGAAGAGGAGGGAGAAGACTGCAAAGATGGAGATGGAGACGAGGAGGAAGGAGATGCGTCGCGTGCCGATGCGGGGGAGGGGACGGCCGAATATCATGCGTTGCTTCGGCATGCTGGGCGAGGCGTGACGGCCGACGAAGCGGCGGAATACGAGCTTGGCGGAGGACGGGGAGTTCGGGACCCGGTGGGATTGAGGCTATCGTCGGTCGGACGGTCTCTCAATCTCTCGATTCGGTCGAGCTCGGGGGTGGAGGATGGAGCTTTAGTGGTGGTGGGACATGGGCAGAGCTAGGGTGAGAGCTCCAAGGAAGACAATGGATCTGGTAGATGGCAAGAGATTCGAAGAAGAGAAAACAAAAAAGGCTTAAACGAAAGAAAGCAGGCCTACAATGAGCGTAGGAAAGGCACGCGACCGTGAGAAGAATTGAGCTGACGACGTATCGTCAATTCACAACCTTCATCCCTTTTTTCCGGGCTAGGGGGGGTGACGAAGACACGGTTTGCGGCAAGGGGAATACGGCACGGTATCTAGCCAACCAAAAGATGCTGCTGGGCAGAGTGTCATCCGTCATCCCGCGGCCTGGGCGCGTTCTCAGGCTCTGCAGGGTTCTTAAGTCTCGAGTGGCTTGAGAGCTTGCGCAGCTGTCCATTTCAATCGATAAGGGTAAGATAACGAGTGGCTGCTGTGGCTGGTAGGTACATATCCATTAGAAGGGTAGTGCACCCCGCCTATGTACCTAGATAATTTTGAATATTTTCTTCAGTCAATATCTCAGCTATGGTGTTTTCTTGAGGCACTGCAGTTGCCATCATCATTAGAGCCCAAGAGATTTGACATATCTCATACTATGCCGTGCTGCGAGGCAATTGACAATAAATGAGATATTTTCGTGTCCCGAATTGGACCGGTTCAAGCGTGCCTCTGGTTGGAGTTCGTTGTCCTATCGTTCAGCGGTACAGCATTTGATTTCCAGACAGTGTCGAGCTTCTAGTCGTCTCTGGTCTAAAAGAAGCATCTTTAGATGCCACCATACTTTTTGCGCCTATATTAAAGAGCATGTTACTGAGGATCGATGCCTCAATGGGGTCTAGTCAAGGCGGACTCTAGACGAAATACCCCCTTCCTCTTCCAGTACCTTTCCCAGCGCCGGCATCGTAGCCGGGATTGCGGTCGGTTCTTCCGACGCCAGAGTTCTCATCATGCTCGCGGCCTGATTCTTTCTCAAAGAGCGACGTCGTCGCAACAGAGATTAGGATACCCGCCCGCGTCACGAGACGCGGCAGGACTCGGCCTACGCGAGTGCCAAATCCTCGGGCGATCACATGTTCTTCGTAGCGACAGACTCCGACGGCTCTCATCCGTCGCATCAACAGGTCAGTCCCGTCAGTCCGGCGCGGCGGCAGACGCCCCCGCCGTCGTATCCGTCTCCGGTCGACGAGCACGCCGCGCCGATGACGGAGCTATCTGGGGCGGGATCCCCAGGAAGTCCCGTCGACGAATGCCAACTACCCGCCAAAGCTCGCCGGATCACAACGATATTAGGACTGCTGAAGCAGTTGATCGTATCAAGTCTCTCGCGAGATGGTGTACATGGAGGTGTAGATCGCCCAATGCTCAGGGATGAGAGCAGCCGGACGAGAGCGGGCGCAGTACACGCGATTAAGGCGCTTAAGATGCCACAAATGCGTCGTCTAATGCAGTAATGATCGGTATCTTCGTCCGATGTCGTCCAACGACGATTCTCCTTAATCTAGATGCTCGCATGTTCGTCTGGGAGGTCCCCGTGAACCGTCCACACGGGTTGGGCGGAAATGGTAATGGCTGGACCCCTTTCGTTACTCATGTTGGGTGGGCAGTTGGTACGTCAGTTTTGAGCTGAACAAAATTTTGTGGGGTGGCCGTTGCCGGACCGGAGGAAGCAAGCAAGCACAACCAGGCAAACACGCTGCGGATGGAGCCAATGGAAGACTTCCAAACTGTTATTTTCAGGCATTGAAGTCCGGTGTGGCTTGTGGTGTGCTTGGAGAAGGATGAAATTTTGCCGCATTTTCACCCGCCCCGAAGCTGCCAAAATACCTTGACAAAACTTACACCGCCCTTGGCCCGTTTGTGACTCAATTGCACCTCACTCAATTCCACTTCACCAACCTTGGCCTATCTTCCCCGGTCGAACTTTCATTTTACTCCGAGACATCAGAGAACGATCGATCTTCTTTGGATCATTTTTGGCACTGCAATTGATCCTCGTGGCACGGCAATTGGGCGTCGTTTCTTGACCCAAGAACCTTATCCTCTGGTCTTTTTTTTTCCCTATCTTTTTTTTTTGTTACCCCTCCCCCGCCATGGCGCCTGAGCTTCCAGACCCCACCAGGTAAGTTGAGATGCGCCGATGCGGAGCACGCGAGCTCAGTGACGATGATGATGAAGATGAGAAGTTCAATCCGCTGACTTCGATTGCAGCGACCTGCACTGGGGTGCCTTCCGGGGTGCCATTCAGGACATCTTTTCCGAGAATGCCAAGAAGCACCCTGACAGGCTCTGCGTGGTTGAGACGGGACCTCCGAGAAGAGAGTTCACGTACCGTCAAATTGATGAGGCATCAAATGTTGTCGCAAACCACTTGGTGGCCTCCGGCATTCAGCGAGGCGATGTTGTCATGTCAGTTGTGAATCTTTTCGAGCCTCTTGTTGTATCTAATGCCAAAGTAGGAGTTATTCGCATCGCGGTGTTGACCTCGTCATCGCCATCTTCGGTATCCTCAAGGCGGGAGCCACCTTCAGCGTCATCGACCCTTCGTATCCTCCCGACCGTAAGTTACTAGGCAGTTCCAGGTCCAAGAAGGAGTATGCTGAACGTGATCTTAGGTCAAAACGTTTACCTTGACGTTGCGCGGCCACGAGCTCTGGTCGTTATCAAGAAGGCGACTGAGGAGGCCGGACGCTTGACCGACAAGGTTCGCTCCTTCATCGCCGAAAACTTGGAAATCAAGACCGAGATCCCAGCCCTCGAGCTCAAGTCCGACGGCACCGTCTTGGGTGGTTCCATTGACGGCAAGGGCGATATCTTCGATGGCGTCGCACGGGAAAACGGTCCTAACGTGGTGGTCGGTCCCGATTCAAACCCCACCCTTTCCTTCACTTCAGGTGAGTATCAACGCTGCCCTCTTCCACGTCAATTTGTCTCGATAAACTCGATTCGATATGCACAATTAGTCTATTTGAACTTGTGCTAACTAAGACCCTGCAGGTAGTGAAGGTAAGCCCAAGGGAGTCCTTGGCCGACACTACTCGCTGGCTTACTACTTCGACTGGATGGCTCAGCGCTTCAACCTCTCCGAGAATGACTCCTTCACGATGCTCTCGGGAATCGCTCATGACCCAATCCAACGCGATGTCTTCACGTGCGTGGCCATTACTTTATCGACATCAGAAACCCGCTAACTTGACATCTAGGCCGCTATTCCTTGGAGCCAAGCTTCTTTGCCCCCCCAAGGACGCCATTCAGCATGAGAAGCTTGCTGAGTGGATGAAGGAGCACGGTGCCACGGTAACTCACCTGACGCCGGCCATGGGAAGCGTTCTTACCAGTAATGCAACTGCCGAATTCCCTGCGCTGCATCACGCCTTCTTCGTTGGCGATATCTTGATCAAGAGGGATGCAAAGGCCCTGCAGAAGTTGGCGAGAAACTGCCACATCGTCAACATGTATGGCACTACGGAGACTCAGAGAGCTGTAAGTTGAATGAATCCTCTTGGACCGTGGTCAATATTCATGTTACTGACGTGTTACACGCTAGGTTTCCTACTACGAGATCCCCAGCGTTAGCGCTGATGCTGGTTTCCTCGACCGATTCCCAGACAACGCCATTCCCGCTGGCAAAGGTATCTATTACTTTACTAATCGAAACGTACGATACGACAAGTGTTTAACGTTGATTGTGGTACAGGTATGAAGGACGTCCAACTACTCGTTGTGGACCGTGAAAATCCCCAGCGCGTGTGCTCCGTTGGGGAAGTAGGCGAGATCTATGTTCGCGCAGCGGGCTTAGCGGAAGGCTACCTTGCCAACGACGAGTTGAACAAGGCCAAGTTTGTCGACAACTGGTTCGTTACCGACGACAGGTGGCAGAAGCTCGACCAGGAGGCCTGTAAGAACGAGCCATGGAGACAATTCTACAAGGGACCGAGAGACCGCATGTACCGCTCAGGTGACCTGGGCAAGTACACCGAGGATGGAAATGTCGTTTGCGTCGGCAGGTGCGTATAGTTCGCCTTACTGGGTTGAGTCATGCAACTCACATTCTTTAGGGCTGATGACCAAGTTAAGCTACGTGGGTTCAGAATCGAACTCGGAGAGGTAAGCGGCGCTCTAACCATGTTGCATCCCTGAGGCTGACTATTTCGTGCTCAATAGATTGACAAGGTGAGTCTTGGCATCCCAAGAAATTGCAAGACGCCAAACCTGCAACGCAGTCCAGAAAGCATCGCAGCAGGAACGAAATGGGATGGTGCACTAACATCATGTAGCACCTCTCGGATCACTGGGGAGTCTTGGAGAATCTTACCCTGGTAAGGAGAAACAAGGATGAGGAAAAGACGTTGATCAGCTACTACGTGCCCGACATGAAAAGATGGGCCGAGTGGTTAGACCAGAACGACCAGCAGGACGACACTTCTGGTGGTGACAACCTGACCGGTCGTCTTAGAAGATTCTGGCCCTTGAGTGACGACATCCGAAAGTTCCTCAAGACCAAGCTTCCTAACTACGCCATTCCCGAGATCATCATCCCCTTAGAGAAGTTCCCCCTGAACCCGAACGGCAAGAAGGACAAGCCCGCGCTGCCTTTCCCTGACGCTGCCCAACTTGCGGAAGCCCGCCCCAAGGCCGCAGCCGTTGACCTGACCGAGACCGAGACCAAGGTCGCCGCCATTTGGGGTTCTTTGCTGGCCAATGTTGACGAGCGAAGCCTCGGCCACGACGACAGCTTCTTCGATATCGGTGGACACAGTATCCTGGCCCAGCAGATGTTGTTCCAAGTCAACCGCACATGGCCTGGTATTAATGTGTCCATGGCTGTTGTTTTCCGCAGCCCATCGCTCAAGACGTTCTCCGCAGCAATTGATGCCAAGCTTTCGGGTGAGGCTCCCGCGGCGAACGCTGCCAACGATGGAGAGGACTACTTCGAAGACGCGAAGAAGCTGGTGGCGACTTTGCCAGAGAAGTTTACGCCGTTCGACAAGAAGGCTACCGAAGTCAAGACCGTCTTCCTCACCGGAGCCACTGGCTTCTTGGGCGCATATATCCTTCGGGACCTCCTTACCCGCAACTCCCCTAGCGTCAGGGTCATTGCCCACGTCCGCGCCGTCGATGACTCTGATGCTTACACCAGAGTTGTCAAGAGTTGCCAAGCCTACGGTGTCTGGCAGCCTAGCTGGAAGAACTACCTCACAGCCGTCCAGGGGAGCTTGGGCAAGCCTATGCTCGGCATGACTCAGGAGCGCTGGGACTCCGTCGCCAGCGAGGCCGACATTATTATTCACAATGCTGCCATGGTCCATTGGGTCAAGAGCTACTCGAACCTCAAGCCCGCCAACGTCCAGGGAACTCTTGACATCCTGTCGCTCTGCGCCACCGGCAAGCCCAAGCAGCTCGCCTTCGTCTCGTCAACCTCTGTCCTGGATCACCCCCACTTCGTCAAGCTGTCCCAGGGCGGCAGCCTCGTCAGCGAAGAGGACGATCTTTCTGGCTCCTCCAAGGGCCTCGGAAACGGCTACGGTTCGACCAAGTGGGTTGCCGAGTATCTCGTCCGCAACGCTGGTAAGCGTGGCTTGACGGGTACCATTGTCAGGCCAGGCTACATCACTGGTGAGCAAGTCACAGGCACTAGCAACACGGACGACTTCTTGCTCCGCATGCTCAAGGGCTGCATTCAGCTCAACGCCCGCCCCAAGATCGAGAACACGGTCAACATGGTACCGGTTGACCACGTCGCCCGCCTCGTCGTCGCCTCGGCGCTGCACCCGCCCCGCCAGCCGCTTGGTGTCGCTCAGGTCACCAGCCACCCCAGACTGACACTTTCGTCGTGGGTTGGTTCGCTGGAGAAGTACGGCTACAATGTCCCTGAGGTGGAGTACCCCGCATGGAGCAAGGCCCTGCAGGACTACGTCGCCGAGGGCAAGGAGCACGCCTTGTAAGTTTCGTCCGAACTCATCTTTGGCCTTGAATTGCACTAACATAGTACAGGATGGGTCTGTACCACATGGTCACCACTGACCTCCCCGGTGACTCCATCGCCCCGGAGCTCGACGACGTCAATGCCGCCGCGGCTCTCCGCTCCGACGCCGAGCTGACTGGAGAGGATCTCTCAGCCGGAGGTGCCGTCACGGAGAAGACTATTGGACGGTACTTGAGCTACCTCATCGCCATCGGTTTCCTTGAGCCGCCACCGAAGCCGGGACAGCTGGCCATTCCCGCGGCCGATATCAGCCCCGAGCAGAAGGAAGCGCTCCTCAGAGTCGGAGGCCGTGGTGCTTTGGTCTAGGTAAATATGTGGTAGTTTAGGTCTTGGGAAGACTGATGTTAGATATGAGATACTTGTGGGCACATTGGAATGGATTTCGGCTAGGAAAGAAAAGACAAATACGCCCGAAGATTGGTCTTTAGACTGGAATAAGAATTGAATGGTTGAATTAAAGACGATTTCGTACCTCAGAAACATGGCCTTAACATGCATCCCACCGAACCGCCCCCGAGTTCGGCCTGACAGCAGCCCCACAAATGTTAGCGCCCCAATAGCAGAACCTCGGAAGACGCTGGAATCCCATCCATGACTCTTCCTCACCCGCCACATTCATCTCACCAAACTGTGAGGGGGGGGGGGGGGGGGGGGGGGGGGGGGGGGGGGGGGGGGGGGGGGGGGGGCCGGGGGGGGGGGGGGGGGGGGGGGGGGGGTGGTTGTTGTGCCGTAGGGCGCAGGTGCGTCCATGGTTCGGCGGGCGGGACCGGGCGACGGGCCGGCGCGGGGCTGGATGTGTGTGTGAGTGGGTGGGTTGAGATAAGGC